CTTAAAGTGTTCCATTTGTTTTAATTACCGAGGTAACGATTTCTAGCCATCACTAAGTATAGTATTACATCCTTAAAACGAGAAAAAAATTGCCGGTTTTTCCGCTGGCTTGTTTTTCACTGTCGTCCGACTGATGTGATTACGAAAATAAAACTCCGCGAGCCTTAAGCGAAAACAAGTGTGGACAGCGCAGTGAAGGCGGAGGTACGGTGTCCTGTGTGATAGTAGCTCGTATTCTCTACGCACGTTGGTATCGCCAGCTCATTACATGCGTAGGCTTACTATATAGCAAGATGACGAAAGCTTGATCATTACAGTTGAGAGGTTGTTTGTTTCGCTGTGCAGTTTTGATGGGTTTTTTTAAAGAAAAACAACGCAATAGTGCACAAAACAATACGAACAGAATAAAAATCCAAGCAGATCGGTAACATCGAATGCAGCCAAACACTGACAAGTCTGCTCATTTGATCCACATTTGTTGTGTTGAACACCAAATTACTTGACCCAGAATTTGGTATTGGCCTGACTATATAAAACAAAATGTATTTAAAAAAAGAAGAAGACAAAAAACGTAATTAATGAGGTCCATCGAACTTGACCTGCTCTCCAGCCGCTAGACCCCAGCTAACCATGCGTATTATCAGACAGCAGTTTCCATCACCGGCGTCTACGCAACGGCTGATGATGAAATAATCGGTCATCTTGTTCCAAGTCTACCTACGACACGACTGCCAACATTATCCTCCGCTACTACCAGACAAAAATGAAAAATATGTCTCAATCAGACTTATTAAATATTTACCCGTAATTACGCGATGGTAATAACCAAACATTGATTGTTTATGAATTGCCAATTTCATAAGAATGTGTCAGTTGTACAATCGGCGACACGACATGCTTGAATTGTTCATGGTTGGTGTTGATATGTTTTCCTCGGGTGCAATGTATGTGTGACCGAATAGGTAAGAAAACGTATATAATTATGGCCCAATCAAAATGGTCAAAATGAGTGATACATTTCAAATCTATAGGGGACAGACAGGAAACGTACTAATAGCTTAGAATGAAGACTATGACGTTATTTATTAAACACCACCAGCATTAAAACAGTGACAACACGAACACAACTGTAGAAACTACATCCGTTTACAGTTAATATCATTTTTCGTCAACAAGGACAGGTTTGCCATTAAACCATTTTCGGCATTCTCTAACATCTATAATTGAGAATTCTTAGAAAACCACAATAGAGCTGCTGATAATAATATCATAACTCATTGTTTCAATTTACAATTCGTATTATTAAACAAAGAACTACTCTGGCAAAGCCTCATAATTTCCAGACTCACCATATAGTAATGCAATGGTATTGAATAATATGACATGTAGGCCTACAGTACCATGCATATTGTTATATACGCAAGGGTTGATGGGAGCTTTAAGACCTGTGAATTATTGTGTTATTGAATTTTCGGGAGGTAATTATAAATTTTAGATGAGAACTACCGCTTGCTATCCAGTTGTCATAATTAAAAACCACACGCTACAAATAACACACGTTGCTACCAGTCTCATGTTTAACTAAGTAAAATAGATGTGAACTTTTATTAATTCCAAATATGTCGTATTGGTTTTTGCATGTACTGATAATGTTCGGAATTAAAAGAATTTGTTTTTATGTGAAATTGTACTATTTAGAAACAACTATCATGTTGATACTGTACTGCGTATAATCCAAGATTTAGAGCAACATGAAGTGTCATCGTCGACAATTGGAAAGCGGATGATAGGAGAGCAAAACTTTGATCAATACCCCATGTTAATATGTATCCAATAGTCACAAGTTTTCAGATCGGTGGGTAGTCATTTTCCTGAGAAAAAGTTTTCCCTCACATTGATTTTTTACCTCTTCTAATTGAATTTAATAAAAAAAATTAAAAAAAACTTATTATGGCAGAACGGTAAAAACACTCATTTTAACAACCTTTCAATATTAACGTATGCGATGTAATTTGGTCTGCTCCAAAAATAACTGACACATGTTCAATGATTTATTATTCGGGTTTTCGAATACAAATTCGAATCAGGTTTCTATAGTATTGCCCTTTGTTAAATTATTCACCTATTCAGCTGATTAGGTTTTATTCTCTTAATCGTCCTAGTATATCTTATTATTGTTTATCATTATTCAAAAAACATATCTATACCCTCAAGCATTGATCACTTAATGTTACTCTTTGCGTATACATGTATCAGTCAATATTTTAAATCAAAGAAGCTTTCCGTTTTTATGTTGATTCATTAATATACACTAACCTGCTGGTATTTGTTTTGTAAAAAATATAGTTTCATTCCTTTGTTTTCCCAATAATGATTTTGTAATATCGTATACTATGCCGCATAATTAGCAACAGTATACAAAGGACACATTAGGAAGTCAGCAAGCACGGGCTCCAATTTGCCACCGAAGTACTTGTTCAAACATTTGCATGATACTCTAATAAGATCATGGAGTTTCTATCACGTGACTAGTCCTATATATGACTGTAGTTTTGTACAAATAGTGTTTTTTTGCGGCACTTTTAAAATTCTGAGCTTATTTCTAAAGCTGACATCAACAGTATTTGGTCATTCCGCATGTGAATAATTTGAACTTCTACTAACATTAACATTCGTCAATAGTGTTCTGAATGAAAATACATGCATTTTGAAGCACAGTATATACTAAACACATGACTGACACGGTAGATACATATCTCCTCAATAATAAGCATTTACAGAAATGTGTTGACGAGACATGAAGTGTGGGAAAGACATTGCTATACAAAGGAATTCCAATCAAAATACCAACATCACCCACCATACAGGCTAATTTTAATAATTATAGATCACAAGAAACCACTGCTATTGCTCAATAAGTTAGCAGACAACGTTTTCATGTACATCATGCTATCCTCAGCTGCTTAGTTACTTAGATCTAAGCGATAATTTAATTGCGTATTCTTTATCTAGGGTACGATCTGAATATTGCCTTTGGTAAAAACAAAGTATTCAGTATTAAAATAAAATAATCTTGCATTCTTCTCAATTATTATGTTTAAACATTTAATGCGTTATTCTCATTTTGGTGAAGATACGCACCCTTTCATACCCTTCCTCGGACCTCCCATCCAGTTATGCATCATACTTTTCTTCACGTGCCTGTAAACGAGCTATTTCTCGAGCAATTTCTTGATTTCCAACCTCGATGCAATCTCCAATATCGATGACAAGGTCTGTGGCCAGTAATAAATGGCCTAAATTAAGGATGTAACGAGTTATAATCAGTAACTGTCTCAGACGCGTCTCGTGCAAGTAATGCTAAATTGTAGCTGGTTTCATTTCCCTTGTCATGAATGGACACAGATTGGTCATCGAATCAAATGGGTTTTGGGGTATTTGACCATAAATTAAAGTCGGAACAATAAGGTGCCAGACAAGCACAATTAAGGACAAAAACATTCCCAGGATACATTGTGAACTCTACTAGGATGTCATATTTTACAGACTAATTTACTGGTTCTGTAGTTATTAACTTACATCTGTTTTAACCGTTTAGACAAGACGGCGAAATTCTCAAATTTGTTATGCCTATTGTGTAAATACATGTAAAAAGATCATCATCAATTAACTAATGATCATACAAGGCGCGATAAGATTGTCACACACATTTTGTGTGAATTTGATGGTTTTAATTTATTTCAATATAAACAGTTTGTTTCTTTTCGTCAAAAAGTACAAATAAAGAGTTTGTTTCTTTTCGTCAAAAATTACAAATAAATACAGCAAGGACCTACCGATTGTGTACTAAATGGCCGTTGACGGTCATTACTGTAGTACACGAAAGTGTAATACCAAAAAAAGTCCAAAAAGAAAATCATTCCTTATATAATGCAATGAATGCATTAGCGTTTAAATGTGGAACACAAATGTTACACTAAATGGAATAGTTGACGATCATTCGTTTCGTGACTGTATCTCGATTGAACTTGCATCCCAAATATCTTTAGGTAGGCAACCTTAGCATATTCAATCATGAGAACGGCTGTATATATCAGTAGCTTAACCTGGGAAACGTTAGCCTCAAATCAGTCAGCACTTTCCTCAGTTAACACTCTTCAATTACTCCCCAACCTAACGCAGCATTGATACGTGTAAGGCCGACCCAAGAACTCAATCTATTCCCTCCATCACTGATCCACCGAAACATAAACCGCTGTCATCAACCAAAAAGGAGTCTAATTCACGATCAGGGACTTACTTAGTAGTCTGGATACCTTGTAGGAATCCTCTTTCATAAATTGACGTCTTGGTTGGTTCATGATGAACTAGGTAACAAATATGCCTTGACGTTGTGTGCTCACAGAAGCACTCAAGTGGTCATGATACGGTGACGGCTTGAAATGAGGTCAAGTAATGCTCTGGGTTTCAAATGAATGTGTGGCCAGAACCTACAACCCCCAAAACCCCTAATAGTTGTGGTTTTCTGTAATAAACGAGCGTGACGTCAGCTTAATAGAAAGAATTTCTAAAGTAAAGTGACAGGTCAGATTTGGTCCAAAATGTCCTCGATTGATAAAATGCAAAGACCCACTCTCGAAACCTTTTAAGTTGATATTCCTGAATGTTAATATTTGGGGGTTTTTTTAGAGCTTGTGCATTTACCTTTTAACAGCCTGTACTGTTTAATTTGCGGGGGAGTGTGGCTTAGGGTTTGTGACTCGTGATCAGAGGGTCAGGGGTTCGAATCCAGCTGCTGGCCATATGTTGTGTCCTTGGGCAAGCCACTTCACCCACACTTGCCTCTCTCCACCCAGGAATATAAGATGGTTATCGGCACTAGCTGGGGAGTAACCTGCGATGGACTAGCGTCCCATCCAGGGGAGTTAAAATATTCTCCGTCGTTTCATGCTACTGAAACCAGAGATAAACGCCGGCCTGATGGGCCACATTGGCTCGTGACAGACTTGACTTACTTTTTACTGTTTTGTTTGCCTGCAACAAAAACAAAATGATTAATTCTGTCCATCATTCTACCTACAATGTAACATAAGTACCCGTTCTATTGTAAACTGATCTATTAATCGTTGTTGTCGTTTTGGTGTTTTCCCTGGTTTCCTTCTATTTCTGAATGTTCATTACAGAAAAAAATGACTAGAACCAGCGATATTATAGCTCCCGTGCTAAACTACACACTATACGCATGTGCAAATTTAACCACTGAACGGACTTCGAAACCAGCCTCACAAATTTTGCACTTTGGTTGTTTTTTGACTTGGTATTGATTCATAAGAAGATTCACAAGTTGAACGTTTTTGAGTTTTTTTTACCAGAAATGTAGACACTAAAGGCAATCTTGTTTCGCAAACACCGTTCATGACTAAAACAATTACAAATCGTTCATAATAGCCGGCATTCCTTGATTTGCCCTCTCCGTTATTTTAGTTCCATTGATTTTCCCAAGTAAAACATAACTATTAGTATTGTAGTTACATGACATGTAAAGTTGTTACCATTTTTCGTGTTTTTTTTTCATTTACTCTGGAGGCAAGAAGGGCTTGCGTTTTTAATTAAAGTGATAATTTTTTTTAACGTTTTGAAACGGACGGGATACCTAGGTATCTCTTCACATGCATCTGAGGGAAAGGGAATTGTTTTTGAGACCGATTAGAAATTAAAGAACAACTTCACCAGTTTATGATTCTTAGTATCGTCAGAGGAAACTTTTACATTTTTGGTGTGGAGTTTACTTTGGAAATTTTAAATAAGTTTACACCTCAATATTAATTTTGATGGGTTATTGTCGGCTGTCATAAAATTTGTTGAGGTTAAATAGACAGGATATACACTAAAGAATCGACTTTTCTATTATGCTCAGTATAGGAACTATTGGCATTGAAACAGATAACCATTAAAGACACGACTATAATGCGCAGAATATCTTTGCAGTTACATGAATAGTATAAATATTCGTATGGAAGTTACCATTTCCACGCACCATTCTTAAATTATTAATTCTCTCTCAGTAATGACTCGCCTTCCAGCCATATTTTTGTCCATCGCACAGTAAGATTCTCTTGAATGCGATCTTGAAATCCCTGTTGGCAAACGCATAACACATGGGATTGAAGGTGCTATTGATGTAGCAGAGAAAGTAGCTGAGTTCATACAAGTACATGTTGACGCAGTCAGGGCAGAAGCCTTTGACTATGACTAGGACACTATACGGAGTCCAACAGAGAATGAAGATACCAAGTATGGCACTAAGGGTCCTGACAGCCTTAGCCTCTTTCAAGCTGTTTAGAGCAGCGGACAGTGTCTTGCCTATGGTGTGATCTTTACTGTTGGGACTAGCTTTCGTTGAGGTTCGATGTGAACCGTGCGCGATTCTTTCACTCTCAGAAAACTCGTCTGTTTCTGACGGGATAGTGACTCTCCTTCGCTCACCATCGACGCCACAACCGTTATTGTAATGTTTGGAGCATGAAGCACGATCGCTTACGTCATTGTCTTCTTCAGGATGTGGCGGTAATGGCAGGTCCCTCGTTGGGAATGATACTGTCTGTTCATCTTCAGAGTCTAGCATGACACCAGATGAAAACTTGCGATCATGGTGGTTGTTATTGTGTGAAGTGTCTGCAGGTTCTACGTGGTGCCTCACACTCAGCCTCCCAATAATTCGTGCCTCACGCCTCACTAGACGCCTCGTTAAGAGGTATATGCGCATATACAAGATAAGAATGACAACAAGTGGTAACCAATAAATCATTATGATGGATCCAGCAGTGAAGAAAGCATCATTAGTAAATTGTACCTCACACTGATCGTGTGGTACGGTACGTTCTCCTTCGAAGAATTGCCAGCCGATGATCGGTACACCAAAGAGAAGAATAGTAGTGATCCAACTGGCAATTATTAAGAACAAGACACGTGTACGAGTCATGTCACTTTGATATGTCATTGGATGAGACAAACATCGATATCGATCAACACTAATAAGAAGTATACCAAGCACAGAAGCACCACAACATAGATAGTCTAAGAACAGCCATATGTCACAAATGACTGGTCCTAATGGCCAATGGTCAATCAAAAGATACATTGTATACAGTGGCATAGAGAATGCGCCAATAATGACGTCAGCAAACGCCATACTGATGATGAAGTAGTTACCAAGAACACGAAGTCGTCTCTCACGACAGAATGCGACAATGACCAATGCATTGCCACATATGGTGATTAAACTGGCTATTCCGGACAGTACGGCCATGCAGATGATCTTGACTATTTCCACGTTGGACAGTCCCTCATCGGGTGCTGCGCTGGTGCAGTTATCCCCAGTGCAATTGGTCGGTGCATCCATAGTTTCCACTGTTGCAGTCAGATCCATGTCAGTTGTTGTTGTCAACGGTCTACAATACTCCGAGTACCTTAGTAGGTCCTGTCGCAGGCCCTGTTCATGACCTCTGTCCAAAGGCTGAGAAGGTTCAAGAAGGTAACCATGGTTCTCAACGTCTTACATGCCTGCAGATAGATATAGCAACAAAAATCAAGATACTCTGATTACTTGCTCTTCACAATGGTACCGTTGTGGTCTTGATAACGTTTTCATTTCATCAAATGTTGGGCTAATTTCAGCAATGTATTTCTCTCCAACCGTAATTAGTTAATTTGGTTAGTTATGGAGAGTGAAATTAAGGGAGCATGTATGTCGCCGTTTGGCTTCTGATAGGCCTACGCGTTTCCCATGAAACGATTACAGTTGGAAAGATCAAAATAACGCTCATGCGCGCAGCTGTAATGCGGTTTTTGTGGAATTATCCTGCAATAAACATGATGATATTTGTCTTGGTATTCTTAAATACTTTCTTTGTTATCATCGTAGTCATTTTTGATAGTAAAGATATGAAAAGATAAAGATATTGACAATTGATGTGTTGTGCTTAGGGTTTACTTGCAGCTCTTTGATAGAAATATAAACAAATGGAGCTGACTCTGACGTCATCTAGGCCAATGCCAAATGCATTATTAAAACGTTTGTTGTTGATTGATACGTTGTGTGCGCTATTATATCGAGTGGAGTTTACAGGTGTGAAGGTAGAAATTGCAAACACGTCTACGGACGAGCCTTGATTGGGATTCCTTATCACGCGTCTAGTCCTAGTAGCATGAACGACCTTGATGTTCTGATAGAAACTAGACCGTGTATTCATGCATAATGATAGCATCATCTACTGCATTCAACAAGACAAAATGTATCTCTGTGATTGCAGAGTTAATGATAATGCTAGGGCATTGGAGAATCCTTAGAAATATATCACTCAGGATTGTTAAGACTTCAAAAGGCAAGTAATTGGTTGAAACCTAACGTTTCGGGCAGTGTCATCTAACCTTCTTGGTCAAAATGTCACTTCAATGGTTTCTTGACCTTGATGTTGACCTTAAACATTCATTTTTCTCAAAGATACTACAGTTCAAACGGTTATTACTGTTTACAATTCATAAGTAAATAACAATTACTTTCAATATTAATTTCACCTGTAATTTGAAAATATCAGCAGGAATTATTTTGAGGGATGGATTTAAATGAGAATTCGTAGGTAAAACCTTCAACGAACGAATATTTTGGTGGTTTGCAAAAAAAGTTGCTGCATATAAGCAGAATCTTTCCAGTTGAGATTAAACACATTCCCTCGGGTGACGGCAGGGGCGGGGAGAGGTTAACAACCCACTTTCCTGTTCGTTCACTACAGCATGCGACGCTTTCTCGTACGTTCACTACAGCATGCAATGTTGACGGCTGTGCTTTTAACCATTCACTTTCAATTTGCTGCTAGTAGTAATATTCAAGATCAATTCATCACTGGTTACTTTGTTCCTTTGATCTTAATGGATCTGGAAGGTAACTGAGCGTTGCTTGCCGCCCGAGTTAACTAATGCCGTGCTCTTTCACGTTACAAATGCTGACTACATATCTGAAATAGCTAGCGAAATAGGCTGTTTGAAACAAGAAACGATAGTCTCAGGATAAGATTGATTTGGGCCTTAGAGGTCCCTTTACAAACGTACGTCTAAACTTCGTTCTACTCGGTATCATGCGTACTTGCTTGACGCATTAATTCCATTCCGCCCTTAATTGTCATTTTATCAACAATATACATGAACATTATTTGGATGCGGTAATGAGAGAAGTATATTTGACACACTTTATTCGTAACAGCAAACGGCTTACTGATTGAGTGACCTGCGCAAATTGTATCAGTTGTAAACCTTAATAATATATAACGATTCAAATGTAAGTAGAAATGACCATAGCAATTTCATTCTGTTCATATACATGTATATATATATATAGTGTATTTTACTTATTTCACTTCTGGTTGTCTATCTTTCTGACGAAATGGGCATGACGCAGTGAGTTTTTGCATTATTTTAACATTTTTCTAAAATTGAACATTGAGATTGAACCGTGTTTCCTTTGCCCCCTTTTTGCCAAGGGTTATGCAAACCCAATTTCCGAATGCATTTACAAGCATCGTGTGAATGGTAGCGTTTTATTCATGTCTCTGGGTCAGTTACTTTGGCGTAAGTAACTGATTGATCATGTGACCTCAAGGGTGGAGATTCAATTCTGTTGTGTGGCCGTCGAAGATTTGACGAGTAAAATTAAAGGCGCCACGTTCTCCCTGTCGGGTTTTTTTTTATATTCGACAGTATGTTTTTTATCGCATAGGGCCCTATATTTAATTTGCAGATTTATGAATTTTGTCTTTGCACGGCAGAATTTGATTTACTATTTAGAAGTTCCATGTATTTTAATGCAATCCTTTAAACCATCAGTGTGTCCAGTTGAATTTATAGGAATTAAAAGAAGTCCAATTCAAACCGTCCATTTATCACTTTTAATTTTTCCCCTAAATAAATTTTATTCTAGTTTCATGAAATAACACTAAAAAAGGAATCATTTTGTGAAATATGTATTCGACCTCTTGGAAATAAAAATGAAAGCCAGACAGCACTTCAACTTGTCAGCTGTGTCCAACTCTTGCATAGTAATCTTCCAAGCTCGGGACTAGTGTCCATCATATCAGGCATACATTCGCCGTTTTCATCTACCAAGCGCGGAACTAATGTCCATCATATCAGCCATACATTCGCCGTTTTCAGTCTCAAGTATCGTACATTTTCGTCTTGTACTTTAAAAGCTTCGACCCCGCCACAGCTTCACGACTGAGCATAAAAGCCCGTCATTTCTCCCGACTCTATTTACCATCCTCAGCATATATAGGTCACCTTAACATTTCAAGTGCTCGCCGTTTTTTGCCTTCTGTGTGGCGTTATGGAATCGTTGACTTTCTTACTGACCCTTATGGACTTGAGTGGTTCAAACATCTTCACTGGACACAGCAAGTTCTGAAGAGGTTCTTGAAATAAAATCATATACAAATCAATATAGGCCTAATATTGTCTATGCAAAACAGTCGGATCTTTATTGTCCACAAGTTTCTATAAGTTTGCAGCAACGACTAACCACTTTGGTTTGGAGGTGAACCGACTTTCGAAAGTTAAGAATTATAGTTGATGACATCAAGAAAAGACGAAATGAGACATGAAGTGAAGGATGTCATTAAAAGACAGTAGTGATAAAGTCGAATACATGCATGCACTTGACTCAATTCCTCCGTTTTTATTATAAATCAAATTGAAATAAGACTCAAGCGGCTGCATCCCATCTGTGTTTTTGTTGAAATCCAAGCCGTATCTTACCCTTAACGTGTGGTCGTCTGTGCCGCTCTCTCATAGTTTCTCTGGTCATAAGAGAGCACTTATCCATCCACTCTTCAAACACGCAAGGCCTGGTACGCATCGTATAAGAAGCACACCCCTGGAGACATACTCCATCAGCAGCTCACTAACCACGTCCAACCCACGGACAAAATATAGACCTGAAAAGTTCTCAAGTATTGCGTCTGGCAGTGCACGACAAATTTGCGATGGAAATAATTATAGCTTCCATTAAGATTTGTGCAACGAATTTCAAACACAGTTATTGAGTGCTATTTTTAAAGGCAGAGTGCAGTGGCGAGTGCAAGATCTTTCAATGGAATTAATTAAACATAAGAAAATGCTTTCTGATTTCTCAAAGCGGCACACTTTATCACTGCTTAGGGGCCCGAACATTACAACGGAGGCAAAGTAACGAACGACAAGTTCTGAAAAGGAAGTTCTGAGACGAATTTCAAAGTTTGTGCTTACGATTGACCGAGCCACAGTGTTCATTTTAGGGTATTCTTGTAGTTGTTGGACGAATCGTCGGAAACGTATAGTCGTTATTTATTTTGAATATCAGTTAAGACAGAACTTTTGATTTACATCTTCATTGTTTATTTACATAGGACATTAAACTTGAAATGACGGAATAGTTGCGATCGATGACAACACTTCACTGAATTGAAGTGGAATAAAAACGTCGAATTTGTGTTTTGGTTTGGCAAAATTTCGATTCAATTTAATATGCGGCGAATGATAATCAGATTGAATTGCTGCCGTTGCTGAAGCAGCCAGGATATTTGACGTTGGTGACTCCGAATTAGTGATTATTCGTCGCTCAATAAATATCGGAAGTGAGCACTCTACGCTGTCAATCATTGGTTGGTTTAATGTACCGGTAATGAATTATATCAATTTCAGGATTACTAGCTGCCAAATCATTTACTAACTAAGCTTTTTGTACAAAACAGTACAAAGTTGAATCTGATGAAAGAAATCGTTCATGAGCATTAACCTCTCTATGTCTTTTTGTCCTCAGCTTTATGCCGAAAGTATTTCGCCACGACTAAATTTGTTTGTTAGAAATTGTTGATGACGTTTTAGCATAAATATCACGAAAATATTGATGTACAGTTTAGTGAGAAGAAGCGACAATTTCATTTGTCTTGTAGCTCCTAATCATATTTGATAAAGTAATGATTCTTTACTATTTCAAAGATCTGTTAGATGAGAGTTATTTCAACAGGGAAACCATTTAAATGAAAACCCTTTTTTCGATTTTGTATTGATCAGTCTTTAAATTTTGCTGCTGGAGGAACCATCACGTAAATGCAACTTGATTTCCTCACTCAGATTCCATTAATCTTACCAATATTTACCTAAGCACACGTAGCCTATAGGTGAATGCTATGGCATTCCCATTGGTCCTATATAGACAATTCTTACCTTAGTCATTGAACGTGATTCTACTTTGTTTCTTGCTTCAAGCCGAGCATCTTGTTATCATGTGTTCGCCTACGGAGAAACTGTTTCCTCAGTTGGTTGTCTCAAGCCTCTGGTCAAAGACGTTCATTAAAGAGAGCAGTCTGTAGCCTGCCCGTATACTGGCAGAAACCTGTCACATCATCATCACACCTGTAGTCAAATACTGTCTCATCAACACATTGTCGAAGATGACGTTAATGAATCGCTTGTGTATCTTTAAGTGAGTCTTTTGATATCAATCACTGTGTAGTTTGTTCCTGTTCTCCGCTATTCCTGTGTTAATTTACAGAGCCTATCATTTGTACATCCACATCATGCACTAGAGGTAATTAAACTCAGTTCGATTGCGTTACGTCATCGTGGTTGTATCTCCATGTTTGCTGTATGTAGCTCTGCAGACAGCTATGTAGCAATCGATTTGCTTCGGTGGGTGGGACTGGCCCTGGAGTTATCTAGGAAGCGAAATGACAGTAGGGTAGGGTTTAGTAGGCTAACAACCTGATGAAATCCACCTCATCACACTAGATTCTTCAAGCTAGAAGTATTGCCGAGATGTAAATTCGTGCAGGATTTCTGTGCGAGGGAGGATGTGAGTAAATTCAAGTAGAACTCATGGTTAATTGCTGTGGATAGTGCGTCGAGCGTGACTACCTCGCCCGGCCGTGTGTTCTCCGGTATCATTATGAGGCGAGCGTGGTGAGGTAGGCAGTACAGACCAACCCTCTTGTACGGTGATTCTACAACGCATGCTCCATAGCAACCTAGTGCTATCCACTACACATCGTGTCACGGTCCATCTCAATAGACAACTCGCTTTGTCGCTTTGTCATCTGCTTCTTATGAAACAAGGGGTGGGATGTCCATGCCAGGGTCAATACCAGCGTATACAATCCCACGAGATTATTTTGGCAACCGTTTCTATTTCACTCAGAATTCTTGAGCGAAAATGGGTTTCGGTATACGCCTACATTCGGATAACAAAACAACTTAATTGATTGCCTGAGTAAAAAAAGTACGGAATTAACCAAGTTGAAGAAAATAACTCCGAATAATTTTGATGGCTGCTATATTTTGGCACGGCTGTTTTTTATTTTATTTTAATGGTTCTTTGTTTACCAACATTCTGCACTCCGCGAAGATACCTGTGTCATGCGCTTTATATTGCGCAGTTCCTATTTCATTGTCTTCAACATCGATATCATGGATTCATACTTCTTGAAATATATGCAGTTTTAAACCTCTCAAGTGTTAACAGTAAAAAAAAAACCCAAATACATGTACTACATACTGTATTGTTATAAATCTCATCAGATTTTCTGGTCAAACTCTGGTTAATTGCTCCGTTGTAATACAGCTGCCGCATTAATTAATGTTATCTTTTCCATTCTACACGATCTCCCTTGCCTCAGTTGGCAGTAGTAGTTTTACAGTTGGTCCGCGTCATATAAAAGCATTTTGCCCCCGTGTAAAAAAGTTCTCAACAGTTCTGAAAACTCATTCTATTTTTTGGTTACCAAAGCAACTTTCATAGCAACTTTTGATCGTGCGTATGTATTGACGTCTGTTTTGCCGCTTTGTTTTATAACTCAGTTATATTTCCCCAATCAATATTTCGTGTTGCACACCTGCATTGATATTCATCTAGATTCAATTTGAAACCAACGGATCGAATTAAAATCTCGACTGAGTTGGACTAAAGGCACACCCTTGACTATGGGTATGTGCCACTGAGTGGCTAAGGGGACGAGGGTTTTTCACAAAGTCATTGTCTTGAATGACGAAGTGGTTAAGTACTACCTGGGACAATATAAAAAGATGATTGAAAAATAGTTTGAAAAAAAAAATCTGACAATTTTGAAGCGTTTAATGATTAAAGTATGTAAAACGTAATAGCAATTAGATTTTCGTAGGTCAACGTCAGTAATTGTAATTAACATCATAACGACCCCTCCACATTTATTAATGTAAATGTTGACAACTTTTTGAATGCCGCGCTCTGATAAGTCAGTCCCGACTTTTCGAATATTTGCCGAGGACATGGAGTAAGCGAATTTCCTTTTCTTATGATAACTGGGGAGGTAATCTACCACGTCCAGCTCTGGATTGCTGCCCAATTATGGAACGAATGTCACTGTACATTGCAGCAGAAGTCAGAATATTATACCAGATGAATGTGATCGTCTTTAAATCTAAACCATGTTGATATCTACTTGTTTACCACCAACCCCTCCATATCCCATCTGTGCGATTATTTGCCCCAGATTTTGACTTCCTGATGCACACTTGTAGAACTGAGATCTCTGGAGCATATCTTTGTTCTTACTCCAGGCTGCATTACTTGCATGCTCAGCGGTTCAAAAAATTATAACTTGTATCGACGTCATGGACCTCTCCTCTACGACATCTTGCTTATCAGCTTTCTTAGATCTTTGCTGAATCTTGCCTCTATATCTAGTTAACGTTTATAATAATATTCAATTTCATTTTGTTGTGGCCTCCAGAATGAAGTCAGATGTTGTTTCCGCGCAGAAAACTTCGATTCATAATAATGTCAGCGAAGTAGACCCTTCGTGATCAATTTGGAGGTTTGAATGATCGCCTTTTTCAGTAGTCATGAACCAGTTAATTGAGTTGGCCGAATAGTACATTTGTAACGGAATATTATACAGGAGCAATTGGCTGCGTGAACTGGGAAGAGCGGGATGTACCTGACCCCACCGGATTAACTGTCATCTATAATATATTGTATGTGTGATGAGATATGACAATGATATGAATTCAGAATGTGTAGATTGGTTGGGGATCGTTGTGCGGATGAGGTGGGGCGGCGGGGGAGGGATGAGATGGGGCGGCGGGGGAGGGATGCACATCCAACACTCTCTTTGAAATGAGGGTCAATCTTTAACATTTCACTCCACAGCAACACGAATATTAAGACGTAGAAATAATGGGAAAGCTAAAAGGTGATTTCAATCAAGCATAACATAAATAAACACGCAGTGAGCAAAATATCATCTTGCTCGCACTTCTATCCAATACGAAATGAAATGGTAAGCTCAAGACATCCTGTCGTCTTCCTTGGTTGTTATACAGGAGTAAAGACTAAAGAAAGGCAAGCAATACCCCTAAGACTAGGTCATGCATGCATGACTGGCAAGTCTACAGGCAGCCTTCATGTCTCATCATAAAGGTTGAAATAGGTTAATTAATTATTAGTGGACGCTGTGTCTGCATGGCCCATGCTCCTTCGTAAAACAAATAAGGTATATGTTGCTGGAATGGCAATCAAATTGAGAATCCGGTTCTCGAAACCGGCTGAGGCTAAATTAATTTTGAAATATTACCTTATTCCAAAACCGGTTATAAAGAAATACATATTTTAAGGAGTAATTCATTAATTAAAATATAAAATCATTTGTAATTTGTTTTCCAAAGCAACTTCCCGCGACTGTTAATAATTTCGTCAAAGCGCTTTTAAAAAAAATAGTCAAAATTCTGAGGTGACTTTGCACTCAAACCTGGTTTATTCCTAAACAACTTTTTTTTCCACTGGAACGAGCAAAATATATAAATTCACTCAAAATGAATAAAAACGCACAGATACTGCAAAAGTGCAAGACCTCAATTATAAAAAAAGTTAAAATTTGTTACAAATCTTGAAAATAAATCTTTTATAAGATAAAATACAAACTTGGAATGGCTCGGATTACATCAGTAATACTGCTCTTCTTGACCAGTTCATGAAAAGATTAATAGAAATTCTTGTAACTGAAACCTAGAATAGTTCTTGAATTTTACGTTTTTACTTGCAGTTTTGTTTAAAAAAATCCTTTTTATCAGCTGTATTAAATCCATAGTAACATGCCTCAAAATAAAAGCATCAGCTTTGTTTAATGGCGTGATGAAGATAATTAAATACTGTCCGTAAACATTTAGGTAAACTTTGTTTTCTCAAAAGTGGTGACACTGCAAACAATTTCTAGAGAATAATTTCAACATATTTCTGATTCAAAAGAATAATTAAAAAAATCAATTACTGTTTAATGAACAATTAAATAATACAAACATCCAAAAGAATTTAAAGCACACTTTCTTAATTTGGTTATATTAAGGGTAATGATTAACACATGACTCTAATTGTTTCGATAACAAAATCCAAAAGCAGCATTTAACAATCTCACTGTTTGGATGTTGGTTTTGAGTCGTTGGGAAGAGTAAGGGTCTGGACACAGGCAGACATGTCATTCCGTGCCATAGTCTACAACCAGACAAACACTCTCAAGAGCTGCTTTATTGAACGAGGATTTCTTTGCCCAGAAATGAAGAGTAAGGTGAGTGTTCACACATAGAAACGGAGAAGTTCTTTCTATGGACTCGGGCCTTGAAACTGCACTACCGCAAAATGTCTGCATTATCAACTTCTGAATTATATGAGCTCAACATGACCTGGCCTATTTTGATAAGACCTTCTCAGTATCTTTCATCTTCAGCTCGCTGCTACCAGAATTGCTTTGATTCCATTCTTAAGTTCTTATGAGACTCAAATCGATAACTGGATAGTAGTGTTTGTTTTGACCTGGGGAAAGAAATGTAATTCGTTTTTCACTGCCGTAAAAAAAGCCAGTGAAATGTTTGGTTAAATATACTTGTTTCTGGCATGTGAGGGTAATTTGATGTAAAAATTGGTAAGAGAGCACCAGTCAACCGGAAACATTCATCCATCTCACCAAGAAATCTTCTTCGATAAAGTAGCTCTTTCCTTTTGCTTTCTACTTACTATAGACAATTACTTGAAAGTCTATGTTCATTAATTGATATCCTGGGGTTTAATGCAAGAAGCAAGTTACCACTCGCAGCTCAATCCACTCAATACATCATAAACACTGGAATTAATTAAATATACATTCAGATTACATTGTGTATTTATACTATTCTATTTGTTTATACAAGTAACTCCAATCTGTGGCTAATTGAAAAAATGGGATTAAAAGACTAAAGGCACTTCTCCATTCTAGACAATCTCAACAAACTCAGTATATATGACACATCGGGAAAATGTGAAAAATCTGAAGCACTCTAAACAGGGCCTATATCCAAATATGGAATGCAACAAATATAATGAATGCTAGCTGATCACTTGGTAAACAAGACGTGGGTTGGATTCCCCGACTTCAAGGGTTTTTTTTTTTCTTCTACGGTTGCTGGCTATGAAAAACCAGATGAACAAAGTTACCATCTTTGTTTTTACAAGTCAAGAACTCTCAATTTCACTCCACTCTTAAATGTCCATCCCCATTTATAGGCACATTGTATTGTGTGCTTCCTATATGAAACTGCTTACACACTTTAAATAGACAACGTTTGTTAAGCCAGAAACTTTCACAATTTACATGACAAAAGATGTGTATAAACATTTCTCTGAGTACTGTACCCCCCTTTACAGATTACAAATTGTATTATCACAAGAGTTATTTTTAGCATTAACTCTTTACCACTCTCGGAGTGAATTTAGGGTATGTGTTTCTTTCACCAGCTCTTGGCATTCTGTTGATATGTACCATTCAGAGTAAGTCCCTACATGTGGACAGGAGTATTAAGTTGGATCTTTGTTTGTTAAACTGATGAACAAACCAAACGACTTGGTAGAAGGTAAATAGAGAAATGAGGCAAGAACTACTTAAGGATCCCCGCTTCCTTCCTCTCAACTCTATCATTACACACTTCAACCTGCATGTATCAAGCTGTGAAAATAAATCTAAAATCATGTGTGAGATGTAGGATGCTAGGGGAGACATTGGCATTTATATGAGATATTGGCAGACCACTTGAAATCACTGTGAAGACATTGGGTAGATATTCATGATGATGTTATTACAGTTGGGGTGAAGGAAGGTAGGCAACTGGGTAGGGGAGGGGCGGGTAGGGGATGGGGTGGGCAGAGTAGGAAGTCACTGTCTTTAACCATCACATTTCATAGATTTAGATGATTTGGCTGCATCTTGTAAAGGAGTAGCACATGGCATCAGTAGTGAACACAAGATTAATGCACTTGTTAGTGCAATAAATTGCATGATTGCCCCCAATCATCATCATATTGGCCAGTCATTCATCATCACTGTGAGTCATCGCACTATTAACAAAACTATAATACAGTAGTTCCATCACTAATAATATCTGTGATCCTTGCTATCTCAGTGCAGATGCAGACTGCCTATTATAAATGAGCAATAAAAATATAATACTTAGTTCATATTCAAGTAAAATGCACTGAGGAATTTCAGCTCTGTGAGGTTCCTTAACAAAGTTTGCATAGCAACAATGGGTTATGGACGGATATGGAATGTCACTCCCAGAATTAATGAAACTCTAACATTTTTGAAACGATTACATTTAATATATTTTAAAAATACAATAAACAAATACATTGGCACTTTCACATATTAGTTGAATCATTAATCAGAATACATGTACATATTCTTTTCATACATCTGGACTAATCAATTGGAAAAAAAACACTCACGTCACAAATATTTGCACAAACACTTAAAATCTGGTTCTTTTAAATCACATCTCATACAATCATTTCACTGGTCTTTTACATGTGTGTCACACATCACAGCAGTCAAGTTTAAGAAAATCCCACTAAACCACAAGAGAAAAGCAACTTGGGTCTCTTGAATCATAGATGGTATTCAGTCAAGCAAAGAATTCTGATTTAAATGGGATTCATGCCTGCAACCTTCCTGAGGTCGTAGATTTAAATCCCTCATTCAATTTAATTTTCATCAATAATGTAAACGGTAACTATTTTGGACGGATTACGTGCCCTGACAATCCCTTTGCCAGAAACTGTGTTCACTAAAGAACATATTGACCACACCAGAAAGCTAATATGGCATGTCCATTATCTAGAGAGGCTTCAAAGAAATGATCCTCATTTCGCTGGATAGGATGGATATTTCCATTGGCAACTATCACTAGTTACCTTAGTAACTGGAAAATGAGGAGGAGGCACTCATTGGTCTCGGAGACAAACTACTGCCAGGACGAGAACCTACGAACAAAAAAAACATGAAAATGAATATTTCTGGGTGAACATTTGAGTGATTTCATTTTTTTTGTTTAAAAAACATTCAGCAAATTAAGACAAAAAAATCAAACTGCCAAATTGAAAACATTCACTATTTTTTTTTTTGGGGGGGGGTCAACATTGACATTACATGGGACAAAATAACAAATTAAGTACATGTACCTGAATAGATCATTGCAGTGAATGCCTATTTTTTTTAAACCTCAAGGTTTTGACAATGCTGAAATGCGAGTCGTACATGTCCATTTCTACTGTGTACAATAAAATTTAGCTTGAATACAAATGCAATGGTGAACCAGCAGTCCTGAATTCAAGTACACATACACTGGTTGCCAATAATGTCAAGTACCAATAGCAGTTTGTGTTTCAATCATTGTGAATCATGTCATTCAAGTCTGCAACCTACTGGCTAAATTCTGTCGCTGGTAAAGTGACATAGAGTAGCCTACATAGCGTAGACAAGCACATCTGCACTATGTACACAATCACCAAAGCTGCAGGCTTTTCATCCCATGGCACGTTGAAGAATAAATAGACTATGTGTGGAATTACCGACTAGCTAGCGCGCTTGTCTGCCTCTCTGTTTGACTGAAATGGCTTTTGTTTCCCCGAGCTATATATAGCCAGCTATTGATTTACACCTGTATATAGGTCATACTGGTAATTAACGAGCAGAGTCAACTAATGTGCATAGAGAGAGCTAGGATATGGTGGTAGAAACACAGGTTACATATCAATTAAGATCAATGCAAATATGAATGGGACAACTTAACCTGTGCCAGATCTAGACATATCCCATTAACAAATGAATAGGAATCACACCTGGAATTCATGTGCATAAGGCGGCCTAAATACTTGTAGTTTTTTTTTTTTTGATAGTTTATTCATGATATGTATTCTTAGTCCGTCCAATCATATAACTACACGTACTTTTAATTAAATTCAAACACCTCAATTTGCAGGATTTAATTAATTCACGACTGTTCAGCCCGGCAACTATCTTTCTTCACACGGGGCAATTTCGTTCAAGTATGTATAATGAATAGTGCATTTTTGGCACATTTAGGAAACGTCAAAATGAAACACACATGAGTTACTTTAGGTCTAGTAAATATTACAGCACGTAATTAACTTAAGTCGTTTATGTTAATAAAAGGAAAGATGAAACACAAAATACAGAACCCAAAATGTATATGAGAAATAAAATTAAAAACCATCAAAGGAGAGGTGTCATTGACTGATACTGACCGACATTGTGGTTTAAGTTTACATTTTCAAGAGAATCTTGTTGCCTTATGTTGACGCTGTGTATAATAATGTATTGACATGAAGCCAGAAGGCGTGAACTAGTCGTCTACTCGGGTAATTCTATGATCTAAAACAAACACACTCTGTTTATACTCCAAATAATTTCAAATCAGTAATGCCTCTGTGGCGTGTAGAAACCTATTAAAGGGGAAATTTAAGACAACACTTTTGAAAGGCAAAGTCAAATAGAAACTTGATACACTGCTCCAATGTGTTTTTCCTACAAAAGTATTTTGTTTCCACTTGAGACTAAAAAGCATAACAGCCACTTGGAGTAAAAGGGGCTTAACTATGAGCAGAATGAATATGAGGCAACGTCATATCTCATGTTAGACAATCACTTGGAAGTGAACCCATGACCTCCAAAGTGATGTAATAGTACCGTTCTTTTAACACAAGGTCCACATTGTGGAAATGAAATGATCATTCTTCGTAACTTGAAAGGTTGAGATGCCATGTTTCTCTCCGGATGAGTGGAGATTGACTTCTTACCTGCAGGGCTGAAGGATCCGTTCATGTTTCGACGAGGACTAGGTGACCTTCCACTCCTTGGAGTTACAACTCTGCTTGGACTACGACTTCTTCTTGGAGAAGCCTAGTCAATGAAACAAAATACAAGGAAATCATATAAACGAATTCTACATATATACATTGTACCTTGTACAATAAGATTTGATCTTCAAAAAAAAGAGCAGTTTTATGGATCAATCCTGACCTAAATCCTAACCTAAATCACTGGCTCCCACAGCAGTCAACCTGGTGGGAATACAGACATGTCTGTGCATGATTTGAGGGTCGTGTTATTGATTTTAGCATGAGCATCATGTGTGGTTAGAGTTATTATTTCAATAGCATCAGAGGTTTAATTATAGAGCGTATGTACATTCTGAAGATCAAGTGATCATAATACTCCCCTGGCTCAGCTGATATTGGTTTAGTAGTCTTGACTACACACCAACTGTGTATACAAGGCACCTGAATTCACTTTGTGATTGTATTATCATCTCTTAGCATCAATTACAAGGTTGAAAGCCATTTTTATCATGGTTAATTTAGAATAATTTCAAAATATTCAGCACTATTTTTTATTTCTCTTTTTTTCCCCTTAAAAATGCAAAATGTGATGGTAATGGTGTTGTAGGTAGATATGTTATTTAAATTTGATCTTGTTTAAGAAGCTGCTGCTAGTGCACACGCTGATTTGAAACACTCAAACAACTTGACCAGGGCCATGTTATTACACAAATGAGTGTGGACGTGCATGATGGCATATGCTGTTCTTGTTTGACTAGAACTTGACCTTCTAATGTAGTGTCACCCTTTCTCTCCACCTAGGGATATTATGGGAACCTGTGAGGGCAGTGTTTGTTATATACTCCTCAGAGATTTGAGATGAATGGAGGAATGAACAAATCCATGTGACAGTATCAAAATTAAACTTTTGATCTGATTGAACTGCTTCTCACATTTTACTTTACATCACACACACACGCAGTACAAGACAACAGGAGAATACCAGATTGAAAAATAAACCCATGTGACTTACAAGGGTAGCGCCACGTCTGGTTACAGCCTCTCCCTTGAGTAGAATCTTGCCTGTTATAACCTCCTGTAGTGCAGGCCAGATGTAGTGACTGACCAGAGCAGCAGAATATTCAGAGTCGTAGCTGCGACGGTACCTAATAGACATTGAAAACCAACTTGATTTGAACTTTACGGAATGTGTCACAAGTTTGCTAAACATCTTTCACAAGATTGCATGATGAAAATAAAAATGATGTATGCTTAGACTTCTGAAAATTGCCCAAATTTAACAGCTAATTTTGATTGACCTTGTTGATACTGCCCTATACTGCCACAGTGGCTTGGCTGTGAATGCTGCAAGATGGAATGGGGAAGCTGTCTGCGTTAGACGAAAAATATTATAAACATCTAATCTTTGGCCAAGAACACCCAGACAAGACAAGTGTTTTGTGGATGTTGAATAGAAGCTTTGATTGGCTTTATAAACTCTAGTCAGTGATATTATACAATTTGTACTCACTTGAAGTCATCAAACAGTTCACTCTTCCTAGCTGGTGCGATATCCAATGGATTAGGCAAAGCACTCATTTCCCAAGCAACCTTGACCAACTCACGAATGAAGAGAGACAGAGACTTGAAATCCACCTCAGGAGGATAGGACAGAACTGGATGAGTGTTCATTGCCAGTAACACATCCTGAAAACAAACAAACAAATAAGATGCATGTATAAATAAAAACCAGAGTGATTTGACTTGATCAGAGTTGTAATGATGTCTGTGCAGTAATTCACTGTATGAGTGGTCTTATGCTGCAGTTTATTTCGGTAGTTGACATCAATTGCAAAGAGTTTACAGTTGGAGGGGGAATACCACAAGGACTTAAATTAACAGTAATTATAATAACATGTCGTTTAAATTAATAATAAAAGCGGCCCGATGTTGCGAACTTAACAAGTTCTTCTTCAGAGGCCTCTGAAGAACAACGTGTTAAGTTCACAACGTCAGGCCGCATTCACTGTTTAGATTTGTATATTTCAGGTCAATCCAGTCAGTAAGCAGTCTGCAACAGTCCTATTTATTTTCTTGTTTATACATGTATAAGTAATATTGATAAACACTTAAGCAACTTTGCTTGTATTTGGTCATACATCTGTGTTCCTCTGAAATGCCATACAGACCTGTATGAACCAGTGCACCCTATCAATGAGTTCTCTCTCAACTTTTATGAGTAGGCAACTCAGTGCTACCTACAGTCAACTGAATTACCTGCACAATGCTGTGAACATCCAGTAGCTGTCCATTCTTATTGATGTAGTTTTGTACAGCTTCTTCCAGGGTTTCTGGCCCAGTGTGAGTGAGTTGCAGAGTGCTGCGGACCTTACTACGATACAGACGATAGGCTTTCTTAGCACAGTGAAAGGCTTCCTGGATAGAGAGAGTCAAAGGTAAGAAAAGGACTGGATTATGACATAATATCTTGTGAATTGACTGAATGAAGAGGGCACAAGCATTACTACAGATAAATGTTCTAAACATAATTGCTCACTGTCCCACTGCTTTCAGGGCACTTTCGTGTGTTTTACTGCCAAAAGACAGCATTTTCAAACTTTTAATAAAATTCAAAGAAAACAATCCATAACTACATAATGTGAAGCAATTTATCATTAACCTGTGGTGTGTCAGTAGTGCGCCCTCTAGTGGGCATAGGCAATGAGTTATCACCACGTTGGATTTTAATTGCATAATAAGAGTTGTATTGTTGATCTGTTTGTATCTGTGTTCACTACGTATTGGCAGTGAGGATTTGAAATGGCCCACCTTGAACCTCCTCCATCATTGCTTGCTACTGGGTAATCCTCCAATACGTTGGAAACAGTGGGACAACATATCATTTGATTTCACTTACCAAGCAAAGTAGTAGCTTAATGAAACAACTGTTCACATATAAATGATGCCTAAATTATGGTTTTGCCTATGTGTGACCTAATGTGCTATAGCTGACGTCATTGTCCAACTTGGCTATTGGTAAAATTATTGCCTGTTAGTGGAAGGGCTAGCTTAAGCTATATTCTAAATGTAATTACCTCAGCACAAGCAAAGACAATCTGTTGATTGATGTCATGATCATCAGACAATGTACGGAGGATATCCATGGCATCCATACGATCACGTGAGAACATATCACCAAAACGAGTAACCAGATGAGATTGACGTACACGCTGCACAACATCACTACTGACTGAAACAGTAGACCTTGGGCTAGTAGGAGGCAGGGACGATGTCAGATAATCCATCCTGAGCAGACAGAAACGATAAAAGAAAAAAAATCAAAGTAGTTAAAGCTTACAGTAGCTTTCTGACTGAGGCTTTGAATTGTTGGGAACTGTATTGCAACCTATAATTTATGCCGCTGAGAACAAACTGTTTGAGTTCAATATTGGGTTTTGTCCTTCACCGACATATTTTTATAAACACTGTTTACCCAGTGTTGTTGTCCCGAGTGACTGGGAGAAAAACTCACTCGGGTGGGACTCGAATCTACCACCTCCTGCTTACTAGTGCAGACGTCTTACCACTCGACCACTGAGCTTGCCAGGGTCGGCTGGCTGGTTTGAATCAGATATAGCAGCGGGTACTGCAACGTACAAAACTATTTGTAAGATGGAATTTGCAAAACCCAGTATTGAATTATGAATAGAAAAACTGTTGGGGGCATTGACTGAACTTCTCATACAGTTAACTATCACAATTTGTAAGGTAGAGAAAGTCCACCCACCTCCCTGTTAGAATGGCCTTCTCTTCTCTCAATAAGTTGACATCTTCCCTCAATCTACGAGCTTCAATCTCATAGCTCTCCAGAACACCAACGCGAGACTTGTACACCTCAAGCTCATCCTTCAGGGCTTTGATGCTATCATTGAGAAAAAAAAACACATGGTATTTAAAATGTAAGACATAATAGCAGTAGCACAAAAACGGAGAGGGGTAGGGAGGTTAATTTGCACCCTCCAGGCACCATCCCTTTCTTAGAAATTTAAGAAGTAATTTTCATGTACAGTAGCAGGACGGCGGTCAAACTGAGGGCTTCATGCATACAACTTGGTCCTCAGACACAAGAATGCAATGTCACTATGACTGCATCCCTCTCTTGCAAAGACCTTACACAGGGTTGTGCATATTCAGTTGAAGAGTAACCATGCACAAGACTATTCACCATGTTTACATAAAACTAAAGTGGAAAAGTGACGTGCTCTTCTTTGGCTCTCATAAGTTAGCCATGCAGCCCTTTGTACATGCAACCATGCAACCCAGTTTCTGGTATGGAGCTTGCCCCAAAAGTGGTGCAGCGACGCAGCTTTTTTTTTTTCTTTTTTTCTTCTTCAAATGTCGGCTGATGACTGCAAATGGTGCCAGACTAAACTTAGTGCAAAAATATATGGGAGTCCGGTGAGGCCACATAAAGCTAATACTCGGATCGTAACCCCATTTAAAAACACGTTAAAATTATGCAGCAGCAGCATTCCAGTCAAACCAGTGAGTTGGCAGTTTTGAGACATCATCTTACATTGAAAAAATAAAAAAAAAATTTATTTTGCCGATGCGCATGGCTATGGCGCCACGCCCGCATACTAGAAACCGGAGCCTTGGTTTTTTATCCGTACTCATTTTATTTTGGACTTACCTAGAGTTAAGTCTGATTGTATCCTCTTCATTCAGTATTGCCTCTCCCATGGATGAGGAACGCTCCTCCTCCAGCTTGGATTTTGTGTCTTGCAATCTTTGAATACAAATATAAAAAGAATTTACAAATGTAACACACATAAAAATCAGCTGTAACCTGATTCCTTACTCTGTCTAATTAATTTTACATTTCTTGTCAATGGTGTGGGTCTATGTGTAAGCTGATCAAAAACTCTATTTTGCTTCCACATATTTCCTTTTCTTGCACTGCCTTTTATGATAAATTCTTACCATTTTTTTTCTTATTTTGCTTAGAGAAGTGGAGGATGGCCTCACATTTAATACCAGGATATTTTTCAATGATTCATTTCACAATTAGAAATCAGCAAGTATTTCGAAGCAGCCTTTTTTTCATAAAATTTGTTATTTCTGCCAGAAAAATGATGTAGGTGCCAAGTGCCTCTTAATAACTTAATTCATAATTAATTTCAGTAATGACAGGTGTTCAAGAGTGCTACCTGCAGGGTCAATTACGCACAAACAACCTTTTCAATATCGGTATTGTGTTAGATGCTCTGAGTTTTTCAATTTCAATCAATGCATATAATGAAGTACATGTGGAACTGGAAATGAACAGGAAATTGTCAGAAATGTTGCCATAATGCTAAACTTGGAGAGCAATTAGTTGGTCAGATGGGGAAATCAATTGCCTAACTTCACTCTCGGCTTCTAAATAATTTATGGGCAACAATTTTTATAATTCTATCTGTCGGCCTTTCATAGAAAGGATAATTAAATTGGACATTTGAAATTGAGCCAAGTTTTTTAAGGCAAGACAGATGAATTAATTACCAGTTTAGATATTTTGCAAAAGTAGCATAAACACTGACTGCTAAACTTACTCTTGTTTGAGTGAATCTGACACATTCCTGGAGGTATCCAAGTCCTCCTCAAGGTCCTGCAATTGAGCTTCAAAATCAGCTCTCATCTTAGACAAAGCTCGGTCTTTCTTGGCAACATCAGCCATCATTTCTAAGCTTAAGTCTGTGGTTGCAATGCTTGATGTAAAGCCTTGAGTCAACCAAGGCAGCAGACGATTCTTCAGTGCGTCACATCCACCATATATACCCCCTGTACAGTCATTCCAGAAAGAAACATTCATACCATGGCTTTCACTTTTGTGATTAGAATTCAAAGTTAGAGGGATTCAAATGCTATAATTGTCTGTTCCACTTGCCATCAATTGTTTGAGTTGTATTTCAATTACATTTTCAGTCAATGTGAAAATACCTTTATATAACGTCTGTACATGTAAACTGTTCATATGACCAGGCATTACTAAGGTGACGAATATACATGGACATGTGTAACCTGAAAAATGGTTCACCAGATCACTTCAAAGAAAATGTAGTTGGGAGAAAAAAATAAAATAACTTGCAAACTTCACACTGGTTCAGGAAGCTTTAATTTGATCTGAACAAGTAGGGACCAAACAAACGTTAGTTCCTTCAAACAAACACAAACAAAATCTGTTTTAATCGTTGCTCAACAGTGATAGAAAAAACAACTGAATAAGTGATAGGAAAAAAAACATTGTTTGAGACTTTCCAACTCAAGTTATACCTGGAGAAGAAATAGTTTGATCCCAAATAACTAGACAAGTGAAAGGCAAATATTCAGATCCTAGAATTAAAAACAAAAACTATCCAAGTAAAACACACAACATGAATTATAAACAAATGAAAGAAAAAGGTAAACAAAAGAATTAGCACAACACAGATGAATTACTAAGATTTTAAGAAGAGTACTTGACAACATCCAAGTCATGGAGCAGACCAAACTTTCTTGGCAGATCTAGTACACAGTGGGGAACACACTACGTACTTGTACATGTACTAAAGAATAGATGGGCGTAGCTTAGAAAAATATCAATTTTTCAGTCTTCACAGGGGTGACACATTTGCCTAATGTTTATTTCAAGATTCATGTTTTTCATACAGTTATTCTGAGTGGTATTTTCTTAATAATAAATAGGGGGAAATTGTATACGGTTTACTGCTGGTCAATCAAAAGATTGAAATATACTTGCCTTCTGCTGCTGAGAGATTAAGAATTAGGAAGAGTTGACCTTGCAAGCGTGATGTTAGCTCAATCAATTCACAGCAACGATGAACATTCTCATCACATGTATTCACCTGCATAGGGTTAGAAGTTAATCCTCAATTGAGTCAGAATACCAAGGTGTAGTAAACAGAGTATGCCCACATGAACTGCAACACTTCACTGAAATTTTGTTAGACTTTACATACATGTAGTTTTATCCACCATGTTTATAACACAAGTTTCAGTCAAGTGGGGCTGTCCATTTTGGAATAACTTAGTATTCGATTACTGGAAACTGAGTTTGATCGAATATTCAGCTATACGAAACTGCCAGCTATAGGCCTACTGCGTGCCCAGCCAGTCAAAAATTGCATACTGAGCACGCTAGCACCAGATAAACTTTGCTTGAAGCAATCGATATGGAGTGTTTTGCAGTAAGTCTAGGGTTTATATTACCTGCTAAAAGGAAAGACACAACAAACAGTCATTGACAAAAAGATACCGTCGTCAAAAAGGGGCCCCTGACAATATAATGCTGCAACGTTTTGATAAAGCTTAAAGTAACATCACAGTCCTGTGTGTATAGTGTGTAATTTTTTTTGTTTTCAAATATTCAAAGTGGCTAAAGCTATTTAAATTTTCGGTTGATGATGGCTTATTTGAATATTCGGTATATTCGGAAAGCCCTATCATGATGTAGGCACTACAGTGTGCAGGAATGTTGTGGACAGAGGGCAGTGTTGAGATTGTTATTAGGGAAATGGCCACATATTTCCGTGACACAATATGTATGAAATTGAAAAGTTTTAAGTTAAACTGAGAAATGTAAAATAAGCACAGATTAATAGAAGACGGTTTTATTGCTAAATAAACACTTTGTATTAAACAAAGACTGCTTCAGCTTAGGTTGCAGACCCACTGACTGAGAAGTCATTTGCCAATTTGGAATGATTTTAAAACACTGACTTTAATTTAGCAAGGAAAAAGGCCCAATAGAAAGAGGGTAAAATTACACTACAGATGCGTCGACCTGTGTGTTTTATTTTCTTCTTTACTATTACGATATAAAAACTAAGCTCTATCTCCTAAACACTAAAAACGGCAAAAAACTTAAATAATTCAATAGCGGCGTCCCTGATTGCCATGGCAACCCATTTGCCGCGGCACGGCCGCCGCATTGACAGACAACACATTTTACAAATTAAAGTCAACGTTTAATACCAACCAAATAATTGTCACACCACTGGTCAAGTTTATCCTGAAGGGTGCTGAAGCCTCCAGTCTTGACTAATCTTCGCAGCGATTCAGCCATTTTATGACTATGAAATCAGTCTGTAGAAATGTTCGAAGTTCCTGAGCTGTTGTCGATTTTGCGATTGACGTACCACGGCCGTAGTACTGTTCCGCGATTCCGCTACCGATCTTTAATCGCATCCGTCAACATTGCGGGTACGCTACGCATGCGTACGACCGAACACGATATGTCTTCTAGGTACCAGATCATGTATATCATGCGATCTATACTCTATAGGATTTTTGCTTGGACCAGTCTCAAAAGAATGGCTCAGCTCCCTGCACTCCATGTGTTAAATGACTTTCCTATTAATATTTTCCTTCTTTTTTTAAATGCATGTTTTATGGAGTAGGCTATTTCAAATTAAGATAATGTGCTTTGTAGTTGTGCTTGTTGAAACTCATAACTAAAACTTCTAATAACTGTACCTGCCGTGAACTTTTTGTAATAACTATTTTGTTTTACTTATATATGGTGACACCATAGATGGGCCAGCCAAAATAAAAAGATCGGAGTGGCCCAACTATAGATGGGCCAGCCCAACAGTGGAACTTACAGTTGGGACCGTCCCAACTATAGTTGGGACAGGCCCAACTATAGTTGGGCCAGCCCAACTGTGGAACTACAGTTGGGACAGGCCCAACTATAGTTGGGACAGGCCCAACTATAGTTGGGACCGATGCGATAGTTGGGGCGTGACACCTCCACTGATCTACCTAGCTCTGTCACACTTTTTTCTGTCACACTCATAGGCCGGCTGGGCCGTACATAATGAGTTGAGTCCCTTTAAAAAAAAACAGTTTTGAAAAATTGTATTGTTTATTTTGTAACAATACTAGGGCAAGCTTGGATTGACACGTACACGGCGACGCAGATGGGGGGGGGGGGGGGGTGTTGACCCCGAAAACCCCCTGTCCAGAGGGTTTTTTTTGGGGGGGGGGGGTCAACCCCCTCCCCCTCCAGCTAGGTGAACCCCCACCCCCTTGCTCTGACACCCCAAAAATATACTGGTTGTAATGTCCGCCTGTGCCAAAAAGTACTAGAGCAAGCTGGGTTAAGGGGCTACGCTTCTGTAATAAAGTGTTATTAATAATGGTCTGATTTGAACAGCGCCCCCATATACGAGCGAATAATTTTAGCGCGAAAGTGCATGGGCCAATTTGCGGCCCATGCAAAACATGAACAACGCGTGCACGAACAGACAAATCTGTACGGACATTAATTACTCAGCAATTAATTATTCTATTATTCTGTATTTTTTTTTGAAGACCTCAGCTTATAATAAACAAATTAGTCGACGTGCTCTAAATATAGACGAATATATTTCCAAAAGTGACCAACTTGAAACCCGATTTTCTCGGAACCGCTGTTCAACACCCCGTAGCCAAATTCGTCCCTTCGTGAAAACGCTGACGATTTGTTTGGGACTTCCCAAATATTTTATTATTCGCTTGAAATTCAAGGATACAGCCTTAATTCCGTTCGACAAAAGAAAAATGTAACAGAGATACTGAAAATTAACTAATGCATGATACGCAAGGTTTGTGTACAGACTCAAAAAGAGCCAATCAGATTCGAATAACATGTCGGAGCTGAGCCCACCTTTGCGAATCTCTGGTGTTACAAGCGCGCGCTGAATGTCATCATTTTCACCTTCCAAAAATCATTTAGTGTGTTACGTATACGCGCTTTGTGACTCAGGCGGTATCGTGCAGTTATTCAGTGGGATCACAGCGTGTCTAAGAATACATCGATATAGATATCTGGCTGCGCTAGATATATCAATAAAAAGACTGTAGACCTTAGTCTTTTTTAATGATTTAAATCACTTTTTTTTGGTAAAAATCTTATATTTGGCAAAATAAAATGGTTGAGGTCATTTTAATCATTTAAACCAACTGATTCCACTTAATTACAGAATGTTAGAAGTTGGTAACACATTCAAACACCCCTATACTTCATCAGCATCGACTTAACTTACCGGCGGATCCAGGTTAAATGGAATGTACAACATTTGCTTTTGCTGCAATTTTCAGAAATAAATGATTTTGGAGGATTAGTATGTTATAGCAAATATTGTTACACTGACTGGAAAAACCAAGAAAACCAATCATATTATTGAAGTCTGGTTCCCTGACCCCACTTGAAACGGAGCAATTTATAGACTTTGGGGAATTGTAACTAGATCAGAGAATCAGTCTAGCAGACTTGTAGTCGTCACAGGTGTGTAATCAATTGCAAAGAAAATGCAGACGAACTAAATATGAAAAAAAAAAATTAAGAGCACTTTTTTGAAAAAGAGCCAGTTTTCTCCAACGCTGGTCGGCCGACCAGCGTTGGGAAAATACAGTTTTTCTTGAAAATGTCAGCACACCAGGAGCCACAACTTTACAGGATGTTTTAGACTGTCATTCCCTAACAATCCAGTGAGATATTTTGTGATAATTTGATCATTTCGTTTTTTGATGTTTGCAAATAATGTTGCATGTACATCATTGGCTTTTGCTGAAATTTTCAGAAATGAACTATTTGAGGGGTTAGTATAATAGATCAATTATTGTTTAACTGACATGTTTGAAGTGTTGTGTTCGAAAATCCTTGGAAAACCAAGAAAACCAAAAATGTTTAAGTAGTCTGGTTCCCTGACTCCACTAAAGATAAAATGGATCAATTTATAGATGTCGGAAAGTTGTAAGGTAAGAGAACCAGACCAGCTGGCCTGCACCCGTTCAAGAACATGTAACCAACAGCAAACAAAATTTGGACTGAAAAAATTTGTAAATTTGGAGCTGTAGTTGAAAAATAGTTAGGTTTTTCCAACGGTGGTCGGCCGACCATCGTTGGAAATGTATACAAATATACCATTTTCTTGAAAATGACTTGACACCAGGTGCCATAATTTTACAGGATGCTTTAGACTGTCATTTACCAACATCCTAGTAACTTATTTCGTAAAAACTTGGTAGGTTTATTTTTCGATGTTTGCAAATGTTGTATATTCCTTTAATAAGCTCAACGGAGGTTAGCTGTCAAGGACGGGGATAGCTGGCTTATGCTACTTTTTCTGCATGATTTTGGGGTTTTGTTTGTTGTCAAGTTATTTTATTTTGTTATTGTCATCATTGTTATTATTATTATCATTTTGTTTGGCGACCCGAGGGTTAAAAAAACTACAGGGAGATCCGCACTATTTTAAGTTTTTCCGCAGAGAAGACCACTGGTAACTGTTTGAATCGCGCTTATTACCAATTTTGGTGGCACATGCGCATAATCAGCGGACGCGTTGCGCGCGCACATTCAAAATGGCTGTGGATCGGGAAAATGCACATGGACACATGATTTCGGTTTCTTTTATGGGGTCATTTATGGTGCACTTGACGATTCTTAGGCATGTAAATACTTGGGACGTACGAGTAAGATAACCCCGTCGTGGTGAGTAGACCCAGAATTTTAGTAAAAGGTTGTTAACTTATTTTATTAACTTAATCATGGTGAATGCATGTTGCCCAGTTTCCGGACGACATTCCCATGCGTTTGCCTGGCTTGTACCCATTTTCCAAATGGGGGCGCTTTTCGAAACTGACCATTATATTATGCATACTTTTCACTGTAATGGTTGTTGAGCAGGTTTTCTTTGGTGGTATTAATGTCAGAAAAACTCTAGAAAAATTTATTTCAATCATTGCTGAAAAAAAATTGTCAAAAAAAATCTGTCATCAGGGGGGTGGCAAAGTAGGGCCCTAATCTGTATAAATTTGTAAATGATGTTATGACGTAATTGGCACATGGTTGATTTTCGGCAAAACAAAAAGTCTCAGACCTCTTTCTATGCATATGATTTAACAAAGCTAGATTTTTGACAAAAATATATTATAAGATTTTTGGATTTAATTTATTTACCTGAAATTTTCAATTATGATATGATTTTAAATATTTTGCATGCAGTTGTTTTTACTAAAATCGAAAGAAATTCATTTAGGCCCATTTCATATTTAAACAAACGTGTATTTAGTACAATGTCGGATGGCAAACAAAACTTAGTTTATCAAACTACATGTAAAGACCAAAGTTGTGCATATAAACTAATATCCTTTATATTTATTCAACAAACATCGATCCACATTGTTTTAAGAAGTAGGACACAATGGAGACTCCGTAGAATGAAGTTTTCCATTCGTGCGCGAATTATGGGCACGAAACTTTCGTGGCAGCCAATTTGAATTATCTGCAGATGACGACGTTCTTGTGCTTACTTGACGTTCGACATTGTTCAAACTATTTGTCCATGTACATGTAGTTTATGAGTCATTCTTACAATATTAAAGTCCATAACTGTGTAGGGTTTAGATTATGCAAGAAAAAAATCGTACTAAGTGCGCAAAAAAAAGGTCACAAGAGGATATGTACGATCCCCCTCTTAATTACACTGACCCTAATCTTTTTTTAAAATTTAGAACAGTTAATTGAAAGGAAAATCATTTTTTTTAACCTGAAACAAGCCTGCACAAATCGACACACCTACTGCACCACGCAGTATGGAAGCTAGTCTGGTTTCGGGGTACCAAAAGATTCTGAACAGTACATGTATTTCTAATGTGGAACCAGACTACTAATACTTGGTACTTGGAAACAGCACTCATACATCAACCAATCATTGACACCAGTCAGGGCCGAGTAACTTGGACCCAACTTATCGCCTTTTTAACATTCAGACATGGTCTGGCGGTAGTAGGGTCCAAGCAAAAGCGCTGCCATCGTGTGACACAATTCTGCCGTTGACCTAAAAACCCAACATTGGCCAACAAAAACATCAGATTTCAGCCTCAGAACAGCCTCCAAATTACTAGATACGCCACCTGAGGTACAAGTAGAGATCAATGATTAAGATTGAGGTACTAAAGTTTACTTACGATCCAAATGAAAAGTGAAATTTCTCGTTCAATTCCGAGAGCTTCCCTCGCGATCACGAACGTGTTCAATTTCAGACTTGCTGATAACAACAGGATGTGGTCGTGCCCAGGGTTCATTCGATGGTCCCGGTATCCCAGGCGCGATTCCATTACTGAGCGCGATGCATCGGTTTATGATAATGAGTACATGTAGATTGGATAATGAGTACATGTAGGAGAATTAGGACATTGTTTGCTTAATACAAAAGCGCGCCACGGAGAAGGCGTTACGTAACTCCCGGTCAATGCGCTGGCTAAAACGGGCAGCGCTTTAGTTAAAACCGTTCAGACATCGTACTAGGAGATAAACTCGTTCTGGTTATTCGCTAAACCCTCCCTCCGAGGGGGTTTAAGTTGCCGCTTTATTTTTGAGTTGAACTCGATTTGGTCTAAATAAAAGAGCGTTCAGACATCGTTTTAGCAAGAAAGTTACACTGAATCGAGTTCAACCGGTGTTTTAAGGGAATTTAAAACGTAGTCTGAACGACCCTTGTGTATTGTACATTGACTGAAAACGACAGGAAATGCGTATAATGAAAGGTTAAGGTTTGCGGAAACACCATGTGCGAATCATTTCTCAACTAAGAGAGTGGTTCTGAAAAGAACCAGAGGTACATGTATAAACTCGATGTTCCAGTCAGTATGCTCTGACCGTCTTCAGGAGAGTGCCTAAACTCTAAGAAAGGTTCAGGCACTCTCCTGAAGACGGTCACAGCAGGATTTTTGTGTCTTTTCTTGGGAACAGTAAGACATTACAATGTAGGTTTGCTTCCTTTCAGTTTTTTTAAATAAGATAAATTTCTCCTGATAATTGCAGGATGAGTCATGAGCATGCATTTGAAATTGGTTAAAAACTAATATAGGTCTACGTGTTTTAATATCTTGTTTTTAACTTACTTCATTACAGATCAATTATCCCCAAGACAATCACCATTCACCAACCCACCTGCAGCTGTTAGATGTATCCACCCAGGCACCCAATCTTCTCAACTGTCCATCAACTGTCGGGTATCATGGTAGTCACAGGGACCAAAGACACAGGGTAAGTACATGTACTTGCTCTTTGGTAAATGGTGCCAGTTTTTATGTGATGTAGGCATTTAGTAACTTTGTATAAAACTGGTCTGGCAACACAAAAGCAAAAATGGAGAAAAAAAACCCAACAGACTTCTTTTCCAAATGCAACAGAATGCAGTGCCAGCCTTGGTACCAAGCACCTACCCTGCCAAATGCAACGCACGTATGTTTCAGCCCCATAGACCGTGCGTGCATTTAGTTGCCTTCTCACGCATGCGCAATGGTTTCCTCCGCGTCGTCGGCTTGCAAACAGCGGTAGCAGACCACGCACTGAACGATTGTCTGGTTTTCATGTCTTAAAATGTATCCTTCTTGAATGTACTTAAAAGATGATTCAAACCAAAAATTATCAGTAGACCAAGTGAACAAAGATATAAATTGTCTCTACAGTGTGGTAACGGCGCTAAGAACCTTTTCAAATATATAAAAAAAAACCAATAATTATGGACACAAAACATACAAAATGAAAAGGAAAAACGTCGTTCGCTTTTGAGTTTGGTTTACACATTTGGACAATTTGCCGGGTTTACCTTAGATCAGCCGTAGTACCATCGGAAAGGATGATAGATTATTTTCATTTTACAGGTGATTTGATGTAAGAAGGAAACCTGTAGCTTATAAAAATCATCCTTTTTCGAGTAAACCCATTATGAAAGCTTCGTGCACAAATATACTGGTCCCAGTGCCCTCTATGATCGTACTTAACTGCATTTCAGGGCCGGGAACCAGTCAGTTGTAAATCGTTTCAGTTAAATGTACACATTTGCAACGCGTTTAAAGATTACAAACGGATCGCCGTGGCGCGTGGCTAGGTATGTTTACGGGCCAGATTCCAGGGTCTGTGTACAGGTACGTGCACAATAACATTACATTCAACGAAAAAAACGTATAACGTGAGACCTTACTTTTCTCACTGAAACGGTTTCCGACTTAAATAATATTTATACATCGCACTTTCCGTGGCATCCTTTACCATTTTTCAGTGAAGACAAGTTTACAATTACTCGGCAAAACTGAAAAATTATCTCCTGTTTTGAATTTGTGACCCAATACTTTCGTACTACACGACACGGAAAAACAAAAACAAATGCATCAAATACTCTCTGTTTTTTGCGCTAAGGCAATGTAACTTGTAAGGGGCAATTCCACACCAAAGTGGACATGACACCAAAAAATTCAAATGCATGTGATTTAAACAAGTTGATTTGGAGTCAAATGAAAGCTAAAAGTCTATATTTTTAAGATTTGAAGTCGGAATTATATTTTTGATACATTTCTAGAACCAAAAAATAGGATTACGTAATAATCCTGTTTTAATCCTAAAAATGTGATAAATAGTGATATAATAGTATTCTACCAATACACACACAAAAATATGTACTAATGCCATCAGTTTCTGTCATGAGAAAGTATTGGTCTTGAAAAACTGACTGAAACTTTTTTTTTATGTTTTGCGTAATTTGGTATGCTTCAGTGACTTCTAATATTTCAGCCTTCGAAAATGTCCTTCCGTTCCTGGAAAAATACATATTTTTAATTTATTTTCAAAACTTGCAGTATGAATGCAATGAAAGTTATTGTGCAAAGCAAGTTTAGGTAGGCCTTCAATATGACATTATAACTGACACTTCTGTACTTCTCGTTTCTTAATTACAATTAATTAAATCACGTCCTTCCGTTACCAAATTGGTAACAGAAGGACAGTAACGGGAGGACAAATGTTATTTTTATCAAATGTAACGACATTTGTGCTCATGTTTGAAAAATGAAAATCACTGTGCTACATGCATGTATAATGAGCATTGAAAGGACATTCATGTGACCCACCTTCACAAAGGTGGTATAAGCAGGGCAAGGTGTTTATTACAAAGGATGGCATAGGCATGTACATGTACATGTACATGTACATGTACCAGAATGTACATGTATGTCAATGTACCGGTACTCATACATGTATGGAGTTGTCATGGTTGTTGCAGAAAATCAAATCATTAAGTTGCTGCTATCACCATTCATGGACAATAGAGAAAGATACAATTTCTGTGAAGCCATTCCAGAAGCAAATTAAGTCAAAAATGAGATGGCAGAAAGTACCGGTACTATTGGGCACTTTCATACAATTTACATGTGTAAGACATGTGAGGTGCAATTTTTGACAAATTAAGTTAACTTCAGGCTGGATGTTTATAAGTTAATTATTGTTAATACTCTAAATCATTATAATTTGATTTCAAACATGGAATTTAGAGTTCGATTACATGTAAAAGCAACACCTAAAACATTTTTTAAAGCATAATGATTCTGAAGCCATCAGTTCTACCTGTAGATGTTTTTAATGTACATGTAGGCTGGTCGCCCCCCCCCCCCCCCAACTCTTTAGGTAAACCACTGAACCTACTGGTATTATTATTAAAAGTTGTTGGTGAACATTTAACCAATATACTCAAGTGCTCAAATACTGTGTATTTAAACTTATAAGGATTGAGGTGATGGGTTTGAAGTCCATTTCTGTAGTTGTCTTACATTGTTCGTGAATTACATGTTTTTGGTTGTTTTCGTTTTTCATTTGTTATCATTAATTAGCAGGCTTGTATCTTTATCTCAATAGTTTCTTGGGCAGTGTTCTAGCCAGGCATCAAATAGCGCTAGCACCCGCTACGCTTTCGTAAATAAGTGCTACGCTTAAATCGCGCCGCTACGCTACCGCTATGCTACCGCTACGCTATAAATTTTGGTTGCGAAAAAAAAATATCTGCCGTTTGTTCGCATACATGTACAAGCGTAGCGACTTTGAGCATTGCACACTGGCCGTACGACACAGCGAAAAATAAACAACGATCCCACCGCACGTACCCCGTACGATACCCCTACTGTGATGCTGCGCCACATGCATTCGCTATGATAGCAATAAGCACGTGCTGTTTTGTGCTGCGTAGATACAGCGCTCTGTACAGACGTACGTGTCACCAACGTGTCACGTACGAAGCACTCTGTGGACCACACCATTTTGCGCTATCGGGTGTGCTTTCCTAAGGTCAATATTTACAAGCATTTCAACTGTTTTAAAATTATAAATAATACTTTTTATCAAGTCCGAAACATATTACTGTTTGAAAATAAGTCCTTCAACGTCGGAACATAATTTTCGTAAAGGATTTATTTGAGAAACGATGTCCAAAGAAAGGTTAAGCACCCCTACGATATCAATGGATCCGTCCCCAAAGATGACCGCACGTGAAGAATTCTTCTCGAAGAATGTCGCTGTCGAAAATTTGGATTTTTGACTACACTACTCGTTGCTGATAATAACAGTTCAATAAGTTTGGTAGTAAAAACGGATCTGTTTGTTCTTAGGACAAAACCAATCAGCAAGTATTGCAACAAAGCAAGTTTCTTAGCGCTCCACGAATGCGTAGCTTTCTCAAATGCTGAGGGAAATTGGGTCGCGTAGTTCGCCGGCATAGCCAGTGTGGGCTGGCCCGCGCCCGCACACCAGGCCGGCCGGGGCCGGCCGCGGCCAGGATACACAAATGTAGGAAGCAATTCCCGGTGATTATTTCTCATCGTCATTATCTACAATTATATTTGTTAACATAACAAAAATGAGATTTCTCCTTCACATTGTGTTGTAGCATATTGAAATTGCAATCGCTGACGACTTTTTATGTCTGAGACCTCCATGGTTTTACAATTTCTCTCCCTGCCGATCGGATGGTTTTATTTACAAATTTAAAATCGGAACTACTGCCACTACGGCAGCGCTACACAACACAAGGCTAATTCTTGAAATATGAAATGTTCATGCGATTTGTTCTCACACTTAATATTGACAAAGTAAATCCCAATTTTTTATAAAACATTGAGGAACTACTAAAAATGGTTAAATATCAGAAAGCATCGATCTTGGAACAACTTATACATTGTTAACATAATCTAAAATTTGAAGACAGAAGAAACTTTACAGGAGCAAGAGTTTTAATCATTGAAACAAATAAAACAAAATTTCTTATAATTTTAAACACTTCTGCTAAAAAGAAATCTATTCTGCTTAGCCACGCCTCCTTGATATTGTAGATTTTGCGCATGTGCGGGAGAGGGGAGCGTCGATGGTTGGCTGGACACAGTGTTGCCCTCATCACCTGAAGGCGTTGCGGACCTGCGACGAACCCGGCGGGGCCCGGTCCCTTAAATTGCATGGTGAATGGTCTGGCCTTGCAGGGCACCAGCGACACTGCATGTTCGGCGGATCATTGGCGCTCCCCCCACTCCTGCCTCCATGCTTTACCGAACTGTCACTGCTTGGGTTTTTTTTTGGCATTTCTTTCTTTTTATCTCTCGCAGCTCTCACGAAGTGTCTTTGTTTTTCATGTCGTACGTCTTTTTTTGCTGATTAGCCTACAGTTCTGTAACGCAGAAGTATTGCTTATGGCACAGAGGGCACTAGGTTGCCGAACGTGCCATTACATTAACATCAACAACAACAACATAAAAAAAATCAGGGGAAAGTGTCAGGGAATCGCCTCAGATTGCACCACAGAGCATCTAGAGTCCAAAATTTTTCAGGGCCCTTAAGCGGGCCCCGGACCCCACGCCGTAAGGGCTTCGCGCTCCGCGCTCGCATTAGTCGCCAAACCAAAATTACCCCTACGCTATAATTTCACCCTGGCTAGAACACTGTTCTTGGGTATAATTATTTATGCCAGGTCTGCCTATTGTTGATTTCACATTCAGTTACACATTTCAGCAATTTATTCCACTTGTATAATTAGTGTAAACTCACATTTTGTTCATGCTATAATTGAGTAAACCTTTTGTCCTTCCGTTACCGAATTATAATCCACTTAAGACATTGTAATTATATTACCGAAACACTTAAAGTCAAATGAAAGTTGGTATAGTATAGATAAAGCTTAAGGGATTCCATTTCCTACCATTGAAATATGATTGCGGTTTTGCCCCATACAATTCACAGAGAGGTATTCATGCCCCCAAAAGTGTGGAAATTGAAGGTAGCATTATAGCAATACAATTGTGACATTTGCTTGCTGTAACTAATAACAGTGTCTGTGATATGCACATTTGAAATTTTGTTTAATGAGTGAAAACGTCCTTCCGTTACCGTGGAATTGCCCTAAGACTTTGATTGCCTTAAATTCCTGTCCACCGTCCTGGAAAAAAAAAATTTATCAAAGTACTTCGAGCGTGATGTTGACCGATACTTCTCAGTGGGTCAAACTGCGACTGCAGGCATCCATGTTTGCTGATTATCAGTATTTCATATTTTGAGTGCACATGAGCGCAAACTAAATAAGCGGCTGAAACATACGTGAACGGAATGCTGGGGTGGAATGCATCAGATCAGGAGGCTGCTAAATTCAACAACTTGCAATAACTTTTTACCACTGGTGCATTTGGCAGGGTTAGGGTTAAATGTACACAAATTGATTTCTTATTTGATGCCATTGTTGAAGTTGTGTTCTTCCTGCCAAAGTTAAATCACTCCATTGAAGAGATCCTGTTACAATTATTCTTTTGACAGTGTAAATTGTCAGACGTGCGCATACATATCCAGGGTTTGCCGGTGTCATGTGAAAATCGGACTCCTATAAAGAATAATCGCACTCCTCACGTAATTGGTCATTCTAATAATCATCACATGTTAGACATGCGCAATTGTGGAGGCTGTAGTCAATGGTAGTATGAAGTTGTCAGTGCCGCGACCTTCATAAAGAACGGACCAATCATACTAAAACATGAATGGGAAATGTTTTGAGCGCCGTTTTAGATGGCCAATCAGCTCGATCCATGCAGTGCGTGGGAATAAACACATGTCACGACGTGTGCTTTTGTACCCAGCAGAACGGGCGTGGGGGGCTTTTGTAACGTGATCGCACGGGGGTTTTCCCACGATGAGAAATCATGGCTTGATATTACGCTCTCTTTTGGAGTATTTTCTTTTCTCGATTTTTAATCTGGATGGCTCATCGTATGATTCATGCGAGTCCCTTCCCTTTGCACGTCGGTACCGATGAATAATCAACGGACCAATCGTACAAAAACATGAATGAAACAAATGTTCCGAGCGCGGTTTTAAATGGCCGTTCAGATTCTTTTAAAAGGGTGTTTTTAGATCGATGAATGCAGTACGTGGGGGAAAGCACGTGTTTCAACCCAACTCTGTACGGAACCAGTGTGGCACCGCGGGTATGCGTATCATGCACTGACATGTACAGCCACGCACATGACGCAGGTGTATTCGGGGGCTGTCGTAAACAAAGTTCAGTGTACGCTTTACGGTAGATCGGACAAGAGTTTCCCCATGATGAGAAATCATAGCTTTTTATTGGGGTTTTTTTTTGAAAAATTTTTTCTCTCAATTTCCCTACATCGGACGGCTCAGCATCGCATGTGAATTCAGGCGAGTCCCTTCCCTTTGCACGTGCACCTCGCACGCATATAGCACGGAATCTTGCTCCATGACTGAAGCCTGTAAGTTTTGGTGGTCATAGATATGATTGACACGTTTTTTCTTGTTGCTGATATTCTTGAGAACTATGTTTTGGCAAAAATTACGCATGATGCTGTAGATTTCAAATCTCTCAAACAATCACGGAGAAACAATTATCAGACTAGTTTTTTGTCGCGACCGTCAAAACTTTCCCATGTGTAAAACATTGTTTGAACTTTCCGTGAAGACACTTTACACACAAAGAAAACCGCAAACGGCAGCGTTAGCAGAACTACAAAGGCCTTTGTGGTATTGCAGCTGCTGAAGTATCAGGTTTTCTAGTCGAGCTTAACAATTGCGCCTTATCTGTCAACGGTAATTGACAATGTAGACATGAAAGTGGATGCCTGGAACCACAAAGAATGGAATCAAACACGTCAAAGATCAAGGTGGTTTGTCTTTCTGTTTGAATTAAAGGCTTTTGCGAAGATTCTGAACACTAAGGATGAATACCGCGGTATTGAAATTCCATACCGAGTTCACGGTTGCATAGAGCTTTCTTGATCTGTGATGCCCTTGCCGATTTTTTCGGCTGGCCAGCCGGACCACTTGGCAAGGTGTTGCAGCTGGTCCGCCGGCAATTCAACTGGCATTTGGCCAGCGGACCACCGCTAAGGTCGAATCCTGATATCTGTACATTTTAGCAATTCAATTATTTGTAGAAGTCATGGTATCCCAAGTCCCAACAGTTCAGTAAACATCTCCTAAAGATCTGTCATGTTTGTTTTTTTCACACAGATTCTATGACCCAGCACCACCCTGGCAGCTGAACCAACACCACCCTGGCAGCTGACCCAACACCACCCTGGCAACTGACCCAACACCACCCTGGCAGCTGACCCAACACCACCCTGGCAGCTGACCCAGCACCACCCTGGCAGCTGACCCAACACCACCCTGGCAGCTGACCCAACACCACCCTGGCAGCTGACCCAGCACCACCCTGGCAGCTGACCCAACACCACCCTGGCAGCTGACCCAGCACCACCCTGGCAGCTGACCCAACACCACCGTGGCAGCTGACCTAACACCACCCTGGTAGCTGACCCAACACCACCCTGGCAGCTGACCCAACACCACCCTGGCAGCTGACCCAGCACCACCCTGGCAGCTGACCCAACACCACCGTGGCAGCTGACCTAACACCACCCTGGTAGCTGACCCAACACCACCCTGGCAGCTGACCCAACACCACCCTGGTAGCTGACCCAACACCACCCTGGCAGCTGACCCAGCACCACCCTGGCAGCTTAAACTGGCATGATTTGACAACAGCAGGATGACTACTCACAAGCCACAAACCCATTTACATCTAGACACTCTTCTCCTGTCATGGACAATTCTACATTCTGAAACGCTGCTGGATGTCACTACAACATGCTGCCCAGTGAACTGTTACCTACTGCCAATCAACATTGGATCTGATGAGCTACATGCACCTAGTTTCAGTCACAGTAAATGTGAGAAATGTGACATTACAGCAACTGATTCCTGAAACCAAACAAGGAAGCAGTCTGGGATGCATTGGAGATCTCTCTTGTCCAGATGTTGCATTGACTGCATTGACTGGATGGAATTTGTGAGCTACAGGTAGACCAGCACCAGCAGGAGTCTGCAGGACTTGCTCCAGAATGACTTCCTCCTCAACAAATCTCTCCCGCTGGACACAAAACTGATTCTAAGGATACATGTAGCTCACATTGAGCCATGTATGAATGGACCTCGCAGGTCACACAAAACGTTAGGAAAACTGTTGAGATATGATGGGAGGGATACATGAACAATTTGTATATACAGTACCAGCGGTCATGAGATGACCATTATGCTGATCATGAGATCATCAAAAACTCTCAATAATTTAGAATGACTGTTGCAGTCTGTCATGAACAGAACTCTGAAAAACGGAACTCTTTGGAGAAAAGGACCTCTTTTGAATGACCATTTTATTTAAAAGAAGTAGAGGTCTCTCTCTTTGTGAGGTCACTGGAGGTCATTACAGTTAACCTCTGACCTGATATGCCAGATTGGTTGCCAAGGGTAACCACAGTTTGACAGAAGTCTAAAGTCTTGAAAAGAACTTGATACAAATCTTCAATCACAGTATTTGATGATGAATACATTATCACTCAGAGACACAGTTTGGAACATGATCCCCGCATTTGTTTTCCTGCAAGAAATTTATTTTGCAATCCAAAATCCTTGAAAACAAAACATTTGTTCTTTGTGGATCCACAGTTGATGTCACTCATTGTTGAGATCAAATTGAATCACAAAATGTGAAAATGGACGAGAGGCCTCTACACATTGCGCGTAACCAGCTTCTCAAATCAAACCTGTTTTGGCACAAAATTGATTTTTTAATCTTTTAAAAAAAATTTTGCTCAATTGATTTCCTTTATTTCATTCAGTGTCACCACTTACTTGCCTGAAATTGCAGCTAATCACCAAAAAGAAACCCACTTAACAAGCAGAGGCTGAGAGGCACTGATTATCGTCACAGTGCTGCATTTTTTTTCTGACTAATCTTTCTTTGAGCATTTGTGAAATTTCAGACACAGATTCACTCAAACTTTTCTGATGAAAACATTCATTCCCAAGAATTGTGATTATGAGAGAGCTGGTTACGTTTAATTGATATTTTTAACTGAAATATTGTTTATGGCATTGCCTGCATGGTAACAGCTGGGTGCAAGATTGGTTTCCTTGTTGACAAACTGATGACACACAATGCAAACACACCTCTTTAAACCAAATTGTTCTATAATCCACAAATTGAGCCCAAAATCTTCCCTTTGGACTAATATTTGGTTCCCATTAAAATCAAAGGCTATTTGTTTGGCATTCCAAAGCAAAAAGCTGAATTACATGACACCAAAATGGCGAGAAGGAATTCTCTGTTAAAAATGTCAAACGTTGCAAACAAGTACACAAATCAACCTCTGATCAATCTCCAAATTTGTTCAGAAGTGACTTTTCGGAAGTGACTTTTCTAAAATGTTGATGCATTTATCGCAATTTAGCTGCCTGCTTCAGCCATACATTGTACATGTACCAATCTTGTACCCAGCTTTAGTTTTATCAAGTATAGTCAGCACTGATACTATGTAGAAAACAATGTTTGACTATGAATGAAAAATATTGGCTCTATTCACACATTTTCCAATTCATCAAAATTGAGCAACCCAAGTTTTCCATTTTGTAAGTAAACGAAAAAATGTTTGCTAAAAATCATTGTTATTTGACAGTTAAGTACATGCAGGAGTTTTTGCGTGCGCACCTATGTTGAAAACTTGAGAAAGCAGTCTTTGTTTGGTCATTTGTTTGGCAATATGGATAAAAACTGTAGTAAATGATCAAAAGAGTATCCGAACTTAAAAAAAAGAACAGAAAGAAATAATGCTTCCAGTGCTGGCTATACATGTATAATCTTGTATGATAATTTGTTGAGTAACCCATATATACTTGACATTTTACCAACAGGCAATGTTCTGATATACACGAGCCCAACGCATGCAAGTCCCCCCGGGGCGTGCACGTGTGGTGTTCCCCGCCCGCAGATGCCGGCTCGTCTGGTGGGTCGTCCCTGTCTGCATTGACGATTGGTCTTTTGTTCAAGGTGTGTGCTAGCTTCCTGATCTTGTGGTCTGGATAATCGTGGATGACTTGGTCGACTTCAACATGGTAAGGATCCTTTTGAACTTTGACAATTAGTTTGCCTTTCTGCAAAGGAGATGTCTTTTTGGCTGTTTCTTTACCGAGTGTTGCTGTGGAAATTATGTACCATCTATCACTCTGGAGATTGCAAATCTAGAGATCAATCGAGCATCTACTCTTGATGTCCCGCTTGCATTTCAATAGTTCCACGGCATCATGTTGATCCAAATGATCTGCTAACAAATGGGTACTGTTGTTGGTATATCTGATGTTCTTCAATGCGGTTTGATTTTCGGACAGGTGTTTCAGCCGCTATTTATGTGAATAACTTCCATGGTATAACTCTGAAATCTCATTGCCTTTTATTGTGTCATCATGTACAATCAGTTCTCTCATAGAGTGTGTTCAAATCTTAGACATGCACGGATAAAAATAAGGAAATATCAAAAGGAAATCGTTAAAATTAACTGAATCAAACGTCAAATCTGCTCTAAATTCAGCATCTGATGTATCACTTTAAAAAATGAGTTTGCAAATAACATTTGTGTTTTTGGCAGCATACGAATCTTAACTTGATAAACATAAGCGAGTGATATACAAAATTCCCAAATTTAAAAAAGGCAGCTTCTCTGCCAGAAATATTCAAAATGCGAAATTTTGGTATCGTAAAAAAAGAGAGAAAAAAACGAAGAAGAAAATCATCCTCACTTCAAAGCAACTTTAAAAGAGACTTTTAAAAATTCAACGCTCTTTTAAAAACACAAAGGAAACAAATTCTTATTAAATTAAAAAAGCAAAGAATGGGCTATTGCCATCATATTTATCATCAAAACTGCCGTGCGAAAGAAAAAACGGAGAGAAAATTTTAAGAAACTTTGAAAAAAAAAGGAGAGAAGGCCAAACTCTTCAAATTGTAGGGGAGAAGTCCTGGTGTGCAGAGGGGGAGAACCATGCTGTTTCCTGGCCAGATGGAAGATGTGGTGGACAAAAAAAGCCCCCTGCATCCTAGCAAATAGAAGCTGTGGTGTCAGACACAGGGAGCCAGTCCTGCCAGATGGTTCCATGGTAAGTTTAATTGAAGTTTGTAGAATGAATTCATGCACTGTGTACATCCTCATTGCTTGCTAAACCCAACGGTAAAATGTGTATCTCATGGCTAGGAGTAAACGCTATCTGTCTGCATTACAGGAAAACAGTATTGTGCATTATAGTCTTCAGTCTGTGGCAATACCATTTAGCCTCAATTTGGCACTTGAAAAAACAAAGTAAGAGAAACAAAATGTCAGCTTTTTGTCAACTGTAGTCAAAGTTGGACAAAGGCATTGACATGACAATTCTAGGAACTGATCAGTTTTCATAAACTTTGATATTGCCGAAGAGATGTCAATACTCTTCTTATAAGTGTCCATTGAGTCCTACAATCATACAGAGATGCAACCAGTGTATTGGTGCGCAAACATCTCAACCAATCTCAGTAAACTTTCTGGACTCAACACTCACTGCAAGCACTCAAAGTGCTGCTACTCAACTCATGGTCAAATGTTTTGACCTCTACACTCCAATCCTTTGATTGGATAAAACCTTGGGCTTGAGCAATCACTGCAGCCCCCCATAGATTCATCACCCACCTGATAGGTGGTTGCATGGGGAAATCCCCTGCCAGGTCTGTTTAAGAGGACCTTTTGTGATCACAACTTTGTGATCTGAGCTGCTCACTTGTCTGCAGTGATCGAGAGCCATATCAAAGTGTGCTCTTGAGCAATTGGAAATTAACGTGCACTTTCAAAAAAGCCTTGGAAATCTAGGCTTGCAATAAAAGCAGTTCCATCTTCGCGAGTGACACAGATTCAGCTGAAAAGCCTTGAAGCAAAAGCTCTTTTCAGTTGCACGACCCCTTTCAGTGCAAAACTGAAATTGTTTATTCTCATTCTCTGTCAGTATGCATTTTTTAAGTGGGATATGAGACGTTAAAACAAAGGTCGTGCCATTGTGTCCACCTGTTAGTATTCGTTATTCAATTGATTTTAAAAACTAAGAAGAAGACATTTAACTTTGAATGTCTTTGAGAGTCCTGGAAGATCTTCACCTTAGCTTTGACTTTAAATCAAAACTTTGAAATACAGTGTACTCGGTTTTATTTTGTCTTATTGGCCAGTTCGCACCTTTGCACGCTACCTCAGAAAAGAAAATTCAGTATTGTACACTTCCATTCAGAAGAAAGTTATCATATGCTCTAAGTGTACCGGTACTGGAAACCTGAAAAACTTTCCCTGTACATTGTAAGTTGTTTGTGTTCGACATCTCATCAGAGAGCAGTAATTGAATACAAGTCTGATATCTGACAATTGTAAATCTTCCTGCAAAGAAGTCCAACATTGAGTAGATGTTACAGAACCCACCATAAAGTTGGTCTGCTCTGAGTTAGACCAAATTGGTGCCACTCGCCAAGAAACAAACACTCAAAATTGTGAATCTTTGAAAAGGTTGCTGAAACCAATCTGACATTGAAATTAATTTATCTTGTCTCACTAGCAGAGGACTTAAATTTATTTCTCACTATCTCATGACTTTGCAAAAATGAAAAGTGCAAAGTGATATCACACTTTGCATCAAACTGACACACTTGAATCTAATTTTAACTTGACTAAAACTGAAATTCTAGGAATATGGTCTTTGGGGCCTGACGGTAGTGTGTCAGTTGTCAAATAAGGTGAAGATCTTTCAGGACACATGTTGGTATTGCCACAGACTGAAGACTAGCTATGCTCCATGCTTTAACCCTTTAGTGACCATACCTCTCTTGGTGTACAACGCTACTTCTCCAAGTGCATTTTCCAGACTGAAGAAGACTAGGCTGGTATTGTGAATTGGGACGTATTCGAATGCTAAACCAACTAAAATCCTGTCGAACATGCAGTTCTTATTCAAGGCAAATGTTGTGAAATGTGATTTTTTTTCGAATACTAAAATAGCTAATCAGCTAATCTGGCAATTCAGTTCTCCGGTGGCTAAGGTCACTAAAGGGTTAAAAAGAAAAATCAAAGGTTGTTTGAGTCATTGTTCAGGTCAAGTTTAGATTCCGTTTAGTACTAAGAGGGCTGTACGAGCATACAAATGTAGGGCAGGTTTCTAAGCAAATATGCAATCTCTTCAGTTTCTTCAGTCTCTTTAAAATTGATCAAACTACTCTTAGTATTTTCATTTGTTATTATCAACAAGCTAAAAGGTAATATTAACAATTCTGTTAAAGGCAAACTTCAGCAAACCTCTTTAATTCAATATTGCAGCAAATAAATACGTCACAGAGTTAGAATGCATTATTTTTAAAATTGAGCAGAGCGTGTAGCATCTGAATATTTTTCCCTGTCATATGTAATGATTCATTGCATGTCATGTAAATATCGCTAAAGACCATCTCTGAGAACATGAATGAGTACAATGCAGTGAACAGTGAATTAAACATGATGTGATAAATAAATTATAAAAAAATTGTACGTTGGGTCAAAATCTGGCAAATGAAATAAATTTAACCAAATTACAAATGTACATGTAGGTACATAAACCTAATTACTAAAAAATAAAAACGTTGAACACTTCACATAATGTTCAGTAGACGCCTTTGACATGACTGAATTAAGGAGTAAATAAACACTTCAATAAACAACTCAGGACAGCTCAGTATGATAAAATGAAATTGGAAAACTTGCACATTTTCTTAGTCAGAAAATAACAATAAGGTTCAAGTCAGTTGAATAATTTATAGTAATATAGTCAGCCCACTAGGGAAAAAGCAAGCTGGTTTTTTGTCTCTATAGGGTTAATTGTTCTATAAACTAAATGTACAAGTGAGTCAAACTAATTTAACTTGATAGCCAACTGGGACAGGAATATTTCCTTTTTTTCCATGGAATATTTTTGCAAGCATGCATTTTTACAGTGTTCCTAACTTTATACCCATTAACCTTTACTTGGGCATACTCAGAGAGATCTAAAATAACTAGGACTTATTAATTTTGTTGACGTCAATTGGGTTGAATCTCAGTTTATGTACATGTAGGTACACCAGGCTCTGTGCAACTGCAAGAGGGATACATTTTATAACATTGTCCCAAGAAAGATAGGTTTAGCCTGTAAAATTAGTACTTTTTTGTCATTCCTCTCTTAAGTGTTTCAAAAGTGAAAGGTCGGTCTTGTCTTACAAGTTGTAAGGGGTGGGTCCCAGGATAAATCTTAAAATGAATGGCAGTTTTGCTGATTGAATGATTTCTGACAAAATGCATACTTTGAAAGAGCCTTATTTTGAAATTCTGCTCTTTCATTTGACTAACTTAAACTTGCAATTCACTTAGCCAAAAACGACCGTGTCAATCCTTCTGATACGCAGTCATCTTGATTTTAAATTATGGCAGTGTTCCATTTTCAAATCCTGCAGGAGCACTCAATTTTGTTTGCGAGACAAAATGGTTGGTCTAGTTCAATTGCTAAACAAAGTGCAGATAAAGTGATTGTAATTTTCAATCCAATATGTTTTGGTCAGGCAAGAAACCAAGAACATTTTTTGCCCAGTTTTGCATGCTGCATGCCTAAACATCACTGAAATGCCTTCTAAGTCAGTAGCAAGTGTCTTGTTGGAGAATCAGTCTCAGAAACTGCCATTAATTTGTCCTAGGGCCTGCCTAGGTTTGCATGTGAGCATAAATGTGCAATATCTGTTGTAATGTAGACATGTAGCAATACAGGGTGAGTCAAAAAGAAAGTGACCGAATGAGAAAAAAAGGCTTTTAAAACACGTTGCTTGCTCCATTTTATAAAAAATAACATAGGATAAAGTACGTGTCATTGACTAGTAACTGAAAATTTCTCGCAATTTTGCGTACTCTATGCCCAAGTTATGTCTATTTTAACAAAAAGATCACAAAATTCAGCTGTCCACCACTGATCATTTACCGTTGTATGAACTGATGAATACGCATTAAATACAGTGAAACATGGTCGTTTTCCCACCTTGATGAATGAACGAAAATTTGCAAAAAACTGACAAAACTCGTCATCACTATTTCAGGAAAATAAAAGAGTTGACGTAATTGTTCCTCAGATTAAAAACACAAAATCTGACTGAAAAAAAGAATGTTTCAGTCTTCACCCAAATGATCAAAATCTCATTTTTATTTCAATGCCTGTGTGTAATCTGTAATTATCACTCCACTCAATAGCTTCCAACAGCATTCCATGAACAGCTACAGAAATAGGTTCCTCTGGTAGCCTGGATCAATTTCAGTGATTAAGACATATTTCATTGATGCATAAAATTTGATCGCTTTTTAAGAAAAAAAAATCATTAATCCAGGTCACTTTCTTTTTGACTCGCCCTGTATGTTTACTCCGAATGCCATGATACACATGTGGGTTTAGCAAGCACAAACAGATGAGGATGTATGTTGTCATTGTACAGTGCATGAATTAATGAAAGCTTCAATTAAACTTGACCATGGATGGCCATGGCGGGACAAGGCTGTCCCTGTGTCATGATGATGCCACAGCTTCTGAGGATGCTGAGGGGCAGATTGCCACCACATCAACAGTGGCGTAGCTAGAATGAAGGAGGGGCCACAAAAAACTGGAGGGGCAAATTAAAGCCCATGCAATTGTCCATGTGGGGCCAACATGAAATTCGACATTATCATTTGAATGTACATGGCTGGTCGCCATGTTTGTGGCTTCATTTTTATGGGCCCATCTTGAGTTGGCCAAAATATGGGCCGAGCATGGAATTGAGATAGATCCCAGTTTGTCCAATTGGACAGACCGCCCCCTCCAAATGTTAGAAGGCCCCTCCCATCCCCATGAGCTACGCCACTGCACATTAACCAGGAAGTAACATGGTTCTTCAGAAACGCACATCGGGTTGCACATGGGGGGTAAAAAATACTCCCCCTCCAAAAAAAATGTTCTTTGACAAAAATCTAATTCATTTGAGGCTGGCGTACGGCTTCAAAGAATGTGACATTATAAGCTAGCAATCATTCTGTGCACAAAATGTGTGTTGATTTGGTTTGCCTATTGTCAGTTTGAAAAAACAAACAGATTTGTGAAGAGTTTCGCCCGATGTCGGTAGAAATGAAAGAGATCACTCAGTATTGAAATACTGTGTGAAATCCAAAGAATTCCAAAAGAAAAATTGTGAATGTGTTTCAGTACAACCAATTTCTCTCTCGTAAAACTTCCAATCAAAATGTGTGGGTTGATTTAGATTGTAACATGCGCATCATGTACATCATGTACATTAACATGTACATTGAGTGCACAAATTGAATTGTACATGTACGTTGAGTGCATAATTCAACAGCTTCGTTGAAGATATTTATGATGGCACAAAGCAAAGAAAAATTGTGATTACATTTCTCCACTGAAAGAACCGTTTCAGTGTATTTGCCCATATAAATCAGGACTGTGTGAGAAATGTCAAAAATTGACTCTTTATTGTACCAAATGTACGCAAACTTTGTCAAAAAAAGGAGAGAAAAATATGCGCAAAATTTACAAAATAACAAAAATTCTATCTTTCCGAGTCCAAGAGAGATAAAGAAAACAGTTGCTTTGAAATGGGACTTGTCTGACCTAAATGCTGGTTGAAGTTTTGGCTGAAAAATCTCACTTCTTAAAACCTGTAAATCCTACCAAGAACACTTCGGTAAATTTGAACGTGCAAATTGAAATATTTAATTAAATTGAAGTCCAAATACATTGGTGTAATTACTTGAATTTACTTGGCACAACTATATCTTATCTGCAAAATCCGACGTTCTTAAAACTAGTGTAAGTGCTGCCAGAAAACACCGACTTTTATTTGGTCAAATATATCTGATGGAAATGCGATGTACATGTACAGCATGTACATGTCATGTACATGACATGTCATGTCATGTACATGTACATGTCATGTCATGTACATGTACATGTACATGTACATAGCATGTACATGTACAGTATGTACATGTACTTACTACCCAAGTACAAAGAAGCTTTCCAAAATTGGCAAGGCTTTAGAGCTTGAAGATCAAATTTGATAATACTGTTACCTTCTCTTAAAAGGTTACGTCTGCCTCCTGTTAAACTTGTCCTGAATTGGTTTTTTGGTCTTTGCCAGTTCAAGTTAAACGTGCATGTCCGTCAAAACCAAATATATACTTACAAGTTCTTGTGAAAATCTTACGAATAATATGCATTTTGAAATGACACACTCATGAGATGAACTGATTACTGTACATGTTGATGTGATTAAACGGCAGGGAGATTTCAGAGTTATATCATCGAAGTTATTTGCGTAAATGGTAGCAGATATAAATGTCCTAAAATCTTATTGCATTGGAAATATCGGAGAAAGCTGGCAAATTGTAGCCTGTTTGTATTGCATTTCATTTAAATGGATCAGAAACATGATGCAACAGCGAACGATGGAAATGTTGAGTGAGACAATCATAAGTAGATGTGAGAGAGATCTCTACTTGGGCAATTTTTGGAGTGATAGTTGGTATACAATTTCCATGGCAATACTTAGTAATTGAAATGGTTAATAAGGCATTGACTTTGTTGGAAAAGTAAACTGATTGTTAAAAGTTCATAAGGATCCTTATCATGTTGGAGTTAACCAAGTCATTTGCGATTATTTGGACTTCAAGTTTGGGGAGTTAGTGCGCACTAAGATCAACTGATCATGAGTTGATGTAGATAGAGGGCGACTCGCTGGACTTGCTGGTGTCTGTGGGCGGGGAACACCATGCGTGCACGCCTCGGGGGGACTTGTATGCGTTGGGCTTTTTTTTTGGCCAAGTTCAAGTTCAAAGCCAAGTTCAAGGTCAAGTTCAAGGTCAGATAAAAAAAAATAACTTACACCAGATGTAAAAATAAATTCAAGTTGAAACAATTACTTTGGTACTTTTTTCATGGTTTATTTCATGGTTTATTTCATGAACAGCGCCCTCATTATTTTTAATTAAAGTCAAATTAAGAAGAGTGCCCTCTTATGGTATCTTGTATCTTATGCCCAAGCCACATTTCATACAAGAGCGCCCTCTATCTTATGTTTGTTTAAATATTTGTTTTTTAGAAGTTATTCTAAATTTAAACATGACACAAGAGGGCGCCCTTTTTCATTCTCAATTTGATTTGGTGTAAAAACTAATAAGAGGGCTCCCTTCCTTGCTGAAACTATGCACATAAAGAGGGCGCCCTTCGTTTAAATGAACTTGGGAAAACTTTAAACATACAAATGCGTTTGTGGATTTTTTTCAAAAGTCAAAGGGCGCCCTCATGTATTTTTAAGCTTCAAATAGGGAAGGGAGCCCTCTAGTGTCATACTGGACTTCAAAAATACCTGCTGTCTATTTTCACAAGAATAATTTGCAGCACACTTTCTAAAGCTTCACAGCGCAAGTTTGAACTTGTTGCCAATTACAAATAAAGAGAAAAAATTATCCCTTTTGTTTTTACAACTTCTGGCAAGCGCTAAACGAATTATCACGTTTGAGTGTATAGTCATCATGAACCATAACAAAAATACAAGTTCATTGTTTTCAATAGAGCAACATCCGTGTGGATATTTTAAGCTTGTGTACATCTTCATAAAAAAAACTAAAACCAACAAAATATGAACACATTCTTTTGTGCTGCTAACTTGTGAAAATAGACAGCAGGTATGTCAAGAATAAAAGAAACCATCACACCAAACCAACATACTTTTATTGGAGTCACAAAAAACCAACAATCTACAATGGCACATCATAAGTTATTCATTCATAAGCATTAAGTTGTCTTCTTAAAATGCAATCTTTCTGAGAGAAGAAAAAATGGAATGTTTGTAAGTGTTTTATCATCATGTCAAACCACATCAGGAACAGCATTACTTCTGAAAATTTTTTGTACTGGATTTTTCGAATTGATGGACAAAAGTTGTACGAGTTCCATTCTATAGTGAATTTCTAAATATACTAGTATTAAATTTTGAATAAAAACATCCACTTTCTTAAAGTGTGCGACAGACTTAAGTACTCATAAAATATTAGGAACCTTTTAGTAAAAGTTCACCGTAAAGTTCCTCTTCCTGTGCTCTTCAACTTACATTGTAATCTAATGTTTTCTCTCAGTGAATTTTCACATGTATCTTTTACTTCAATAGAAAAGTCTAGATTTTTGGGGGGCATGTTTTAAACCCTCTGAAAATATGCTTTTTTGGGTTTGCTTTTGCGCCAATGATACACACAAAAATATTATTATTGGGCCTGGTAAAAGTTAATATATGAAAGCAAATATTCCATAACTAAATACATGGATGGATTTGTTCGCTCAATGTCTTTTGCAAAAGAAAATAACATTTGAATTGCAAATAAATAGCAACGTAAAAAAAACAACTTTTAATTTCTTGGGGTGAAACTTGAAAAGAGCACAGGAACAGAGACTAGGCTGTTATTTCCAATAACTGTATGATGTGCCATTGTAGATCTATGTGTATATAATTATAAGCTCGATACATTTTTGTTTAAATACGTAAATAAGGCATTAAATCAATGTCTAACTTTTTCAAAAATATTAACCAGGCACATGTCGACAAATTTGTCCCAACAATTTGTACAAATTTTTGGGGAAAAGTTTCTAATTTTCTGACGTTTAAGAAGTACTTGTGAGTACGTAGTACCCCTAACAGTTCTGAATCCTCCAGGAATCTAGCTTGAATGGGTGGCAAAATGAAGGCCTTGCTCCAAAATTTGAAGAAAAAAGAAAGAGTTGAATTGCAAACACTTTGAAAAAAGTGAGGTGAGTTGTCAGAGTTTGCTTTTCAATGCATGAATATTCCTATGTCCATATCAAGACTAAGCATTTCGAAACAAACGATGCGTAATTCTGATCAAGTTGAAACATCAGGCCTCTTCAAGATCATTACACAACTAGGTTCTTATCGTTTGGGACGCTGCTTGTAATATGTGACATGTGCCTGGATAACTACAGGTCTCTCTCAAATGACGTCATTTCCTACAGACCAGCCACGTGCATCGGCATTTTGAGTGCCAACTTGCATAAGGCACATCTGCTGCATCGTATTTTGAACACATTTCTAGCAACAAGTGCAAATGTTTTGAACTTTTTCAACACTGCGCAATGCGTGCTTGATTACGTAAAATATGCAGTTGCAGTTCTCCTACAGAGATGGCCGTCTTTGAGAGAGACCTACTTCAAATTTAAATGGTCGCATCACAGACGACTTTGTGCAAATCCTTGGCAATGAAGGTGGTTCCTCACAGAATGCAAAATGGCAAACGTGGAACAAAAGTTTTGGACTTCAGATCTACAAAGTTTTCTTGCTCTGATGCACACAAGAACCTCTCATTGCCAAGGATTTGCTTTTGTCCAACGTCAGCCGCTCCAGGCGAGCCCAAGTCCTCCAAGCAGTCTTGAAAAGGAATCTGCAGGAAATCCACCAGCACCAGTGATTCAGTCAGATGATCGGTCACCTTATACAGGGGAGAAAAAAAAAGAGCCATCAAAATATCCTAACTGACAATTTGCTACAGTCCAAGAAACAATATTCACATGCCGGAACGACTGGTTTTAACACATTTCTCGTCAATTTAAAAAAGTATAGGCCTATTTGCCCATTTGTTATACATAAATTCTGCTGTCATTTGCACAGGTTTGTTTTCATTATAAACCATAGCAGCTGACCTATGAGCTGTATCTGTGGTCCAAGGAATGCAAGTTCCTTTTAAATTATTTCAAATGCTTTGTACAGGCATGCACCTTTTCCTCGGATCTGCTGATTTCCTTGGTTTTTTTACTTCTCGTGAATGCCATTACAAATTGAAATACACTTATACTGTACAAAGTCTTGTGTGGTTTGGAGTTTCTTCCTTTTATTTTTATAAATTCCCAGTTGCATGCCTGTCTGTAACTGATGATCACAACAAATATGTCATTAAAATGTTACTAGAATTTTGGTTATGTGCTTTGATATAAAGCTTGGAAATTGTTCAAATTGACCGGTCATTTTCAGCCATTAAGCGAGAGGTTAAAACCAGCCGTTTGAAGACGCCCTTATCAATGTGATCAAAATATCATTGTAATTAATGCAAGTAACAGTACACACATATTTCATTCAGCCTTACTTTATAGTATAAATATGTTGCTTTTTTCCATGACGTAAAACAAATATTTGCCTAACCCCTTTGGCACCTTTACACCAGCTCAATATCTTAATTCAGCCATAATGTAGGATATTTGAAATAAAATTACTATAGAACCAAGTTTTTCATTGAAATTTCAAAATGCGTTTTTTGTCCTCATATGGACAAATCCGGCGGCAGCCATTTTCTGTGGTGGCGCAAGGCTCGGCCAATGCATACCACCTCGTCTTTAAGAACGTGTGCAGAGCTCTGATCACCGGGTTCCGCTATGAACCCTGGCTATTTTCCACCAAGATTGTTGTGCAGTGTGCCAGTCATGATCTCAGGAAGAGTTTTATCAATGAGAAGGATGGGGAGAGGAGAAGATGGGGACCCCTGGCTAATCCAAATGATGTCAGTATCCTGACCATGAATCATACCTTACTAAACAGACCAGATCCAGAACTTGGAACTTTTACAAATTAAGTGTGATTTTTCTAAAGACTCCATGTTTTTGCTACAGAAATGAAATCAAGTGGATTGATCAGTGGCTTGTGAAGACCGACTGCTGTAACTTTGTAATTTACTTGACATTATGACATCAGTAGGCCTAGTTGAGGCCTGCATCGAGAATTTTTCTGCCCCCTAAGGCAAAGGTACAAAGTATTTTTTTTTACAATTTTAAAACCAATAGTTTACCCTGTGATATATGCCCAGTGATCGATTAGTATTTTTTTTTTACTTCAAAGTCCAGAAATCATTTGAAGAGTTCATTTTCAAACTGCGATAAATGCCATTTTGTTACAATTGCGAATCCAGCTCTCTTATGGCTGTCCAAAATCAGTTTCAACAGCTTTTACATAGACTCAGCACAATTTAAGAAGACAATAAAGCAAAAAATGAATTTAGGAAAGAGCTGTGTTCTTTAAAACTTTGATAAAGTTGCAAACTGTTTTCACTTCATTGGTTCAAATGGATATATCGTGTTTTGGAAATAAACTCTTCATTTACTTGTTAGCGAACAGCTTGAAAGCCTTGAGAAAAATTCTTGGCTCAATTTCATAGCGCTGCTTACAAGCCAATGGACCGATCCAGTAAGCCCCTCCCACTGCGCACGTGGGCAAATTAACACGTGCTCCTCTCCAATGCCACACTGCATTTCCCTGCCGCGCGCATCATACACGCGTGCACGCATGTCAGACTTTTGTGCACGCATGTCGGACATAAATCACGGCTGTGATTGGTCAGAACACCATGGGGCGGTGCTTACTGGATAGGTCCATTGTGTTAACAGAGCCTCAGTCTTTTTTAATAGTGACTGTTAATCAGTAAGCACAATGAAAGCATGCCAAACCACAGAGAAACAGTTGCTTAAATTAGTGGCGTAACAATAGAAATCTCAATGCGCATGCAACTGTTAGCATGTCCATGCCAGAAAATAATACTTTAAAAAGCAGCAGCATGATTTTCTTCTATAGCAAGCACAACTTGTTTGCTTACAGGTTAACAGCGCTATAAAATTGGGACCTGGTCTTGTTTTCAAAATTAAACAAATTCTATTAGAATTCATAAGGCAAAAAAAAAAAGTCTCCGGTTTCTGGTATGCGCGCACATCTGGTATGCGCGCGCGAGGTTTTTTTTCAATGAAAGATGATGTATCAAAACCACCAAACTCTCTGGTTTTGACTGGAATCCTGCTGCTGCACAATTTTAACATGTTTTTAGATGGGGTTATGGTCGAGAATAAGCTTTATGTGGCCTCTCTGGACTCCCATATATTTGCACTAAGTTTAGTCGGGTACCATTTGCAGTCATCAGCCGACATTTGAAGCAAAAAAAATCAGGTATAAAAAAAAACACTTTTTGGGCAAGCTCCATACCAGAAACCGGAGACTTTTTTTTTTGGCCTAAGAATTAAATTAAAAGTTTCTCCCAACCTTCTGTACATCACATCATCCAATGTAGTCACAAATTGTGATGTCTACTATGAACTTCAAATGATATACAAGAAAGAACAATTTTTGATTAAAAAAAAATAAGATGTATTCAAAGTTTCTTGTTAGTACAACACTTGCTGGAGGTTTAACATTTTCTTGCCTACGCCCCACTTAATTGTCAACAATTTTTCAGGTATGCAATATGCTGATCGATCTTGCAGACCAAGATAGTCACAATCTTGTTATCTATGTTTATAACTCTCAATTTTTTTTTAAAGAAATACTTTCATAAATACTTATTGTGAACCTACTATTCAAAGATAAGAAGGTTCTCTCATTGACATCATATCCTGATAGTATTTAACACAGCTTTGTGTTGTCTGATCAGTTGAATGGCATTATACTGGAAATGTTTATCGTTTTATAGCACTTCAAATACAATACTGACTCATGCGGTATGGGGCTACGCCATCTCCGTTACCAAGGCAATGGTAATTACCAAGACAACACCCTGAAGTGGGGCTATTCCAAGGATCAGACATGCCTCCTACCATGACAACAACAAGAAGGGCCAAGAAGTATCTTCCTACATGTACACCATAAATCACGAGGAAAACAACAGATATAATAGTCTCTGAATTTTGAATAATTCAGCAGAAGATGAGGAGCTGTGAATTCCATAATATAGGATGGACTTCAGTGGTAACGTAAACCTCCTAAAAATATTTTGATATTTATGTACAAGTATAAACCTTCTTGTTTAATTGAACTTACATGTGGGCAAAGAGTGTTAAGGTAAGATGTGATGGTGAAAATGCAGGAAATAGTTGTTTTCAGTTCTATATAGCCTACTTTCTCTCAAACCATTTGCATCTTCCAAACTTCTGTTGAGCATTTCAGTGAAAATTCTGACCCACACACCATGCCAACTGGGCTCCCACACCGCAGTTTGGGGTTACGCCATCTCCGTTACCATGGCAATAGTTACCTTGGCAACACCCTGAAGTGGGGCTATTCCGAGGATCAGGCACCCCTACCGTGAATCAACTCGGAGAGACAAAAAAAAGCATCTTTCCCCACGATCAATCATGAGGTATACAACAGGTAACACAGACCTGCTATATTTCCTGATCAAAATCGGTCAAATTTCCTGATCAAATGACAGTTGTTGCGATGATCGGTGGAGTAAAGTAACTCATCAGTTTTTGTCAAGTTTTTAAAAAATGTGTAACAAGTGACAGCATTTTTCCAGAGAATTACAGATCATTTTTGTGAATCAGGCTGATTAACAGTCACAAGTCAACCAATCACTGTAGTATCAGTCAGCGATGAATTCTAACAGTAAGTGGCAAATAATTGTCTTATAATCGTCTTCCACCAGGGAAGATAATGACTCAAACAGCAGTCAAGTTCTCTCCAAGTGAATGCTTATGGTGAACATTCAAATTTGTGACATCCGGCTGTTGCAATTTCATTGATTAACTGTGAGATGCTTTCCAATTTCCTTCATTTATCGATGTATTTCCAGTGATCAACTTTGACAATCAATTGTCACAAGTGGAGCACATTCTCCACATAAACTTCTTATCACAGGATCAGTGTCTCTTTCAAGACAGAGCGAGTTAATTATATTTCTCCACACATGTATGCGGGATGGATAACCTCGATCTACAATTCTTTCTCCAGCAATGAACTTTCTCTACAAAGGCCCTACACTCTCAACGTTACTTTTCATTATAGGAAGTGGTTTTAGTTTTCAATCACCACAGATGATCAACCATTTTTCATAGTATAGACCATGTGCCCTGTGATGTCATATCAATTGACCTATCGCGTTAGAAACGCGTCAACACAGCTTGTGAAATATTGTCCAATTACAAATGGACGCAGAACACGCAAAATCTGTGACAAACAAAACTTAGTGTACAAAAACACCATAGGGTTGTCTAAGGGGCGTGGCTTACTCGCAAACGGCGATAGGTCAATGGCATGTTATTTTGCTCATTCTGTGTAAAGTTGTCCTTTCAGTGAAAATCAATCAAGTGACTATTTTCAACAGTTAACAGCTCCCAGCCTACACAAAGCAGGCTTGACTGGCTGTGACTGTTTATGTCACTTGACACAGCTATGCTTTGACTGTAGGTGACTGATAAGCCAGCTGTGGCTACTTCTTGCCTGCTTTTGTCTGTTGACTGAATTTGATCAGGCACAGTGCTTTTACTTGAAATATGATCTGACTGTTGGGTGACTATAAGCCTAAGTAAAAGGCATGGCAGGGGAACAGTCTGTGACTGTTCAAACAGCAAGAGGGTTAAACAGTTTGTGTCATCACTATTAGACCAATCACATAATCATGCAGTGCAGAAGAGAACAGTTTCCTGAAAGTTGGAATCACATGTCCGCAACATCCAATTTGTACACAAATGGCACATGGTCCAAAACTTGCAAGAAATGTTAAGATACTCCACGTAAAGTCACTAATGTAAAAGGGGAGTTTGGTCCTGAGAAAACTGAGGGCCTAAAAGAGTTTTGCTCAGTATTGCTCTGTTCACCAAATAGCTAGGAGGGTACACCCACTAATTTTGAACCATTTACTTGCTTAAAAGTCACGACTGGTACATGTACACCAGAAAAAACTGTGGCAAGAACTAGGATTCATTGTTTTTAAATAGTTCACATAAATATAAACTGACTACATACATCATATCATTGAGGATTCTCAATGAAAACTTAATCCATTTTAAATAAACAAAATTAAAAATCATCCCTAAGGCCAAAATAAAAAGTCTCCGGTTTCTGGTATGGAGCTTGCCCAAAAAGTGGTGCGGCGACGCGGCTTTTTTTTTTTTTTAACCTGACTTTTTTGCTTCAAATGTCGGCTGATGACTGCAAATGGTGCCCGACTAAACTTAGTGCAAATATATGGGAGTCCAGAGAGGCCACATAAAGCTTATTCTCGATCATAACCCCATCTAAAAACACGTTGTGCAGCAGCAGGATTCCAGTCAAACCAGTGAGTTTGGCGGTTTTGAGACATCATCTTTCATTGAAAAAAAAAACTTTTTCATTTTGCCGACGCGCATGGCTACGACGACGCGCGCGCATACCAGAAACCGGAGACTTTTTTTTTTGGGCCTAATAACGGGGCAATCTGTTCTAGAGTTATTTTAACATGTTGGAAGGTGGGCTCACAAAACGTTTAAAACTGTACAAAAACAAAACACCCAAAATTGAGCAAGGGTTTTGGTCTTCAGCTTTTTTTATAAAAAGTGATTGCCCATACACCAACAAATTTTGCTAATTTCTAAAGAACAACGATGTCTGGAATTTGATTTGTTTTCCTTTATTTTTCCCATGGATCAAACTCATGCATGAACAGAATTTGTAAAAAAAAATTTAAGAATAGAAATAGGCCTAGATCTAGTCCCCTTTTCATTCTCATTTCCTAGCATAGAAAGAACAAACATTCATAATTTTTCCAGATGTTTTGATCTGTGAATGTTCATCGGTGACTAAACAAAGTCACGTAATGAATCTAGGAATATTTAGAGAAAAAATATCAGTTTTTAAGAAAATACCAAATTCCACTCAATTTGAGGAATGACAAAAAAGATAATTTACATTAATTATTATGCATGTGCATGAAAGTGTAAAAGGAAAAAAAAAAATTCCACTCCCTGGTATCTTAACCTGGCACTTAACTTCAACATTTTGTCGCAAGTCGACGAACAAAATCACCAATTTCAATTAAAATTCTATTTGTTACACCAGACAGTTTTCAAGGTTTGATCCACATTAATCCACTTTTTTTGTCATCTGGTTGATGGCATACAAGCCATAAAAGTCCTTCTGCCTTTAACTTTGGAAAAACATTCCTAGTGAGAATTACTTAAATGATTCATAAAATAAAAACAAAATCTTTTTTTTTTGATTGCCAGTCAAGCATTCTTCACGATAAAAAAAAGACTAAAATTGAGCCCCCAATCCACTTGATGCTCTAATGCAAACTTGTACCTTTTTCTGGGGGTGGTTTGGTGCTTTTCCTATGGAGCTGAGTGGGAAAGGGGGCAATACAGGTTGAGAAAGGATATTTGAAAGTACGGTGCTGCTATATTATATACAAGTATTACAAAGTCTCCAGTTTGGTTTGGCCCCAGCTTTGACTAGAGATGACGGTATGAGAAAATGTGACTGATGCAGAACAGCCCAGGAAAAAGGAAGATGAATGTGTATAGAGAAGCTGAGGAATCTGAACTACATGATATCAGCTGGTTGTCTCAGCCTTGGTTATTGGAAGAGATTTCTCCCGAAGAAATAACCAGCTGAAAAATGTAGCTTTTAAAAGTTCTGTTTCACTGGTATCAGAAGAGACTAAGAAAAGCAAGTATAATGTACTTCATTGAAGTGACTAAAGGGGGGGCTAAAGCTTCAATGTAGCTTCTTTGATATTATAAAGTTTGAAATGTCACAATTGAAAAGCTTGTTAAGCAGAAGTAAAGAAAAGGCAAAGGCCTTATAATTCAAAGAGTGGAAAATGTTGTCAGATCAAGGAAAAATTCTTTGGTTTGTGGGTTTTCTATTCCCACTTGAAAGTAACAGAAAGTGAAAGTAACTGTCAGAAAACATGTCGATGTAATGTAAGAGTTTGATAAGAGAGGAGTTCCATGGAACTGGGTGTCCAAAGAGAAGGGGAGAGGTGACTCTCAGGGGTGGCTGCTTGAGTGGCTACCCAAGTAGCTGACATGAATACTACTGCCTTATTGTGACCGGCCATCAATATTCATCGATAAGATTAAGTTTGCACATGACCGATGACCTAGATGATGATGATGATCAACGTGATCGCCCCAATAGATCTATACATGTATGCTTGCGGGAGTTCTCAGATCAACGGTAATGCCCCATTCATTTCAGATGGTGAATTTAAATTCGAAGATTGTTGGCTGTAAAGAAATGAAACAATCATTTCCACGCCAAAAAAATGGGAAGTACTAATGGCAATTTTGTTTTTGTGTGTTCAAAGAAACCTATATACACATTTTTTTTGCTGAAAAAATTGCAAGTAATTTTATAGTTTTGTGGTGTTCAAAATAAGGACATTACAACCAAGGTTTAACTTTCCAAGGTGATGCCATAGTCTTTAATCTTTCCAGTATATTTGTGATCCACATGAAAAGAGAGAACTCCCTCAATCTATAGACAGAGATAAGACCTGAAAGAATGAGACCTGCCTTTATCTTTAATTTAAACTACAGTATTTCGTTTCAAATGTACATGTTGTCTTCCCTGAGAGTTCACCAAAATAAAAACCCTTCTTTACAAAGAACTTTTGAACACCTTCAGTGAAATGTCCGACGATACAAAGGAGATATTTGATGTAAAATTTGAGAACAAATGTATAGTAAGATAAGAACTTACTACAGAATGGCAATGTTGAAAACCATGACAGATGAAGAATAAGTAAGATTCACTCAGACTAAACATAAAAGCTAGAGTAACTAGCTCTATGAAGTGTGGGCCAAACTTGGAGAAAGGAAATTCCTTTTTTTCAGGAAATTAAAAGATATTTACGGCTGCAAAATATTGAGAAGCAGTCCTATTTTATCAAGTGCAAGGAAGCACAGAGGAATGGTCAGCAACAGATTGGAATGGAGATCATAAGGTCATGAACCCAACTGGCACCTACACACTGCTTGTATAACAGCAGAGCCTACTCTTAAATTGCTCAGCATTTTGATCATCATTTATTTTGCTTGCGAATAAACACCTTATCAAAGTGGCAGACACGAGAAAACATGCATTTCCCATAACAGTATAAAATGTCCCTCTCAGAGATTTCACAAACGTTCATGGAATATGTGAAATATTTCTATACAAGCCTCTTATTTATCATTTGTTGACAGTTTTAATGACAGCAAAATTGCTGATGTATTCAAAACCATGGGCGTTGCCAGGATTTTATTCTAGAGGGGGCAATGCACATTATTTCCAAAAATCCTTGTACTTTCTCCAGCATATTCTCAATTTATCATTTTTTCGAGGGTTGTGGGGGGGGGAGGGACCATTTGCCCACCGAACCCCATTGACAGTCCTGCAGACGCCTATGTTGTTAAATGTGCATAAGACTATAAAAGCAATATGACTTTGCACCTTGTCTTCTTTTTTTTCCCTTCATTTTCCCCCTTTTTTGGGGCCCCATCCTGGCGATGCCCAAGTTCAAAACAAATGTAATTTCCACTGGCGCAACACAAGATAAATTTTAGATTCTGTTATCTGTTAACTATCTCATCAAAGGACTTAAATTTATTGTGGCCAGCTTTAATATAGGGCAAAGTAATACGCATTTGAAAAAAAATCTTCAGAACATTGCATCCAACAGAATGAGGAATGTGTGTACTATTACCATGTAAAAGACAAAGTACAGTGTAAGCAGCTAAACAGTACAATAATGGGAAATAGTTGCTCTCCCCCGTGCTGTTTTCGAGTTGAAACCCCCCAAAATAAATTTTTGTTTTTAATATGCTATTTTTCTAGCAATACACAAGTTGATTACTTTTTAATGAGCCGTCAAACGAAAAATCAGTTTAGTTATAGAATATTTACTGTGGAACTTTGGACTTGCATGTATTTGCAGCCTGACAATAATTCAGGCAAATCTTGTGGGGATATTTTAAGAAGAATTTGTTGTTGATGTGATGCAATGGCACGTTCAACAACCTAGTACCCTTTGTGCCATAAGCAATACTGCTGCGTTACAGATCAGTAGGCTATTCAGCAAAATATGTCATAACATAATGCACAAAAGGACAAGCAAAGAAACTTGTTTTCCAATTAAAATGAATTTTTTTTTTTTTTAAACTTGGGAGAAAAATTGAGTGTTATTTACGAGCAGGGGCAGAGCAACTACATGTGGTTCTAAGTATCAGATTATTTTTCACTTTGAAATAAACATTAAAACCTGCTCCATCAAAAACTGGTGCAACAAACTGAGTGACAGTGAGAACAAATGTTGCATCTCAATGCCACATTTTCTCCTGCTTTCTATCATTAACCATTACAAAAGCAATAATTAATAGCAAATCCAATTTATTCTTATTTCTTTTCAACAGTCCACTCTTCATTGATCAATTCTTTATAATTAGACAGTGACCATTTTTGAGGAGTTCTTTTCTCATTTGTCCTCTCACATAAATCGCTCACTGTTAGGCATGCTGTCAAGACACTGCGGTCTGATGCTTAAAGTTATCTTCAATTCATCTTCTTCACACCTGGGTCTTATGCCAGTATTTGATCTATGAAATTTGAATTTCAAGTTTGAAATTTCAAGTTGTTTGGCACACCATATGAAAAGTTTTGATGGAGCAGATTGCATTCTTGGTTTGACTCACCCTTAAGGTCATCCCATTCACCATGGTGATGGTCATCCAGCCTGTCCTGCCTAGTCTAGGCACTGGTCTGGTCCAATCCAGCCTCAGTAATGTTTGAAAGGGTCAGTCTCTTCTGAGGACAGATTTAAAAAAAAATAAGTTAAACCCTAATTTGTTTATTTCACTTTTGATTCTATGCAGTCAATGAAAATATTTAAAATATTAGTAGTGTACAATAAAAATAAAAATTTCAAAACACCGTACAAAGTCTTGGAAAGATTGGAGTTTCCTCTTTTTGTGATACTTCTGATGTGCATGCCCGAATCTCATGAGCGGATCACTTTGGGATTCCAGAAATGTTTTAAATGAAAACTATTCATTGCTGATAAAATTAGATGTGGCCGACAATTTCTGACGCCGTCCAATCTGGAAACGGTATCGTTCAATTCATTTAAATTGGCTCATTGCAGCCCGCGAACAAGTTGGCTCGCGTACCAGTTGTTCTGTGTACCAGTTGGTCCATGTAAGAGTTAGCCACATACAAGTTGGTATGTGTAGGACTTGACCTGTTTCCATAGTGTACGGCCAGAGGCATTCAGGCTATCAATATAGGTATTAGGCTTCACTCACCCACAGTAGCTATGGCGTTGTTCACATGAAGTGCCAAAGTACTTGCAGGTTGTATGCACCTCCTGCACCGCTCATGGTCAAGAAGTCCCTCAATGTTACATCCAGTCTTGTGGATTCTACCGAGTACCAGAGTAGAAGTACTGCAGACTGCCACTGTAGAAGTTCAAGCAGTGGCCTCACAAATCGTAAGTAAAAACCAGTCAAATCTCAGTTCACTGGATTTCCCGTGCATGTAAAACTTGAGCGCAGTGAACGTGGTGGTCATGGATGTCACTGTCAATCATGGAGGATGATTTCCAAAAGAGCCGTCTCATTCTCACCAGACTCGTCAACTCCAAGCACTTCGCTGGTCCTGGCCCACGATGAATTGCCGAATCGTTGAAGAGTGATGACAAGAAGTGATTGAGGTCCGAGTGTCAAACTGCAATTTGGAGTTGGACTGTGCATAAAGGTCCACACAAAATGTTTTTGCATTTCCTTGTCATTTGGACCTTGTAAATCAATATTCAGCCAGATGCCAGCTGGACACTTTGAAGCAATTTTTTTTTGGCAAAATTAATGGCGAAATAGACTTAACTTGGGAATAAAGTATGCAAAACTAGAGTATGCACACACTAAGTGAAATTTTCAGAAAAAAAGTCAATAACAAAATTTCCTTACATTTTCTGTGTGAAATGGCACAAGCTAAACATTTATCAAGTGTATTTCAAATTTGGAACTTTCTTTTGTTTCTATACGAAATTGCATAACGCAACATGAAATTATCACCATCGATCTCCATTATAAAGACTTAATGGAGATTAAAGGTGATAACTGTTCAAAATGATCCAGTGTACTAGCATCCCCTATTTGACAGCTTTAGTTCAGGAAATTTCCCTTTAGCAGGAAAGCTTCCCTTAACAGGATCACCACCGGGAAGGTAGCTGTCATGATCCCATGTTAGTGAAAGCAGAAGAGGGGGGGGGGGAGCAAGCAGAAATTAGATGGTGCGTGCTAGAGATGGAAGGGGTGGGAAAGAGAGGAAGCAGGGAGGAGGAAAGGTAAATATGAAACGGTGCGTGCAAGTGACAAAAGAAAAGATTAGGGGTGGAGAGGAAGGAAACAACGAAAGGCAGATGAAAAACGGTGCGTGCGAGTGACGGAGGGGGAAGGAAGAGGGAAAGAGAAACAGGGAATAGGAAAGGTAGATAAAAATGAAATGTGCGTGCGAGTGACAGAAGAAAAGAGTAGGTGAGAGGATGGAGGAAGGATAGAAATGAACTAGTGCGTGCATATGATGATAGACAAGGGATGGAGGATGGGGAAGAGGGGATGGAAGGTGGGGAAGGGGGATGGGGAAGGAAGGGAGGAGGTATGGGAGGGAATGTACGGTGATGAGCCAGTCAGGAATCACCAAGGGGAGTAAGGGAAAGTCTTGTCTCAACTGTGGCTGCAGTGCAATGACTAGCTCCAGCGTTTCACAGGTGAGATGCAACTCAGCAAATTGAAGGTCCATAAACTCAAGCAATTGGGTACTACCTAAAAGTCACTGTAGGCCTACCAACAGTCAGTTGGCTTGTGGTATAAATCAAGAGTACACAATGAATAGCCATTTTCCCCTACCTTTTGGTGGGTGGGGTTTTGGAAAGATTTCCATATACGAAGTTCACTCAACACTCTGTGTACAAACCCTATGAGAGTGGACTGAACAATTCTAAGTGTTTTCTAAGAAAATGCTTGTATTTTCTCACTGCTCAAATTGACTTTGATGACATGAAATTGCTATCTGGGGGCTTGTTAGTCAATACAGAGGAAAATTAGTGAACTTCGCATACGGTAATCTTGCCGGGGTTTTCGATGGGAAACGGCAAAGTAAGCACAAAACACAGAGTCATTTATCAAGACTTCTTGCAGTAATAGCTAAAAAAAAAAAACATTCAAATTACCTGAAAACCACAACATACGAAGCAAACTCCCTCTTTTGGGGGCAGGAGACCAGTCATAATTAGGGGGTGTGGAAATTATGAATTGTAAAATATTAATCCAGACCTATGTCATTTTTTTTTCTTCTGATTTTGGCCTTAGGCCAAAAAAAAAAATAAGTCGGTCTCTGGTCAGCGCGCGCGTCGATTTTAATGATGCGCGTCAACCTTTTTTTTCCCAAAATGTTCCACGGTAGCTCCAACAGCGCCCTCTATTGCCGCACTTCCTCAATTTTTTTTACCAAAGAGCACCAAGGAATGGGAAATTGCACCAAGGCAAATGATCGAGGGCACCAAGGCAAATTATGGAGGACACCAATGTACATGACACCAAAAAAAGCAAAATAGTACCCCACCTTGTCTGTACAATCCAAGCTTGAAAAAAAACAACGCGTCGCCGCATCAATTCCGGAACTTTGGCCTGCCCAGAGACCAAGTATTTTTTTTGGCCTTAGCAGTAAGCAGTAAATAAAAAAGCATAATTCAAATTGCATTTCAATTTGATGTAAGAGTAAGCGCATTTAGTTGAAATCCTTGAAATCCATTTTGTACCAATTACAGTAGATGCCAAAGTTTGACTGTCTATTCTTTGAATCAAATCCATCACAAAAATGGGACACTTGAGGATGGATCAAAGAATACGTTTGGAGGATTGATAAAAGGGAGGAATAAAAAATTCAAATCGATAAATTTCACGTTATTTAAAAAATTCTAAGTGACGTTCAGCTGTCAAATAGAGGTGTAGCAAACTGAGATATGCCTACATACACAGTTCTTGTAAAAAACTTAATTTTTATCATCAATTACGCCGGTAGTGTTTAATCATGACTAAAACAAGCCTAACCCAGCCAAACCCAACATCATTCAGTCCAATATTCGGAACTCCAGAAAAAAAAGATTTCAGTGAGAAAAAGTACATACTGTTTTGTGGTTGAAATGCACAAGATCCGCCAACTGTTTCCAGGACTCCTTGGGCAGATGAAGAGCAGACATCGGCACCTCCCGGCTGGGCCCGGGATGATCTGAACCCAGCGATGAATGTGCGGACAGACAGCTGCACTCAGACAGCCAACCTGGTATCAAGATCAGAAAATGATCAAAATCAAACATTAGCACTTGTTCTACATTGTTTTATATGGTGTCTATTCTTATGGGATGGTGTGAACCCAGTGATGAATGTACTGACAGATAGCTGCACTCAGACACCCAACCTGGTATCACATCTGGTATCAAGATTATAGAGAAATCAAACATATGATTAGCACTTGTACTCATTGTATTACATTGTATTGTGGTACATTGTGTCTATTCTTATGAGATGGTGTGAACCCTGCAATGAAAGTACCGACAGATAGCAGCATGCACACTAGCTATCGTTACAAGTTGTCAGTTTTGGTGGACTGTTTTTAAATTTGACCCGAAAAAAGGGATGAAAAGATCCATCTTGTCTGTTTCCTTTCTGAGGTTGTGTGTGTTTTTTTTAATATTTTGGTAATCCTTACTTTTAGGACCCCGTTCCTTTAATAGGAAGGGAATGACTCACCAAAACAGTTGACTAAATGACACTCAAAATTGACATTCTGATACTTCTTGGCACATCTGAACAATTGGCAATGACACCTTCTTGACTTCTAAAGACTGCTTTAGCCTGCAAAAGTCACTTTGGTACTGGACAGACATCTGCAAAAGTCAGTTTTGAACAGAACTCGTAAAAAATAGAGGTGTCCTAAAAGTAAGGATTACCAATATTTTTTTTGTCGGTGGGGTTATTTGTTTCTTGTTGGATCGTCTCTTTGTCCAGGCTGTAACCTGTCTTTTCAAAATCTTTGAAGCCCTCTGCAGTGAAGCGCGCCCTCTTGTGTGCGCTCTTCATCCGCGGTCGCATATTGCATCCGGGAACTTCACAGAGCGCCAACGATTTTGGAAAGACAGGCAACAGCCGCGGTGCGCTTTGGCAAAGTTGACGCACCATCAGTAGTAGCCCCATAAATGTGGCCTATTTACTGGACTGCCTCCGTAAACATAGGCCACACATCCACATGTACAAAAAACGTGTCGACTTTGCCAAATTTTGATTTTCACATTTAGGCTTACTTTGTAGATTTTTTTTGCTTTAGAAGCATTCTTACCCTCTATATAGGCTAATCAGAAAGTGCTGCCTTTTTCAGATGTTTAATTTTTGTGAAATTTCATGTTGAAATTTTGATACGCAAACGTGTGCAAATGTATCTGGAAATTTCACGAAAAATGGACATCTGAAAAAGGCAGCACTTTCTGATTAGCCTATATACATGTAGAGGGTGAGAATGCTTCTAAAGCAAAAAAAACGTAAAAAGTAAGCCTAAATGTGAAAATCAAAATTTGGCAAAGTCGACACGTTTTTTGTACATGTGGATGTGTGGCCTATGTTTACGGAGGCAGTCCAGTAAATAGGCCACATTTATGGGGCTACATCAGTAGATGATTAAAGCTCTTGTTTGGTTGCCTGACCCCTTTGGCCTCTTGACTAATATTAGGGTGGCCGGGAAACATATCAGCGACGCTATGCTTGCTCAAAACCGTCTGCATTCTTTGACAAATTACCATGATTTTTGGATAACTAGATCGACCTCTGAACTTGAAGGTACCGAATTGAACGATGTTGTGCTATTTAGCAGTCATTCTATAGCTGGGTTGATTTTCTGCTGACAAAATAATTTGATCTTTGTTTAATTGTCGGCTCCCCTAGCAATGGGACGCTCCGCTCACAGGCCGTATGTGGCTCTGTGACTGATTATATACGGACAGGGTGACAGTAAGGTCATGACCAAATTCTGCTAAATGCAATTCATAAATCTGTCAGATTTATAAAAAATCTGCCAAATTCGTTTGCACACATTTGCGTGTCAAAATTTCAACATGAAATTTCACGAAAAGTAGATAGAAAAATAAACTACATACTAACCCTATGTGTGAAAATCAGAATTCGTCAAAGTTCGACATGTATTTGTAGTTGTACATGGTAGAAGTGTGGTCTTTATTTACGGAGGTAGTCTAGTAAATTGGCCACATTTATGTGGCTAGGCATGTAGGGTGGCGCCCTGCACTGTAAATCGCTCGAATTTGTGCATCATAATTATTGGCAAAAACAGTTTCAAATAAGGTTTTACTTCTACACTCACCAAGTTGGCGGACCCTTAATTCACCAAATTATTGTAATTTTAAGACTCATAACAGTAATTTACGGCGTTAAATCCAGTCCCAAATTCAAAGACCAAACGTGTCGACATTCACAGGCGAAATATTAAACATGGCCGGCCGACCGAATGAAAAATCGGCCGGTACCTGGCGGGAACAGTGCACATATTACCAAGAGGTTGATGTGTACCAGGGAAACACGTGGAATTGAGAAATTCAAATCTTTCAGCGCGGCGCGCGCAGCGGTGGTAGCCTTGATTAAAGCTTAAAGGTTCGCTGCAGCCCCATGCTGATTGCCCTTCACGTACTAAGTCAACATTGATCATTCCAAACCGACTTGACGAAGACAACATATGCAAAACTATGCAGATTTACCAAAAACATTTTTTATCATTTAAATTTTCAGAGCGCGAAAGGTGGCCATGAGGTGTTTTTCAAAACTTGGTCCTGTTTCTTTCCAGCTTTTGCTTCAGGGGCTTGGTTAATGATTTTAACTGGTCTCTAAAGAGAATCAGATTACAGTATCGGCCCACAGTTATGTAGCCAATGGATATTTTTTTTAACTTTAAGCATTAAATGGCCTTGCAATTTTCGAAGCTCAGGCCATAAACCGAGGAAGGGGGATCCAACTGATCCATGACATGACAAGGTTTATCACGCTAAAAATAAATATGATGAAAAAAGAACATGTTATCTGTACACTTTTATTTGAAATTCCTAACAGCCACCAAGATTCTCGTCACTTTACAATCCAAATAGTTTTAATTGAGCCGTCATGAAGAGGAAAACGACATCCAACATTACTATTATTGAAGATGTACTTTTGTACATGTCATCTTTGTCGCTAATTTAAATCTATTAGGACTGAACGGGGTTTAAATAACGGAAACATTGAGTCCGATAGGAACGACCATTTTTTCAACACCGATGCTGTCGACTGCTATATTTTGTGAACGCAAAATCATGGAATGTATCATGGAAGGTGTGGATCACGTGGGTTGCTATGTCATATGAAACTTTCAGACAATGAACGATGTGATTTTAATTCAAGTCCACCGTAATTTCGAACTTAAACATTGGGCCTAAAAATCTTACAGAGCAAACGTTTCAAGGTTTTCCCATTGGATTCTACACTTTGTTCGATGTCATCAGAGCATTATTTGAAACCAATCCGAAGGTTGCAAAATAGCTAAATATCAGGCATTCTATTGCGAGGTTGATTCAAACTATGGAATTGTCTGCATACCCCCCCCCCCCCCCCCCCAGTTTTCCTCCTTTTTTGGATTAACAACAATATGATTTCGCGCCTCTTTTAAATTTTTTGTTGCTTGTTCGGGGGGTGGAACGCAAAACCTTAGCCGGAACTACTGAAATCGACATTCGCCGGCAGCTGCGTTAAAGAGAGGTGAACGTTTGGAATTTGAATCTCGGGAAGATAAATGAAAAGAAGCTTCAAATGACAATGAACAGAATGTAAGTTCCCAAATGGAAAGCGACTCTACATTCCTGGCAAGTTTTATTTGGCATTCACTGTACTCAACAGAAGTCATTGGCGCTGTGCAGACAGCTAGGTAGGGGCTACACCAATCGTTGACACAGCTCACGAGACAACCAGGCCATCATAATAGCAAATTGAACTTGGTGCTGGTAGGTACAAAACTATGCGTTTTAAAATCCAGATATCTATTTGTAAAAATGTATTTAAAGTAGCTACTTCATCACGTTTGTTTTGCCTACGGATTTAAAATTCCCCAAACTGAAATTGTTATCAGGAAGGGCGGAACAAAAATTATATGTTCACTCTTAAATCGAATTAAAATCATGTCCTGCATGAGGACATGATGTTGATACATGTAGCACAAAACTGTACAAGCTATAGATGACCCCCATGCAATTCATAAAAACGTAACTTTTCTCCCAGATTCCCAGCATGGCCAGAGTCTGGCCCCTACTGTTGTACCTTCAGTTGGCTGCAGTTTCGTGGGGTGGTGTAGCGTTATCTGCGGGACTTACTAATGTCTTGGATGACGCAGGGCGTCCATGGCAACATGTAGGTATGCAAAGTCCACATAGGAAACTTTAAGCTGCTGTATCCAAAACTCTGTACAAGACAGACTTTCCCATTCATAAATTGCAAAATATCTTTCTGGTAATCTGTTGCGGGGTAATCATCCAAGTGAATATACATGTATTTTTGTCATGAACTCTGAAAATAATGGATGCTTGTTGTTATCAGGTCGCACCTCACTATTCCATTTATTTTCCTTGATATGTGAAAGAGTGGTTTATTTCTTGACAGAAATGCCTGGAGCTGCCAGCATGGATGAGATTATAGCAAGAATCAAGAAATCAGCAGACCAGATTATGAAAACCAAACTACAGAGAACAAAAGAGATTTACAAACTGGATGACACTCAAGCCCATCACAGGTCAAAAAGAGCCATTCCTGATCAGCTCTCTAAGGCATATGAACGTAAGTAGGGAAAATACTTGGGAAAAATTTCCATATACCAAGTTCACTCAACACCCTGTGTACAAACCCTATGAGATTGGACTGAAAAATTCTAAGTGTTTTCTAAGAAAATGCTTGTATTTTCTCACTGCTCAAATTGACTTTGATGACATGAAATTGCTATCTGGGGGCTTGTTAGTCAATACAGAGGAAAATTAGTGAACTTCGTATATGGAAATCTTTTCGTTATGTTGATCTGTTGGGTTCCCAAAACAAATGTCAATGGCTCCTCGGTAATGGGTCCATTTTAATATACACTGTACATGTACATGTATTTTAAAACTGAATAATTTTCCATAATATAAAATAATGGTAGACAAGAACAATTGAGCAATACAACATGCATCTGAAATCTTTTGGAAAAGATCACCATATCCAACCAATGGGTTCAGTGACATTTCTTATTGAAAATAATTATTAGTCTACAGAATGATAACTGTTTTTTTTTTTATTGAATGGAGCAATAGAAAGTCAGTCAGCCTTAGATGATACTTTTCCATCAACACCCAGCAATATTTTAAACACAGACCCACAATTATGCTCCTCTAGGAACTTAAAGAACATTCCAAGATCCATGTGATAGTCTCTCCCACTGCTTACAGCAAACTCTTTTTCCTCAAACCCACTGAACCTTCTGAGGTCAGAGGTTGAAGTTGACTGGCCCTTTCCATCACAAAGGGGGACATCCTCCCGATGCTTGCAAGAAATCTTCTTCCAGTTCATCCGTCGCAGACGGTTCCAAAACTCCTCAGCAAAACTTTTCTCCCCCTCAATGCAGATAATTCCTGGCTTTCCAGGAAGACAAAACCCTGTTACTGGCAGCTCTGTTCCCCAGTCTAAAATGTCCCTTCTTTTAAACTTGCTGTAGATATGATGACTATGAATCCAAAGTCTTGTAAATGTATCATCCTCTTTTGTTTTCTTGGACATATTTTTGTTAGACACACTTTTATCTTTTGATGGGGAGGGTGGTTCCACATATTTGTAAGTGTTCTCTCTGATCCATTGGATTGCTTCACCTATGCAGAGTTCCCCTCGGTCTAGACTTAAAATGTGCTCAGCAACATCATCATTCAGTCTCTTTTGCTGTTGACGGGAAAACAGTGGTGTTTCAGATCGAACCAAAACCTCAGGGACATCCTGGGGGTACCTCTCAGGAAGAAGGCAGATCACTTGCAAGTCACACTGAAAATATAATTATAAAAATACATCAATTTAATTTTACCAATCACCATGCTATTCATGTTATTTATTGATTTACCTCACATTAGTCACAATTTAATAAATTCTTAAATTTACCTGGGGTTCTTCGATTTTAATCTTGATGGTGAAGGTAATTTGACGAAATTCCGCCAATAATCCTTCAACTTCAAGTTCATGATCATCGTCATGGTCGTCGCATTCCACGATATTGCGAGCTTCGGAAATCACACTCAGATCATCCATACAAAACTCTTCATTCGGAAACATACTCTGAAGCATCTCAACCTCTGAAAGCTGAAGCTCAATAAGTTCTCTTTTCTCCATTTTTAACGCTGCAGAACCGTTTTCTTATGTTAGGCCTATCCATTTGACTGTACGCCAACTCAACAAATGAAATTGAACCATGGGCGCCGCCATCTTCTTTTACGTTGTACTCGTTCATCTATTAAATTGTTTTACTCTCTATGTTCGATACTTCAAGAATAAAATTGATCAAATTTTTCATTTATAGAATTATTAGTGACCCACTGAATTTATGATGATTTAGATAATATTTATCTTTTGATTTATTTTTCGTTTATTAATTATTTAAAAAAAGATACGGTAACTGCGGCGCGGCGCAGCGCCACCAATAGTTCATGAAAAGTATTTTGCGCACCGCTCAAAACAAATCCTGAGGCTGATATAGGTGATAGTACAGTACAGTGATTCTGTTGTGCCCATTCTTGAAAATCACGCATTCTCGAGAATGGGCATGCACATTCTTGAGAATGTGCAACTGGATCCTTGCTCAATCTTGGCAAAAAATAACTCTTCCAGATTGAGCGCACATTCTTGAGAATGCGCGACAAGATAACGGTCTTGTCGATGCCGAGCACCGGCTGCGCTTGGCAAGTCTAGCTAAATCCTCGTTCACTGATTCTCAATAATTATACTGTTGCAACGCAAGGCGCTGAAAAGTAGAGTGGATATGATAAGTAAAGGCGTATTGATATGGGGGGGGGGGTGGACCGGGAAATATAAGAGACATAATAATACTAGTGCAAAGAATTCTGATTTTTGGGATAAAAGCGGGGGGGGGGGGGGGACGTAAGAATGAAGAATGTGAAGAATGAGAATGAATACTGCGACATCCCATAGTGCTAATGCTATTTCCCATTTAAATTGCCACCAATTTATTGTTCACATCCCACCATAACGTCGCAGAGCTGGATTCTATCTAGTCAAAAGAGTAATTTGGCAGCTTCTGGACATCGGGTTTTTTTCGTGGCACGCCTATGATACAAGCAGGGACTTGTAACTTGTCTAGCCTAAACAAAGCACTTCCCAGACTAGTTCCCAGTCCTCCGTTATTACAAAACTTCCCATAGTGGACAGAAAAAAGCAATAATAACAGGTTTAATTTGATTCAAATTATCGTAGTTATACGAGTACAGAAGCATAGCACATTTTCTTTCCTTTTTATATGAATTGTTTCCCTTTTAACCGCTATAAAATTCATTTAACATAATTATGTCGTGCAATGTTTGTTAAGATTGGGCAAAATTCATAAATTGTGCACGTGATATTCCCACCCAATCTTAAGAATGAGCGCTCATTCTTAAGAACGCGTGCTCGTTCTTAAGAATGGGCGCTCATTCTTAAGAATGCGCGCCCATTCTCGAGAATGTGCATGCCCATTCTCGAGAATGCGTGATTTTCAAGAATGGGCACAACAATACCGATGATGATGATGTGCCTAAACTCGCAAGTAAATAGGTTCTGTTGTTCGTTGCTCTACATGGTTGAGTGGATTTAGTTTCTAGAATTTCTTTATTTGATTTTCAGGATTTGAAGATGAACTGTAAATGTGTTAAAGGGAATATACAACATTTGCAAACATCGAAAAATAAAACTACCATACCAAGTTTTTAAGAACGAAGTGGCTATCGTTACGGCACTCGTTGTTTAGCGCCCTCTACGATATTTTTTTGGTACGCACGCAGGTATATAATTATTTGTTTCCACACGTTTTATCGAGCAGTGCGCCAGCTCAGCCGATAGAGGGTAGGATTTTGCACCGCGAGGTTGCGGGTTCGGATCTCAGTTTTGCACTCGAATTTTTTTCCTTTTCTAACCTGAGGCTTTGGAGGATTTTTTTTAAAAGGGAAATAAAGTCCGAATTTCATAAAGTTCAAATTCACTTTTTTCCTTCTAATTTTATATTTTCTTGTCATGTTTTTTTATAAAAGTTGCCAGGTTGCAGTCTGCCGTAACGATAGAAAATGGGAAATGCATTACGGCTGCCGTAACAATAGCCACTGCGTTTTAAGAAATACCTTACTACAAATCATGACAAATAGGATGTTGGTAAATGACACTGACAGTCTAAAGCATCCTGTAAAATTATGGCACCTGGCATGCCTGATGTGAAGTCATTTTCAAGAAAATGGTATTTTTGTATACATTTCCAACGGTGGTCGGCCGACCACCGTTGGAAAAACCTAACTATATTTCAACTACTGCTCCAAATTTACCTTTTTCAGTCCAAATTTTGTTTGGTATTGGTTACATGTTCATGAACGGGTGCAGGCCAGCTAGACTGGTTCCCTTACCTTACAATTTTCTGGCAACTATAAATTGATCCATTTCATATTTAGTGGAGTCAGGGAACCAGACTACTTGAACAATTGTGTTTTTATTGGTTTTTCCAGCATTTTCGAACATAAAAATTCAAACATGTCAGTGTAACAATATTTGATATATTATACTAACCCCTCAAATACTCCATTTCTGAAAATTACAGCAAAATCCAATGATGTACATTCCCTTTAAGTCTAAACTGGTCTACACCGTGCACGCCAAGCAACTTGATGAGATATCCAATTGGACACACTGTCAATTATCAACATAGAAGTAGAAGAAGTAAACCAAGACCAGCAAAAATTGGTCTTGAGACCGGTCTCGAGACCTACATCACTGCTGGAGACAAAACTACGTTGGAAAAGTGAGATCTTAAGAGACCCTAAAAAACCGGCCTCCACAAACATGACACTCGGGGCTCCTTTGATCGGTAGTGATTATCAAAATGCACGCACGCCTCATCTTTTGTGTTCGGTATGCATGCAAATGGTTTCTGATATTGTTCACCGAATTAGTAGCTTTGCATTTGGTAAATTTAACATCTCATTCTGTGAATTGATTTGCCATTTGATATATTTTATTACAGCTTTCTACGAATTGCTAAGGAGTCAAGCTCTATCTGATGCCAGCGTACCAGGATGTACTGTTGTTGAGTCCTTTTCTTTGTACAACAATCAATACATTGTTGCAACCAATATCAGCTCAAAAGAACAAACAGTTCTGTACAGATATGATGTAAGTTTTATTGATCCAAAACTATTTTAGAATTCCATTTCAAAATAGGAGGCACAATTACGGGCTGACTTGCCCAAATTGTAATCATTATCATCTTTGTAAAGTGTGATCTGATGATGCTATTTCAGTTTCATGTAAGCTCTTGTCACTTAAATGCCTAACCATAATTTACTGCTACCCCAACATGTAGTGCTCAAATTTTCTTACAACAGGCATGGAAACACAAGTATCATGTAAACTATCATGTTTTCAAATTTGAATATTCAGAATGGAACGTCAACTGTCCTGCAAGTTTTGGAGACTGCTGATGTTAAAGATTTGGCAGTATTTCAAGTGGAGGAGCAAACCATCTTGATCATCATGGAAAGCAACTCTGGTAAAAAAACCAAATTTTCAAACTTTCCTTTTTTATACAAGGGTACATGATATCTTCTGTTTAGTTTTATATTGTGTAGATTATACACAGTAAATAGATTGTAAGCAAGCAGCAATAACTACAAAGTTGCACTACAACCAGATATTTTGTCCTCTTTTTATAGAAACTGTCGGCCTTCCAACAGGCACTGTCGTGTATGAGTTTGATAACACAACCCAGAGCTTTCAGTATGTTCAAAGAATTCTAACTGACAATCCAAGGAGAGTGGAAGTCTTCTCACATGATGGTGTCCACTATGTGATCTTCACTGGTGCTTCTGTGGAAAGTTTTGGTGTTGGAATTCAACGCAGGGTGTCTTCTATACATAGATGGAAAGGTATGTGTTTTCAGGGGAGAGTTGGTCATTCTTAAAGTAAATTACCTTTTTTATTTGAGACATCTATCTTCACACATATTTATCTCCGATATATTGATGAAGAAAATGACAGTCTCATGTTTGTTTTGAATCTGCAGGAGGCCATTTGGATAAGATTTCGACATTGATTACTGGTGATGCAGTTGATGTACACCCATTCAATATTCACAACCAAGTATTTCTGGGGTTGGCCAATCGTACCGATTCTCACATCCTGATCTTCAGCCCACATCTTGAGGCCTTCAGTAGATATCAGGTATTGATTGATTAGTTGATTAATGTTGGTGATTGGTTGTAATGACATACGGACTATTATGTGTTTGTTTGCAAGTTGTTGTAGTGAATAATGTCCTCCCAACCCCAGCCCAGATGGCTGGCCTGACATGTTACTGTACTTCTTCCCCTACTTTCAGTCGTAAAGAAGACATTCAAACTGTTCATTTTTCTGTTCTTATCCAATTCATTGTGTAATAGGATATTGATATCACACATGCCATTAGCTGGGAGTATTTCAACCTTGGCGATGGGCCAGACCAGGACCATTTCTTGGCTGTCGCAAGTGATAAAGGTTAGTAGCTTCCACACAAAAAGCTTTTCTATCATGTTGGTAGATTAAGTTTAATTTAAAGAGTGACATACAGTAGTCTTTCCCACTTAGGAGGAAACCTCTCCAATTCCTGTGGAGAAGCTGGAGTAGTTTATGAAATGTTTGAAATCCCCATTCACATAGAAACCAAGTTTATCACCAGTAAAATATGAGAAAAGAACAACTGTCTTAAGGTCACATCGCAGTTTTAAAAACATTTTGATGCTAATAAAACTAACTAACAGAGAACACAAACTAATGCAATGTTTCATGAACTTTATACCTTACCAGGTGGGCCGAGTCAGTCAGTCATCTACAAATATCATCGCAATGAGTTCGTTCCCTTCCAAAGTATTTCAACCACTGGAGCCAGGCTGTGGCATGCCGTCAAGAATGCAGACGGGACCTTGAGAGTTCTTGCACTGTCTAGTGATGATGGCATAACGTTGTATGAGTACAGTGGCTGGCGATTTGAGCTGTCTACTGTACTGATTGCCCAACCTGGAGACCTGCAGGCTAAGAGTATGACATCATTCATCCAGAATAGTCAGGTGGTTCTTGTCATTGCGGATAATTCAACATTGAATGACAATGTTTATGAATTGACATTTCATGCAAACTATGCTGTGCAGCAGTTACATAGAGAGGCGTCATTATCATGTATTCGTTTGAGAGCTAAGATTGCAAGGTAAGTTAAGTCATTACTGGCTTCAGTGGTGTGTTTTGAGACAGAGAGCCAGTATCTGTATTTTTATTAGAATTCATTTGACATTCATGTTTGGATGCCCTTTTTGTTCCCTTCATGTACATTTTGTTGTGACCAAACATTCACTGGACATTAAATGTGTTTTTTTGTGTGAAACGAAATTGACGAATGCATGAGCATAACAGCCTAATATGCCTCTTTATTAGTTACTGCAAGTGAAGTCTGTTCCTTTTCTTCCAACACAGTTTAGAGAGCAGACTGAACGCTACACAGACGGCTGCAGATAAATTAGTTTATATCAACTCTTCAGAAGTTCAGATTATCACGGGCAACAAGACATTCCAAGGGAACATCTCCATGGATGCTGTTGTTGCAAACGAAAGTAAGAACTGTCAGATGAAAGATTCATTATGATGTGAGCAAATCATAATCTTTTCAAAAGTCAAATTAAAAATCATTTTGATTTTTGCTTGCAAAGAAAGGGAATGCACCTTGAGAAGGTAAGAATAAATTAGCATTTAGCCCCCCCCCCCAAAAAAGGATTTTAATAAGAAATGTGTTTTTTCCCCCACAGCTCATGCTGCAAATGGTATGATTCTTGACGCCAAAGAAAAGGTTGAATTCTCGGAAGTGAAGTCAAACCAGACACAGAGTTTCTCAGACCTGATCAGCATAGAAACACAGTTGAATGGAGCCATGAACAAAACAGGTCCTCAGCAAACAGTCACAGGTATGTAATCCATTACAACATGTGTGAAAGACCTGCAAACACAAAGGAGGCCATTTTATGAATCTCAAAAGACTCATGCAATGAAATGAAGGGAGAGGCTTTCAAAGTGTTTCCTATAAATATTGCAGCAGCGTAATGTCCATTATCAAGTATCTCATTAATGTTAAACTCCTGTATTGGAATTGTGTAGAACAAAGCTTTCTCAATGCAATGTATTAACTTATTTCAGGTAATTTGAAGTTTTGGACTTGTTTCATTCAGGTCAGAAAACCTTCAGCAAATTGACGACTCCAGTTATGGATGCCAACACTGTCAACGTAGGAAGTGATGTCATCAACGGAAATGTGAACTTGACAGAGTTAGTCACAAACACATGGCATAAGGACAAAACTCAGGTGAGTAATAATGAGGTTATAGTACCAGTGAAGGGACTTGCTTACTGTAGATGACTGAAGGTGACTGGGGTTTATTAACAGTAGCCAAGCCACATTCATAACATCATTAGCAAAACTGTTTGAAAATGACCAAAATCAATCATTTTTGTGCGGATTTCAGAATCAACATACGGTAAACAAAGTGAGATTTATACTTCGAAGAGTAAAGTGCGATACGGGCTTGTTTGGATTCCTGTGCATTAATTATGTTCTAGACATCAAAACGAAGGGTGGGAACTGGTGTAAAAGTGTTTTCCTCTGCATCACCATTAACATTTTAGAATAATTTCACAACAGGTGTTTTCATTGATTGGAATGTTTTAATTTTCACTAGTGAGAGGACTTTGTGCCTGGAAGCCATTACTAATTTGCCATCCAAGCATTGCGTGCACTGTCATATCATGGTAAATGGCTGTGCCTTTGCTTCCTCTTCAGGTTATTGACATCGGGTTTAGTGTCTCTGGAAATGTGACAGTGCAAGGAGATCTGACAGTATCAGAATTGCTGGATGGCATTAATACATCCACCATCGTTACATTGTCAGGCAATCACACTATAGAGGGCAGCAAAACATTTGATGCCTCAGTCCAAGTTGAAGGTGAGTGTATGAATGTATAATCTTTCTAATCATTGATAAATGTTCTACCTTGTTAATGTTCAGCAGGTTTAAAATACATGAGTATAACTCATCTGTCTCAAATACAGACAAGGCTCTTGAAGAGCGAAAGGCCCAATAGATGTCTCTGAAGACCCTCAGCTTGTCGGGAAGAAAACACCGGATGTTGAGGCATTCAAAAGCAGAGAGATATTGGAAATTATAAGGATTGATAATATGTTTGCCTTGAATGAAACTTTGCTTTACTTTTAGGAAACCTTGATGTATCACAAAACATTGATGGAGTCAATGTGACTGACAGCACCCTTCTTCTTACATACGGGAACCAGACTATTCAGAATCATTTGAATGTTAGTGGAGTTGTGACCTTCATCAACGATGTGGAAGTGGATGGACTAGTGGATGGGTGTGATTTGTCAACTATCAACCAAGACGCTGTGTTGACATCAGGTGACTTTAATGTCACAGGTATGTACTGTCCAAGTTATTCCTGTATTCTACTTTATTCATTTACAAGATATAACTTGACAGGGTGCCACATTGTAGTTATCAATACACTAAATCTGATATTTTTGCTGTAATAGGAAACAAAACTTTCACCGGTAACCTGACTCCAGAGTTGGGCATTACCATGGGTACAGGACGAACCATAGATGGTGTCAGTATCCTGCAACTTGATCAAACAGTGTTGAAGACAACAGGGAACCAGCAACTAACAGGTATATAAACATCTCTAGTGGAGCTGAAATGAAGGTTAAATTTTACACAAAACTTTGCATTTACTCACTTATGAACATCATAGGCATGCTTGAGTGTAATCCAAATTTCAGCTCCTGCTAACCAGCGTAGATGTCTGAGTTGGAAACAAACGTGAATCTACATGTGTTTGTTCATTTCTGCAAGGGCCCCATCCATATCTCAAAAGCATTGACCAAATTGTCGTTGTCACGCAAACATTTCTTTTGCAAAAATACATACCTGTGAGGAATTTCAAAATTCACCCCATTTTTTGTCTCTTCCATTTGCAGGAGATTACAATTTCACCCAGACTGTGGACATTTATGGCAATCTTAGCGTGGATGGACTTGTGGATGGCTTGACTATTCCTGATGACATCTTGTTGGAAAATTCACCAACGCAGGCAGTTTTAGCTGAGAATTGGACACTTCATGACATCACTGTAGAAAACATGACTGTGGAAACAAGCATCGATGGTATCACGAGAACAGGTACATACCACCCTTATCAAGGCATTGAGAGGTCAATACATGAGTGCAAGCTTTCCATTTGTCAGTTCCAGTTGTAGAGTCGACAGTAATTTGCTGCTTTTCCCTAGATGGTAGATCGTTCTCATGATGATAGCTTGAAGTACGGTAAACACAGTGAGGGGACATGATTTCAAAAAATAATTGTAAGAAATTGTAGACTTTCAGTTTGATACATCATCATTTTTTTTTATTTGACAGCTGGTGGCTTTGGTTTGGATGTGATGCTAGTTAATGGTGGAGGGCAGACATTAGAGGGCGCTATATCATTTGCAGGGGGCATGCGACTGAATTGGACGTCTCAGGTCACTGGGCTAGTAGATGGTGTGGACATTCCATCAATGGCGGCTGATGCTGTGTATAAGAGTGGCAATCAACAAATTACAGGTAACGTTTACCACACTCTAGTGCAACTCTGCGCCTAGACTTGTGTGCCTCTGTCTGCATGTCAACCACTCTGTAACTAATCTGACCTTTTATGTTTTCTCATGATAGGAAAGAAGACGTTTGCCTCCGATTTGAATTTCCAGCAAGATCTACTGGTTGACGAATTGATTAATGGCATCAACATCACTGAATACGAGTCCAGTGCATTGAAACTCTTCGATGATGATGACACAATTGTTTTTAATGGGGATGTTGTACTCAATGCTTCAGAAACAAAGGTAATGTTGCTGCTGATTTCAATTTAATTTTTAAGAAACTTCATTAGTGATAAATGCTGACAGTTAGTTAACGTCTCTCAAGTGTTTTTTGCATACTTAAGGTAAAACTGAAAGGGTGCATTGAAATATTTCAATTAATCATAGAAAATTGATTGGATTTGAACATGATGAGATCTCTGAAAACCAGTTTCCTAGTTGTGGCTGTATTGATTCCAGCTTGGTTAAATATACTTTGTTCAACAATTTGTTTTAGCTCATGTATTTTCTACTGTTTTTTTGGCTTGCAACCATTGCAGGGTACTTGTCTTGAATAATTTGTTAATTTTTCTTCATATTTTCATGTTTATTCAACCAGATGGCTGGCCCACTGATAACTGCTGGCAATCATTCATTTGCCTACCAGAGAAGTCTTCAAGATCTTGTCATTCAAGGCCGGCAGGACATAATCTATGGCTTGAAGACCTTCCCTCAGGTTTCATCAAATCAAGATGTAGAAGCAACACTAGTCAATGGCATTAACATCACGTATTACTACAGCGATTCTATTCGCGTCATTCCTGGCGTGGTTCTTGTTATTGATGATAATGTTACATTCTGGGATGATGTTACGATGAATGGTAACTTGACCATTCAATCGCAAATTATTGATGGTAAGTTTGTCTGTTTCATCATTTTTTCAAAACATTTTTCTTTGACAGTATCTCTTTGGCTCAGTTTTGTGTTTGTTATGTTGGTGGACAAGTTCTACGTAAAACCTTGCAACTCAAAACATAATTGGAACCATTGTAATCCTATTTTAATCTATACCGAAACAAGATTGAGACCTCTTCAGATGGAAAACCTGATAGAATCAGGCTAACCTAAATAAAAACTGTTCAATATTTTGCCACCCACATTAATACTAATTGACATATTTCTCTGCAAAATCCAAGCCCAATTTCAGTTTTGCACAGTCAGACACAATCTTATCGTTCAAACAATTAATGATGATTTTTTGTTCCATATTTGATTCTTTAGATGTATACATTCCTGATATTGTCACCATCACCAATAATTCTAAAGTGGCTTTAAGGACGACATTTACCAGCGATGTGACGGCACAGAATCTGTCTGTAAACAATCTGACGTTATCTGGTCTGTTGAATGGATATGATGTACAAACAGTTGACGGTGACACCCTCAAGACAAACCAAGCAGGTAAGCAGTCATTAGAAGAATGGAATCTAGCAATAAGTTCCCCTTGGTGGTAACTAGCTTACGAGTTGAGGAGGAACATTTCAGTGCCATTGCTACCCATGCTGTGGTACATCGATGGTGCAGAGAAGACTTATACCACCAAAGGTTATTTTCATAACCACACTTCTCACACAGGAGAGATTAAATCCACGGTGTATCCACAAATTGACATTTTTGATGCCAATAACCAACAAGTCAATCAAACTTTATTTACATTCCATTTCCATTCTTTGTCTGATCCAGGAACACAGACAGTTACTGGCAGCAAGACTTTCCTGAATGGAATGTTTATGAGTGGTGACCTGGTTGTGATGGGTAACACAGTTGGAGTTGACCTGTCAGCTGTCGCTACTGATGCTGTGTACATCAATCATGCACACACTGTCATTACAGCAGGAAAAACATTTGGATTCGCAGATATCACACACCTTAATGCTACAGGTGAGTTTAGAATAATGATATCACTGTTTAAAATTTAAAAAAAAAGAAATTATAAAAAAAGTCCAACAGATTGATCAATGCATTTCATGTGGACTCAGAAAAGCATTTGGATTCCCAAACTTACCAAGGGGAAATGTAATCACGATGTCAATTTGGCCTGATTATTACAAGGTATTGTGAAAATTCTGTTATGTAGTTTGGTGAGTTTACTTTGTTGTGACATCTATTTTGCCTGGAAAGTGTTAATAACATCAAGGTTTGACATTGAATGAAAAGAAGGTTGTTTTTTTTCGAGGGGGGGGGGTGGTTTTGGGGAAAAATCTACTGATTTAGAAATCTTTCTCTCCATTTTTCAGATCACATAGATGGAGTCCACCTACCATCATTCAGCAAGAACGTCGTCATTCAGATGATTGAACAGACAATAGAGGGCGTTGTTACTTTCAATCAAGACGTTGACTTTGATGATGACATCACTGTTGCGCAAACCATCAATGGCCACAATGTGACGACCTGGTTGCTTGAAGTGCTGAACGTCTTGAACAGTTCCTATAATGGTAAGAGGAGATGATTAAATCCTTCTTGAAGCAAGAGAAAGCAAGACCAGTTATTAAGGTATAGGGGAGTCAGGTTGGCATAGCGGTACTTTCCTTGCCTTCCACCGCTGTGACCCGGGTTCGAATCCCGCCTGGGTCAATATGTGGATTGGGTTTTCAGTCCCTACCTGATTCCGTGGGTTTTCCCCAGAATATTCTTCTGGAGTTTCTTCCACCTCTAAAAACTGTAATTTCTTCACATTGTCTCTTTGCTGGGCTCCATGGGAGACCAGTGGATTCCACTGAATGGGCTACCAAGTTAAAATAAGAAATAAATAAATAAAAATAAATAAAGTTATAGGATTTTTAGGGTTTGGGTGGAGAGGGTTTATTGACTCAGAAATTTGTTTTAGCGTTTACAATTTTCAAATACTTCCTAATCGTAAGCACTTCGAAGGATATGCAATGTTGAAATTGTATCAAGCTTATTTGCTCTGTGTTGTACTTCAGTTGAGCTTGAGTTTTCTGATGTCGTATCTGGAGATAACGTGACTGTTGATGGATTGATCGATGGACACAAGATGACTGACTTTGTTCTCAACGTGGCTGAGGTAAGTCAGATATCACGAAGAATCATCACAAATTGCCTTTCTCATTTGTGGGAACATGCATGTCACATTCAATTTCCAACACCAGGTAAATCTTTAAAGATTCTGTTACATTACAGGATCGATTCTGCACAAAAACCAAGTTGAGCACAACATTGATCTGTTTCGTTGAGAGTTTTGAACAGAATTTTCAATCATTATTTGGCATGCTTTCAACCAATCAGGAAACAGGATACATGAATTAACAGCTGGTACCTTGGCTGCGTGTAACCATGCTACAATTTCTTGTTTATATATTTGTTTGTATTCCAGTTCCAAGCAATCAGTGCTGCCAAGCGCTTCATCGGATCATTGACAGTCAACGAAACTGTGGAGGCTCTGTTGATCAATGGTGTCTCTATTGATGAACTGAATGCACTCGCTGTACGACACAATGAAACAGAGAACATCTATGGAAATAAGACGTTTGCTAGTAAGTTATTCTTGTGAGTTGTAGCCTACTTCAGTGAACGACCCTTCCATTTCCCAAGCAGTGCAGAGAATCATGCAGGATGGAAAGTACTCTCACAGAAAGCCTTCACAATTCCTTCATATACACATAGTTTCCACAATAGTAGTATCCAATTCTCAAAGTTTGTTTATATTTGTGTTATATAAAAGGATCAACAACACATTTTGGGACTGTGCTGCATCAGTAATTATTGCACTGAGTCTAAACAACATTTAACCTAATGCATCATTCAATCCATTGTATGATGACAATTTCCAGCTTTATATTAGTGTTATCCTAACACTTTGTGTCCTGAATTTGTATTTCAGGTGGAATTTCTCTTCAGCAGAACATGACAGTCACAACCTTAGTAGATACAGTCGATGTTCCAGCCTTACAAGTAAACGCCTTAGCAACCATGAGTGAGAACAAGACAAGGCAGTTTGTCCTTGGCAACGGTACCCTAGGCAACATCATCGTTCTTGGTGTAAGTGCTTTCTTCCCTTATAATTTACGCATGTATCCATTAAATAAAATGTGTGTTTTCTCCAAAGATTTTGTATTTTGTTTTCTCCTCCCCCAAACTTTTGAAACTATTCTTGATTAATATGAAAAATGTAGAGTATTTTCTGGTAGTACCATTTATCCAGAGTAGTTCCAGCAACCTGACTCCTAGTCTTAATCTTTGTTGAGTAACTTGCACCCTTGTCATTAATGCTTGTCTAAATAATCTCTGACAGAACCTGACACACAATGGTACAGTGGATGGTGTGAATCCAGAGCAGCTAGAGAAGACATACATGAGCCTGACCATCCCACAGACCGTCACAGGTTTCAAGACACTTCAAGACACTCTAACCATAGCTACTCCGGCAACATTAGATGCAACAACTATCTATCTAGATGGGGAACTGAATGACGTTGACTTGGAGGATTTTGCTGATGCTCACTGGGTGGGAGGTAGTGGTGATCAGGTGTCTGGGGTCAAAACATTCACACAGAATGCTACACTAAGTAAGTACCTTAAACTCCTGCAAGTCTTTTGATGTCAGCAGTATGTATTGACCTTTATTGATAGACCTCATAATGACAAAGAATAAGAGTATCATCAGAACGTCCACTGTAAACAAAGTGTTATACATAGAAAAGCACCAGATTTACAAACGAATTAGTAGATTGGTCCTAATTACTTGCCCCACTTTAACGCAGCATTGTTAACCTCTGTTTATTGGTTCATCACATATTATAGACTCAGAACTTAATCTTCCCCCTTTTTCTTTTATTTCAATTGCAACAGGGAGCTCTCTGACCATCGATGGCACAATTAATGGTTTGGACATTGATGGCAATGCAATGGTCACCGACCAAAGCAACACAGTAACGGGTATTAAGACCTTCACCGGTAGCCCACTGACTGTCAATGGAGCAATCAACATGACAGACTGGATGGAAGTGGATGGGGTGGATTTATCTGAATATAAGAAGAATGCAGCGACGATCACAAATGATCACAACATAACGTTACCTACAGGCATAGCTGGAATTACCATACAAACAAATCTCAAGTGAGTAATTAGTTCTTTGCGGTCATGGATTTGATTTAAATTTGACGCAAACTTGAAAGTCAGCCAATAACAAGGTAATGGTAAAGCCTAAATTTCATTTGGGTTTAGAAATTTGCATGATGTCTAAGCATCATGTATTCACAAAACTAGATTCAAAAATTTCAAAAGTAGAAACAAAATAGACTTGAAGAATCAGACTATTTAGTCATTCCATGTGAAAGATTCCTGTGACTTGTCATAGAAATGACAAATACTTAAGAGAAGTGTCTGGTTTTTTTCCAGGGTGGAAGGAACAGTAGACGGCATTAATGTCTCAGCAGATCACTTGTTGCTGATAAACGGAACTCAAGAGATCAGTGGAGTTAAGACTTTCACTCAAGATGTCAGCGTATCTCCAAATATCCTCATCAATGCTTTGCTGAATGGCGTGGATTTACCAGATCTGTTCCACAATACTGTAAGCCTTTATTTTGTCACAGTGTTAATTAAAATTTTAAGTTACATTGGTTCGTGCTCCCAGTTATCATAAATTGCACCTCTAGTCAAACCAAGTAACTCCTCATTTTGACACATTTTCACAGTTCCACAACCCCAAAGAGATACACTCTTACAAAGGATGTTGGGGGGGGGGGGGGTGTTCATGTTGCCTTCCAGGCCTAGAAGTGTTGGTTGATTGCATTGGTTTTCCCTGAGAAAATGATCCATTTAATGATTTTTTAAAACTTTTTCCATCTGACAGCTTTTGATCAGTCCCAATCAGACAATCCGTGGCAATTACACCTTCAACACTGAGCTGATATTGAGTAACGTCACAACATTGCCTGATGTACTCGTTGATGGTCTACGTATTCCTGAGTTGTATCGTCTCTGCTACACCTACCCAACATTTGAGGAGTTTAATAGAAGTCTTCAGATGAGATGTGATATGCTGAATAAGATGCACCAAGCACAGAAAAGTAAGTCAAGCTTCTTAATGACGTTTTCCTCAGATTCAGCATTAAATGATCATTTTCTTTCAAAAGGATCACACAGAGTGTTGGTCAAAAAATTGCCAATATTTTCCTCTTCCTTGCCTGATTCAGTGGTTTTCCTAGAAAATTATCTGGGATTTTCCTGCAACCTCTAAAATAGAACATTTGTTTACTGTCTCAATTGTAGGTTCTGTCAAGTATATGTGAGCTACAGTGCCATGACTGCGTTCATAATTAATAATAATACATTCTCATTATTTGACTCCTACCATTAGATGCTGCAATCATACTCATATATCTGAACACAAGCCAAGTTATTGATACAGTGGGGTATTATTCCTGGCATGCATTCTACTTCAACGACACTCAGTGGCTCATCAAAGCACAGACGACAACATATCCAACAACTGAATGTATTGGTTCAGATATCTACCAATGGAATCAAACCACTGAAGAGCATGAGTATTATCAGGTATGTATGCACTGTCCTGTGGTCGTGTATGCATTGAGTGTCATGCATGTTTACGTGACCATGATTTAATTTGGGCCCGGGGGTTTAAAGAATGATTTCAAAAGTTTTGAACTTTATATATTTCTGTGATTCTGCTGTTTCTCAGTCAGCTGAACATATCTACTGTTCCAACAGATGTCTTTTCACTTTTTTTTCCAGTGAATCATTAGGATGTGGTTAGCAATTATACAATTTAGTTGAGTGCATTGTTTTCTTGCCTTTTCATTAGTTTATTAAAATTTTGAAGGATTCTACTTGGATCCAAATATCAGGCACCTATAACTTTTAGATTTGCTAGACTTGCAATGCACACAGACAAAATAGCTGCATTGATATTTTTGCTCTTGACTCTGTCATGTTTCTGTCTTGTCCTTTCTCAGACACTGTTTCCCAAATCAGCTGTCGATGTGGACTCATTCATAATTGACGATCGATTGTTCCTGGTCCTTGCCAGCAAGGATAATGACACTGGACAATGCGACAACTTCTCACGATTGAATGAAGGTGATGATGTGGATGGAATAGTTACACTCAATCGTAGTAAGTACCATCCTCTGTGCTCTAATCTGCCATATTTGTTTTGCGACTGTATGTAGAAATGTCAGCCTTGATTTACATGAACAGAACATTAGGCTGGTTCTTGACTCTACTTCAAAAGAAGGGGTAGGGAACAAGTCTAGAAGTGACCGCTTTATCTCCCTGGTTCGTTGGATTAGTATTACACGTGATGAGGAACTGTCAAGGAAGTGTTGATGACTGTAGTACTTGGCATTTTCACATGAGAGGGTACTTGTCAATAAAATCAATCTCAGGATTTTTCTTATTGATGTTTTCTTGTCTAGCCACAATCTCCAGTGATCTCTATGGCTACAGCACCACCAAAGTCTTAGTCTGGCTCCCTGACTCCGAGGCATTCTTTCTCTACCAAGCTCTACCCTGTGTCTCACCCTCCGATGTTGAAGTCTTCATTGATCCTTTAACGAATCAAACCTGCATAGCCGTAGCCAATGAGGTCCATATAGACGACAATCTGGATTTCATTACCGTCCTGCCATCCTATGTCTATTGTCTACAGAGCCTGAGTACTGGCTTCGTCCTCAACGATACGTTTATGACTGCTGGCGTACGCCGTGTAAGTTCAACTTGGCTGGATTGTTTTTCTAATTGGTGCCTGGAGAGTTGATTTGAGCCTAATTGGACTTAAATGATTCTAAAAACAACCAATTTTAGGGGAAAAAAGGCTGTGGAAATTTCTCTGAGCTTATGCCCTGCTGTGTCGTGGTGAAAATAATTGATTAGCCACCAGTTACAAACGCTTCAAGCCAAATGTCAAGTTGGCATTATTGTATGTTTTTATTAATTAAATTGACAGCAGAAAACAATTTTGTTGCCTTTACAAAGAATTTTTTTAATGTTGCTATTTCTGTTTCTCCTTTCAAAGATCAAACATTTCTTCAAGGATGGTACTCTTCACTTGGCCGTTGCTAATAACTTGAATCACATCACGCAATCCTTCCAAGCAGAATCAGCAATCCTCCAGCAAGCAAGCAACGGCTCTTTCATCCAAGTAGCGACAATGGAGGGAAACGCTGCATCTGATATTCTCCCAATCGCCATCGAAGACAACTGGTATATCATCCTTGCTAATGAACTCAAAGGAACGCTCAACAAGGCAGACTATGATGTCCCAGTATACGTCTACAAGTAAGCAATTTTAAATCTTTAGAAATGGTGTAGTATGGTAACTATGGTTATTGCCAAAGCTGCGAAAATGCAGAGAGACCAAGCAGAGGAAAATAATAAGACTAGCCGAGGTATTGTAATGATTGAACTGTGACAAACTGGGTCAATGTCTACAGTACAATCGAATATACAGCAAGGAATAGAGTTTTGTCAGTCACATGTCAGGCCATTTCAATGACATACATTGACCCTGCTATGTTGCTAATCTATTATTTTTTGTTCTGGGCAGGTATTCAGATACAAGTACATTGGAGCTAGAACAAGAACTGTCAGCATTTGGTGCTCGGGCTTTAGGTTTCTACACTACTGAAGACCAGGCCTTCATTGTTGTCGTAGATCAGACTGCAACGAGTGTGTACAAGTTCCAGGGTATTGACCTCTTTGTGAAAATACACACATTGGAAATACATGGTAGGTATCACTGCAGTTCTTAGTGTTAATTTTTCAGATGAAAAGAAAGCCTATGTAGATACATGTATGTAATGCACAAATTGGCCTGATTGGAAGTCTAGTCATAGAGGTGAAAGGCAAGGGACAATTGTGCATCTACCTGATTGTTCTGTTTTCATGAAATATTGTATTGTTTGTGAATAGGTGCAACCAGTCTACACGTGTTCCCATTGGCGGATACTGGGCGCAGTCAGGCTGCATTAGCTGTCTATGATGAGGAGGATTTATTTCTTGATGATCTGGAGGTTCATGCCGTAACTGCTCCATCGCTGATTCTTGACTTTCTCTTGATTGGTAAGTAGTCCAGTGCATAACCGCCATTGTGCATTATACCAGATACTCTTGTCTGGACTCTGACTGGTTTAAATCATTAGTCAGGGAACGGCCAGCTAGTCTAGGCTGCTTCTGGCCTATCCAAGGGTGCTGGTCCATTTCACCAAACTTCACATGGAAATGCTCATGTCAACAGGCATTGTGGGTAGGTCTCTTGGCCACACGCAGTGTGTGCCAAATCTATGCATGCCTAAGAATTGGACTTATCAGACTACAGGGAAGAATCATCAACCCATGAAATGACAGAAACCAAAGGCCTTTTCTCACTAGACCAAATCTCGGGGGTGGCCCCGGGGCGATGCAGGGGTGAAAATAAGCCACGTTTCTCACTTGAAATGTTCACCCCCCCGTCCCCCCCCCCCCCCCCCCCCCCCCCCCCCCCCCCGAGCTTGCTCATCCCGGGGTGAGTTCACCCCTGCTCGGGACCAGGGTTGAAAATCTCATCCCCGGGGCGAGACACTTTCCCCGGGGCGAAAAGGGGAGTGTGAAACGAGGAGGGGTGAATTCGCCCCGGGGTGAGCATCGGAGGGTTGAAAAAGACTCAAGTTTGATGTAATTGCAACAATTCATCTGAAAAAACTTGCGAACAATGTGCGCTTTTTGGTGGCTTTTCGACCAAAGCAAATCCAACCGTACCATTCAACAATCAACAGCTCGATCGATCGTAATCATACTGGACCACAAGTTGTAAAAAAGTCCAATAACTTCGTTGAAATATTTGACATGATAATCCACACCGGTTTTATTCCTTTCTCTTCTAATGTATTTAATAATATTGGATGAGTAATAATAACTAATAGTGAAATATATTCAGCCTCATTCCTAGCCTGCACTCGGCGGAGATCGACTTCGAACGAACATCACGCAAGATTCATGCAATACGTACGTACCTACGTATAACCTGAACAGAGTACATACAGCAACCTTGCACTGTGCCGGAAATAGGAATTCATGCTTGCGCATGGTGAGGAAATGTATCAGAGTTTCAAAGATACAATGCAATAAATAAATGGAATCTGTCAAATTTAACTAGATGCTAAAATAATATCTGGATGCTTTTACAAATGCTCCGTTCTTTGGTGGATAATCAGTTTTATGACGTCATGTTTAACGGTCTGTAGCACGCACGATGATATCGAAGCACGTGTAAAATAGGGCCAGGACTCAACATACATTCGACTCCGTGGATTAAATGAGGCAAGTTTTTTTCCGCATATTTGATGTTTTTTAATCAATTCTGCAATGAAAAGCCCAGAATTTTTCAGAAGTACGTTGCCTTACAGGCCGCCCCGAGTTTGAAAACTTGAGTGAGAAACGTCGCGCAAATCCCCGGGGCGAACTGGAGGGCGAAAATTCAAAAGTCACCCCGTGGTGTCCCTGGGGCGGCCCTGGGGCGAGTTCGCCCCGGGGATGGGTGTTGTAGTGGGAAAAGGCCTTAAGAGGCTGTACTAACTGTCCCCCCTCCCCCCACCGTTCATTTCTTCTTGGTCTCAAATCGAATTTTGTTCTTTTTTTTCCCATTGATTTTGCAGGTGAGAGACTACTCTCTATTGCCTGTGAAGTCTGACTCTGCGCATCGTACTGATTCATTGACCAAATAAGTGAGGAACTTAAGGCGGAAATGTAAGACACGAAACAGAACGATTATTTATTTGACTACTGAATAATTATTTACAGATTTAAATTATTGATTTATTAATGCAAAGTTAAATTGTTGTGATATAAACTGAGTGGTACATGGATGAGAAGAAATGATGTAAAGTTGTTAATATAAGTCACTGCAAATCTATACTGGGTCAAACCTATTAAATATTAAAATATGATATGTGTTCAAATTTCCATCACTGACAAAACCAAATGTTTGTTTTTATAGTCCCATTTGTTGTAAAATGTTTTGGAGGAATGTTTAATTCCAGGGTATGTGCAACTTGAAATAAATCTCAATTGGGACAGTGCATTCAAACTTATTTGGTTTGGTTAGTTTAATTGGATTATTTTTAGTTTCATGTTATTTCCCATCATCAAATTAACCTGTAACATCCCCACCTTTTTTTCACTCATTAAGTATCACTCCACACGGTGTACAAGGTGGGATTCGAACCAGGGCCAATGAGATCAGATTAGTGACTGCTGTGACTATGAACAAAACAATTGTCAAAATGAAGCAAGCACAGGTTTGCTTTTTGAACAATTCCCATTTTAATGGGCTTTGCAATAACAAATGTCTTTACATAAAAATAGTGACACTATTATCATGATTTTTGAAAGTTCTTGGAGTAAAATAAATATACGTATGCAAAGTGTTCTAAAGGTTTTCATTGTTCACAACTGAATGTGCCACACAGTTTTACACAAGTAATAACCTGATAAGTGATAACCTGAGGATGCCTTCAGTAAGATCCAATTGTCATTGATTCCATGATGAGATATCTAGTAAAAATGAAGAACATCTGCGGACGTCAACTGTCATCAAAGTCTCCTCTCTTCCCAGACCTGGTTTGACAAATTACAGATGATGAATTTGTTAAAGGTGTCAATCGTCATGTTGAGGTGTATGTAAGTTTCCAAGAGTAGAGAATCCCATTCAGTGGTTTCCAAAAATGTTGTGTTTTAATACTGGTTCACTTGCGACCCACAGGGTAGGTCTAAAAAAAAAGTAGTGGCATAATGATAAGAGTATCTTGCAAGTCTTACCTTAGCCGCTGCTCGATGAACTATTGTGTGACGTATTGCTAATGCATCAATATCCTTGGAGTATCCACCACCAATGACGCATGCACAGGGAATACCACGGATAAAATATGATTGATGACCCAGAAATCCCGATCATATAAACCTGCAAACAAGCATTCATACACAGTGTTTTACTTATTACTTTGCTGTTCATTGCAACCTGATATTAAACACAATAATCGTGGTTCTGAATTTCAACATGTGCCTTGAGATAACACTTGATTTGTTAAGTACTAGATTACCATCAACATTAGAATTGAATAAATATACAACTGTACAGTATATGTTTGAGGAAAACCCACAACTGACCTTGATCAGTCAACGATAACATTCCCAGGTCGTCGTTTTCATGAGGATCCACCCCAGCATCGTACAAAACAAGATCTGGCCTAAAACTATCCAGTATCCATGGTAACTGCTCCTTGACAATAGACAGGTATTGCTTGTCTTTCAGTCTGGGTTGCACACTAATGTCCAAGTCACTCTTCTCCTTTCGGAAAGGGAAGTTCTTGCCACAATGGATGGAGAAAGTAAAGACATCTGGGTCATTTTGGAAAATAAAGGCAGTCCCGTCACCCTGCAGATACAAGACAAAAATCAGGAAAGTTTTAATAATGAGACGAATTATTCCACAAATATTAAGATGAGGCCTTTGGACACAATTTTGTATCAGCAAAATAGTCAAGAAAATTGAAGAATCCATCCGCAATCTTGAAAAATCTGCCGTCTTGGGAGAAAAAATGCGCCTGCCTCCTTCATTTTTTCAAAAAGCCCAACGACAAACTGCTTACTTTTTTTACTCGGCCTCATTTTTTCTTTTTCTCTCATTTCAATCCTTAACAGAGGGGAAATGATCAAGATACTTACAAAAAAATTAAGTGTTTATATAAGATGTCTGCAATACCCAAATGACTTCAGAATCACCTGATGAACATCCAGATCAAGGATAAGAACTTTGGATGCTTTTCCGCTCAGCTGAACTTGTCTTGCTGCCACAGCCAAGTCATTGATCAGGCAAAACCCTGAGCCGAACTCTGGAAAGGCATGATGGGTACCCCCTGCAGTGCTGCATGCTAGGCCCGTGGACAGTGCTATGTCAGCAGCCAGAACAGATCCTCCTTAAACAAGACACACATGTAATAACGTTTTATACATGATTTGGTGTTCAGGGATTCCTCTTGGTTAGAGATGTGGGATGGGTACTTGGGAAAGAGATATCAAAGACAAGTATACATATTTTTGCGAAAGGGCCATGTATCTCAAAGACATGACGTGGGAACCCATATGTTTTACCTGTTTCCATACGACATCTCTTTACTAAACCCTCTGTCCACATAAACCCAGTTCTTCGCTGCTCTTTCTCACTTGTTCTCCCACTGAAAAATCTGTTGATGTACTCTGAGGTGTGGACAGACTTTGCTATCTCCATGGTAACCATTGTTGGCATGGCAACCTGGTCTGGCTTGATGATGCCATCATGCAGTAAGTAGTTGTACACTTTGGTGAATTTGCACATAGGAAAACGATGATTTGGTGGTAGTTTGCATACATAGTCACCATGGTGGGTAATCGGCAATCCCAAAGGCCTACCGGACTTCCATCTGCAAAGGACTTGACACAACCTTTGGGTCACCTGAAATAAAAACAGAGTACTGTAGTCCAATCAAACAATGAGTGCACCATACAAAAGTCAGGAAGTACTTTCTGGAAAAAAGGGAAATCTTTGCATTATTATTCAGACATTTGACCGATCTAAGGTAATGCACTAACTAGCTCAAGAAGTCGGAGCTTTGATGGGAATTTAAAGTACAAGGACGGAAAATTATGTCCGGTCAGGATCATACTACATGTACTAGTAGCCCCATAAATGTGGCCAATTTACTGGACTATACCTCCGTAAATAAAGGCCGCACTTGGAACATGTACCCGAAAATGTAGAACTTTGTCAACATACTCATCAGGAATTCACATGTGTTACATGTGAATTCCTGATGAGCATGTCAACTGGATGTTACTCAAGCTACTTTTCAGTTTTGTTAATGTTAGAATGGTTAGATAGACCATGATGAGCTCTAGTCGTCTAGAAATAATGGACCAACCGAAAGCGAATAAAAAATTCATACAAAATTAGGATAATTACCATACGCATGAATTTAGCAATCTCACAGTCAATATTTCACAAAAGTTAATGTGAATGCAGTTGATTCTGCAGTAGAGCACGCAAGTGAAGTAATCAATAAGTTTTCAGACTACCATCTTTTCTTAAGCAGACGATATCGTATAATTATGTAATAGTTCACATACGTTCCCAGAGGCCTCATTTTACTCCTGATTTCATTACGCGAGAGCATGTAGTGGAAGCGTACAGATCGACACCATTGGGACAAGGTTGGTCTTTTTTAGCAGACGATAAGTCATAACAGCGCCCTCTCTTAACAGTAGGGCAAAAATTATTGCATTTTCAAGCCACTGTAAAAATGAAAGCGTGCCCTCTCGCAGGCTGGTAAACCCGACTGTAAAAGTGTAATAGCGCCCTTCCTTAAGACCGGCAATTACGTATACAACTTTAGCCCCTCTGTAACTTTGTAACAACCTCCTCTCTCGTGCCTCAAATCGGATAAAACTTCTTTAAAATCAAATGTATTTCTTTTTACTTTGAACTTGGAAAAGAGCGGTCTTTACTGTGTTGATATGATTGAAAACAGCTAGCTGTATGCAGCATCAATCTAGTGACAAAGATAAGTGAATCCCAAACTCATCATCCACAGCGCCGTGTTCATGACAAAAGTTGTGATTTATTTTTCTTTCTGTATGTTTTATTGATTAGCAAAACTAATATACATTGGAAAACGAAAACAGGAATCGCAAAAAAAGGTATTTGAAGAACAATATACATGTACAATAAATAGGAGAAATTCTTTGTAAAAACAACAGTATAGAAGCCATGAAGAAGAGTTAAGAAAATAGATGTGGCCTGCAAATATTATAATTACACATCAAATTGATATTGAAATTAGAATTCAAATTTAACTTTCTATATATAATAATGAAGAGTAAGGATTTGATTTTTCATTGCAATCCTGTATTCGATATCATGTTGATTTTTCAAGAATAATGTTAACCCAGTAAAGGAGGTAATTTGAGTTTGATATTTACAACTATAAAAATAACATTTAGCACAAAGAAAAACGTAAGTCAAAACAATGTTATTGGGAACACCAAATAAGATCTCAAATTTCCCAATTTGAGCAGAATCGTTTAGATTTTGATTTATGAAACAAAGGAGGTCCGACAACGCATGACGAACGCCGCGGCGTACTGCTGAATTCGAACCGAAATTAATGCAGCAAATTGATTTTCTCATAACTGGTGATTCTCAACAAATTCTCCATACAACAAGTACCATCAATGAAAGAAATTCGCAGTCCAACTTATGAATATTCACGAGCCTGGCTCGTCGCAATGTATGCGCAGAGTTGTATGGTGCCTAGGCTTCGCTTCACTATAGGCGTGTACGTTCTGATCAATGCACGGTGCAGGGGCTAGGGGTGCAGAGTGCCGCACACATCGGCTGAATGGTACACTGGTGCCGATGGACTAGTTACTGCAGAAAATCTCATGAAATTTGCTCCATTTTGAGCACAGTCGTGTGAAAATCTGGTATCGTCCGATCAAGTGGATCCTACAGCATCTGTACCTGTATCGTTTTTTGGCGATCGAAGGATTTGCAGGACGTTTTTACCAAACGAATTGAGTGTTGTGATGCATTGCAGGTTAGTTGCCACAATCCAAATCCATTCAAATCTCAATCTTTTCTCATTCAAAAAGTTGATGATAATTTACAAGTGTTGATCAACAACGATCATACACACTTTTCACAGATTTTGGGTGTGTGCATGAAATTAAAAAATCCACAATTGATTTTTAAGAGTTGTTCTCTTTCTGATGACACCAAGAGGGTTTTGAACACTACCCTGCTTAGTGCAGTAGAAATGGACGCAATTTGTATCCTCGATGTACTTGGTTGTAATGTAAGGATTTATTTCAAGCAAGAGAAAAACACCAAATATCTTGGGCTGGCAGTGGAACACGTACTGAAAAGATTCCCATATCTGGCCATCACTACAATACGGTAATATTTCCCTTCAGTGACCTATCAGGGAAAATTACTGAGAAAACACTTGGAAATTTCAAGCCAGTCTCATGCAGTTCGTGCACAGGGCGAAAGTGATGGCCAGATATATATGGTAATTTTAGCGTAATTTTCCCCACGTTCCACACACACAACAAATCAACTGGTTGTGTGGTAGGAATCTGCACGTGTGTGTTGCTACTTGGTCAAATCTCGAAAAATTGATGCCTCAAAAACAGGTACACGGACTTAATAGTAATGTAAAAGAATGGGAATAATTCAAAGGCCTTATTGAAGTAGGCCTATGAAACTGTTAGTAACAGTTGACTTCTTAATCATACTTTCATACTAGTTAGTAACAGTGTTATTAATATCAAGTCAATTTTTTTGCTGATTTGAATATGTCTTAACTCGTGCTCAGCCTGTTGGATGCTCAGTTTGCTGCTAATGCCTAAATCATTCCCACTTTGTTGATTATCCTTTTCAGTTTACTTTTCCCCCAAATCCTCATTGAATGTATTGTTTAATATTTCTTCTTTCAACAGCGATATCAAGATGGCGTAGTATTTTGATGGCAATGTTTTGCCGAGTAGTCATGACTACTACAGAGTTGCATGATCAACCTCCTGGCAAGAATCTGAAGAGATTAGTGACAGCAGTCTCAAACATACTATATTGCTCCTGATCAGATGATAGCTGAAAAACATTTACGGGAACCAACACCTAGTGACCGTTGGAGATGAGGTGTGTTGTACTTATTCCAAACATGGCGTTCCCGCCATGCACTGGACGCCACAGGACCAACGTGAAACTAAACGTTAAACCTTGGAGGAACCTTTCATCTGTGGTTCTCCTGCTCATGATGTATATTGCCGTGTGTCTGGGACAGGCTCAGACTCCCAGTATAACTTATAACATAGATGAAGGGTTACCAGTTGGAACAGAAGTGGGAGATATTAGTGTTGATCAAGTCATACCGGGACCATACTTACCCTTGTATGCCCCTACTGACTATTTGCAGTTTACATCATCTGGTGTCATATCAACTAAAGTGGTCTTAGACCATGAAGCAACATCTGAATTTAATTTTGTAGCAGTTGCGATTTCAGATAGCTCCCAGATTGTTATAAGAGTCCGTGTAACTGATGTCAATGATAACTCCCCAGTCTTCCCAAACTCAGAAATCAATCTGGATCTGTCAGAATCTACCCCGATTGGTGCCAAACGATCCTTGGACTCGGCCAGAGATGCAGATGATGGTATCTTTAGCACGCAGGGATACCGCATTCTCTCTGGTAATGTGGATAACACATTCAGTTTGTTATTTCGTACAGCCCCTAATGGTGAAGTCTTCCTTGATTTAGTCATCGAGAATAGTCTTGATCGGGAGACTACCCCAGACTATGTCCTAGTGATTGAGGCGTATGATGGTGGTTCACCTGCAAGATTAGGTAACATGACTCTCAATATTAACATTCTTGATATTAATGACAATCCTCCAATTTTTAGCCCTACACAATATTCTACAACAGTGAATGAAACCTTAGCCGTTGGTAGTAGGATACTGCAAGTGACCGCCTCAGATGCTGATGACGGAGTCAATGGAGTTGTGATTTATGAAATACGCCGCCAAAGCGATCCCAATGAAATCTTCCGGATTGATCCTAACACTGGATGGCTGTACCTCAACAAGCCACTCGACTATGAAACGGCTGAAGCTGTAGTTCTGGCTATCTCGGCTAGGGACAATACAACTCAGCCAGAGAGAAGCTTTTCTTATGTTACAATCAACATCCTGAATGTGAACGAACAACCACCAAACATCAACATTGTCTTCCTACATCAAGATGGCCAACCCAAGATATCTGAGGCTGCTGTACCTGGGGATTTTGTCGCTCGAGTCTCAGTGAATGATCCAGATGACGGAGAGTTAACCAACGTGAACGTTACTCTTCTGGGTGGACAGGGGAAGTTTGGCATCATGACTCGGAACAATATCATCTACCTGATCTGTCTGCAAAGTAGTTTGGATCGGGAGCTGATCCCAAGTTACGATTTGTCCATTACTGCACGAGACTTTGGCATACCTCCACTCAGCACCCAATTGAACATCACCATCTATGTTGAGGACATAAATGATAACCCGCCCATATTTGACCAAGAAATGTACTCCGCCTCTATTCTGGAGATTGTGGAGACAGGATCGATGGTTACCCAAGTTCATGCTGATGATGCAGATATTGGCGATAATGCAGCCATTACATATCAGATTATGAACGAACCAGGTTCGTACTCTGAATGGTTTACCATAAACCCAGCATCGGGCTTGATAACAACAGAGCAACTTATCGATCGCGAAATCGCAGACACCGTCAGACTTAAAGTTCAAGCATCAGATGGAGGTGTTCCATCATTGTCAGCTAATGTAACAGTTGTCATCACTCTGCGTGACGTTAACGACAATCAACCTCAGTTCCTACTGTCATCCTACAATGCCAGTATAGCTGAGGATACCGACATCAACACATGTTTCTTGCAGGTAAGTTTTATAAATTGACTGATAAGTTGCTATTTGGTGATGAATAAATATGTGGGCATATGTAGACTTCATTCTGAAGCATTGCCTGTGTGACATGCCTTCTACCTGATTTTGTCGTGTGGCTATACTTGACAGTCAACTGCCAATACAGGAACTTGTTGACTACCAATACAGGAAATTGTTGATTACATGTACCTCTTCAGTTCTGCTTGAAGATGACCTTCAATCTGTCTACGCTATGCCTGCAGATTTACTAGTGAGAGTGAAAAGGAAACTAAACCAAACTTTTCAAACTGATCTAATGGTTCAAGGGAAAACTGAAGCCTGCCATTTTTTAATTTGTTTTAGATTTTGAAATTTTGGAGGCATGATGAAAACTTGAGCTTGTATATTAGGGGAAAGTATCCATACAGTCCATAAAGCCAAACTTAATTAGAAAATCAAGAGTTGCTTATTATAATCCCTCAATATTTTCAGATGATATAAAATAAAATTTATGACCAAATCAAACCACTATGCTCGATCCAAACTTTTTATGTTTGTGTTTTACCAGCTTGGATAACAAAGTTTTGACAAAGCTCCACCATTTGTTTTATTCTCATAAGTAGTGTGTAATTTTCAAGGTAAAATCAGTTTTCGTGGTTAATGGTGTGGTTCTTGAGTTAGAGTAGCTATTTTCCTGCAGGGTCTTTATTTTGCTAATAGAAAGCTTAGACCACAATGGATGTAATGGAACGCTTTCTGAATCTATTATGTTGACTGGTTTGTGTTTCTGCACTGTTTCCAAACAGCACCATTCTTGACAATAGACTCCTGACTGAATAATCCACATTATGTCTAGCCTAAGATAGGGCAATAAAATGCCCCCCTTTCAGCTCATTCAAGCTTGAGATGCAAGCAGCTTTTTGTTCAGCTTGGATGAACAAAAGAGTTGAGCAGCTTTTTCCAAGGATTAAATTCTTCAGGGGATCAAGACTTGTGATTCAGGGATGTTTGCCACTGTGCTTTTCACATTGCTGTATCAGTTAATAAAACTTCATGAATATTATGACACAGCTTGTTACACAAACATTGACATTCAGTTAATGGTGAATTAGTCATGGACGTACCAACTGCCAATGCTGGTTTTGCAAAAGCCTCACACCTTTTACAAACTTATAAAAAGTCTGAGTTGTCATAAAACAACAAGTTTTTTCTAGTATGTACATTAACTTCCATGTAAGCCAAATAAACTTGTCTACATTTGTACTTTGTTTAATACAAAGATAATTTCATGAAAAAGTAAAAAACACTACATGTATGAAATATTTCACAATTTACCAACATTCACAAGATGGGAACTCAATCCGCAACTCATTGACACATAGTTTTAAATATCAGTCATTCTGAATTACATTTGGATTTCCTCACCTACATTTACATCTGCAACATTCGCATCAGTAAATAGACCTCCCGGACTCTACTCTCCATGTATACTCTCCATGTTTTGTTTTTTTTAAATGAAATAGTTTCTAAGATGAGTTGTCCTTTGGGATAAATAGAATGAAATGGTCGTGTTTAGTGGTACCAGTACTCAAGAATTATGCATAAAGCATTATACCAATCAAGTGTCAGATTTCCCATGCTACATGACCTATGACCCTGACATGGCCTCACGTCTGTAACCTGTTAGTACCTTGTCGTAACCTCAGATTTACGATATGCATGTGTTTTGTTCCACTTGAAATAAAAACCTATTGACTTTGAAACATACATTGTATGTAGGGTACAGTGCACCAAATTCAAATTTGGTCTTTTTTATGTGCAATAACATTGAGCTTATAGATTCATGTGTGATTGGGTGTTCAGAAAGCTTCAAATCAAACACAAGAAATGTGTTGTCTCATTAAATTGAATCATTTAGCCCTCGTCACCTTAAATTTAAATTTGGCATTCAAGTGAGTTCTAAAAAAGAAATTCTCATTGTGAGGCAGCATCCTAAACCCTAACCCCTAGTACATTTCCTCAGGATTACCCTGCTAAATCCAACAGAGTCCAACCGGACTTTCCTGTTCAATCCACTGTGCCTCATTTTTAGTTGTCTGCTGAATCCAACGGAGTCCAACAATGCGTTAAAATGCGGTTCAGTTGCCTGCTGAATCCAACATTTTGCATGAGGAATGTACACAAGGGGTTACTGCTCAATCCAACAGGCTCCATCGGGTATGTGACATAGTTGGATCCTGTTGGATTCAGCAGGGTTAGGGTTTTGCCTTTCCTGAAACCTCAACATGATATCCACAAAACTGGATGTTCAAACTCTATAATATATAAGTAGCAATCTTAAACAAATTTTAATGGAAAGCATTTTTTCTTCCAAAATACACGTATAGTCAGAAATGTATGAATTTCATGAGTGATTGTGTTGCCGTGTTATTGTAGGATTTTAGCAATAGCTTTGTGGCATTCCTTGTGCACAACTTGTTGCTTATTGGTTTAATCCCCCGTGCCATGGTAGATCCGTTGGTGGACCATTGTCACAGATCATGCTGTAACTTCTCTCCCAGGAGAACTTTGTTTGCCTAGTAGTATACCTTTGAAAAGTATTATTGTTCAAAATTCCTGAGTATGTTTGCGTTTCTAGACCATTGTGTCTGTGGTCGTTGGGTGCTGTTAAGAGACAGGACTGCATAGGAAACCTTCAGGGCATGATTATGCTCTTTGTCTTACTACATACACACAGTTTACATACTATGTCACAATTCAACTTTACTGGTTGTCAGGTTTTATATGACTGTTCTTTGGTAGTTAAATGAGTCATTCTATTTGTTGAGGCTTTTGTGGGCTCTTAAAATACTGGAATTACAACGTACAAAAAAAAACTGATAACACTCCCTTCATTACAAACAAAACATTCTGTAAAAATGAAACAAAAAGTTGTCAAGTTATACAAATGTATTGTAAAAATGTACAGTATGATTTAAGGTGAAATTGAGTCCTATGTACAAAGTGGAATCTGGCGGCAAGAATTAGACGCTCTTACTGCGGTGGTGTCACGCTCATGCGCATGCTGCACGCGTCTTAAAGCCAGGGCAAACACAAATTTTGGTATTCAATTGGTGGAAGGAGCCCGATGTGCGTGTGTACTTCCTGAGCGCGACTCGCACGAGCCTGGTGCCACTGCAGAAAATGGCTGCCGCCGGATTTGTCTATAGACATGTATGTTAATTTGAAATGTGTACTAAACTGACAGACCTATATGTACGTACAGTACAATGAGGCATTTGCTGTACAGTACGTTAGAACACATCAATTGTCTGTTAATATTGAACTGTGTCATATATTGAATGGAGTTAGCGACCTCCTGGAGGCTTATGGGGATGGTTGGTGTTGGTAGCTCTTTCAGTACGACCTGAACACTGACTGCAATCAATGACAAAAATTGATTTCTTTATTACGTTTGCATTTCTCCAAACTAACCTGTGTATGTGTACTACAGGTCCCATTTCAAACTTGCCTTTTTCTGAATTTCACAACACCACTTCCATGTCCTGAGCCATCAAATAAGAACATTATTCAAGCTTCAGTGAAAATCAAGTATTAACCTCATCTAGGCAAAAGCAAGTTTGGTTAAGTGAGGTTCAACATTCCCAAATCGAGATGGAATGATTGCATATACGTGGTTTTCTTTGCCTTTTTTGTTGTTGGAAAGAAGTAGGGGGTAGGGTAATAACTTTTTAAAAAAAATCAGGCAATTAAACAAAAAGCCAATAAGACTTTTTCCTACGAGCCGTTTTTACATTCATTTATGATCGCGTTGATATGCTATGTTTCTGTTAAGATGAAGAGAATTGGAATTCCAGCGAGTCCACAGGTGTGAAGTGAAACGATGGGATTATTCTTGGTTGAGTGAACAGGAGCTAAAAGCTTTGGGGGTAAAACTTGTGGTTCAAACAAGGGTCACTATTATTTGCGTCTTTGTTTACCTGTGTGTTGCTATAAACACTCTAAATCTTAGTGGCATATTTACATCATGATTAATGGGAATTTATAACAAAACTTCTCCCTTTTTTTCTGAGTTGAAAATTTGAAAATCTTTTTTTGGCATAGAAATTGTGGAGTAATAAAATTGTTTCCTTTTCCATTGCATGCCTACTTACTACAATCAGAGACAAACGCTGTCCCCTGGTTGACCTGTGTGTGAGTCAAAATGTCTACTTCCCGTAATCCTTGCATTTGGAAGAAATTCTTTTTTATGAATCTATAGTCTGTGTGAAATGTCACTGTCGGCGTTGGTAAAATGTACTTTAAAAGAAATCACCACTCCAGTATCGTCTTTGACAAACTGGCATGTAGACCACCTTACATTATTGTAGATCACGCTGAGTCAAACTAAAAATTTGTAAGGAAGCTTCAATCTTTTCATGCTTAGTGTAATAATCAAATTATAAAAGTCACCAGTTTAGTGAAATATGTTTGCGAGTGTCACATAAATTAAGCAAGCCTTGAATCTTATTTGAGCGTAATACCAGGGTATCTTATAAAGACGGACAGAGTTTGAAAAGTACAAAACAACTCACTATACTATTGTAGTTTAACATCCTACTGACTTAAAAACTTATATTATCTATTCAATTTTTGTAGTATCCTGGGTGTACAACAGTATTTCCTTTGCAGTATATATATTTTTTTTCTCAGTTGATTTGCTTTGTTAAAGTTTAGCATGGGAAAAGGATTTTACACAAACGTACATGTATCAATGTACATGTAGTTAATATGGTCAGCTTCCTTGAATTCCCAAGGTTTTCACCTAACTTTTTTGTGAAGCTTTTATCCTTTCACAGTGTGCTCTTTTTGTGGCTCTCTGTAAAGTTGAGAAAATTATTGAATTATTTATCTATTTGTTACGCTTCGGTCATGCTTGCATGGCATTTGGCCCGGTGGTTGTGAGTCCATCCTGAATTATATTACGGCTATAAAAAAGTACTCACAATATGACAAACTTTTTGATTGTGTTGAAA